ACATTTAAGATTACTGCTCTCAGACCGTCCCTTCACCATAAAGAGTATTCTAGTTTCCACCATATTTTGTATTTCTATCAAAAGCTATCGAAAAGACTGTTTCCACTCAACTAAGTAATTACATGGAAGAGAATAATATGGATGAGCTGTTGAATCTGCTTAAAAAGCCAACCACAGTACGGAAAAGGCATTAGTAAAAGTCCAAAATTAAGTGCCTCGTGCCTTAGATCGCCAACAGTCTGTTATACTACTACTACCATTAAACCTATCCGCGGCATTCGACACCGTGGACCACGCCATTCTGTTGACTCGACTCTCTCAGAGATTTGGTATTAAAATTACAGCGCTCAACTGGTTTTCCTCGCATCTATCTGAGTGGGGCCACATGTGTGTGTCAATGGGGCCACATCCTGGCATCGTAATCTACCCTACGAGGTCCACATGGTTCCATTCTTGGCCCTGTGCCATTTCTGATGTATACAGCACCACTAGCAGACGTTATCCACAAACACGATCCGAGGCTCCATTTTTACGCCGATGAAACCCAGGTCTACCTGTCTTCATGAGCGGAATTGGCAAAAACGAGGATCGAAGCCTGCATATGCTTTAAATTGAACAGAAGTAAGACTAAGCTTTTAATTCTTAACGCGGACATCACCCACCACCGCTTTTTGCCTCAGTTACTATTGTCACTGTCTATGAAAGAACATGTTAAGGAAATTTGCCTTCTTCCATCTAAGGAACATAGCTCGAATACCAAAACACTTGCAAGCAGAAGCAGCAGAGACCTTAATTCATTCCCTCGTGACGTCAAAAAAGGATTTCTGCTCTTCAATTCTTGACGATGTTCCTAATCAACTGATACAAAACCTTCAAAGCGTTCAAACCTCAGCGGCCAGGCTATTAACCAACTAGCAGGAACACATCAAACCTCTGTTAAAACAGTTTTACTGGTTACCCGTTGAGTTCAGGATCCAATGTAAAATCCTACTAATGACTATTCAATGACACTGCCCCTGCTTATCTTAAGGCTTTAATTCACCCGTGTACACCAATCCGCAGTCAACCGCAGTCTTACCTAAAAATTTATGGTCTTAGAGTCTTCTCAGTTGCAGCACCCATTCTCTGGAATACACTGCCAGATAAACTCGGAGACCATTTGAAAGCTTTTTAACATGTAAATTTATTATTGCTTATTTTAATCATTTATTTTTAACAATTCCTCATTTTAGTGTGAAGCGCTAATGAACTTTACCGAATTAGCGCTATATATTGTTTCTTCTTTTTCTTCTCTCCTTCTTCTTCTTCTTCTTCTTTTTTTTTTCTTCTTCTTCTTCTTCTTCTTCTTCTTCTTCTTCTTCTTCTTCTTCTTCTTATTATTATTATTATTATTATTATTATTATTATTATTATAGGTGGGACAGATCCACATACTCGTAGAAATGGTCAACCTCTTTTCGTTTGGTTGTCACGTGATTGACCGAGCGTACGTACGTACATACATACGTACGCGTCTACAGATTGCACGGGTGGGTAGGGGAGACTATCAAAAGGAAGGGAGGGATGTCTCAGGTGTGTCTTAGTAAATCTACATCTTTCACATTGGACATTCACAATATGGTCAATTGACAGCTGTCAAAACAGGATAACCACTGATCAGTATCAAATGACCATATCGTGGGCTCAAGTGTCAACTCATCGAGGTGACGTGATTTATTTGGAAGCTGCCCGCTGACCAGTTAATTGTTTTACTAGATCGCGATCAATGTTCAATCTCATACTTTCTAGCTAGTTTGGGAGCACAGGAAATGATAATGCACACATATGATTGGACATCAATGTTGTGATCAATTGACGGCTGTCAAAACAGGGTATCGGCTGACAAGTATCACTTGACCGTATCGCGGGCTCAGGTGTCGACCCATCGAGGTCAAGTATTTTTTTGAAGTTATCCACTGACAAGTTACTAGTTTTCTAATGCTCGCAGGCTCAAGTTTATTTTTTTTCAATTGATCTGAAATATGTTGTGTCCCGAAGGAGTCCTCACATTTGCGTCCCTAAATAGCCAAAACGTTCCGTAATAATCCAGCTGTTACCAACAGAGCCGCTTTTTGGATAACCTCAAGTCTGATGGTAACGTTAAGCATTCCCGCGTCTTTCTCAAAGTATCGGACATAGCTTCCAGCCCCAATCACAATTTGCACAACCGTCACTTTCTTCAGCCTCCACAACTTTCGTATCCCTTCTCGAAAAAATTGGTAGTTCTCTATCGTAGTATCACAGGCGGCTCATACGGGCCACTAATTAAACACGCTAGGAACTCTGGGACAATGTAAGGCTCGGTTGCTTAGGTCATTGAAAGCATGGCAGACATGCACACCAAGTTGTTGACAAGTTGATCTATTAAATTGGCGACCAGGATGGGATACAATGCCAAACGAAAGTGGAACGTAGAGGCAACCGAAGAGGTCTAGCTGTACCGAGTAACCGGGGAAAAGTCATCGAACCCTACTGCAACATTGTAGGTAAATACAATCCCGGTCAGAAAAATGAATTGTGGAATACAAGTTTATTGTTTGATTTAAATTATAATTTTATTAATGGGAGCTTCGCTTTTAGCCCCGGCTAAATCTATATATTAATTATTATTACTATTCTTATTACGGAGATTATCTGATGGCTCGATGTTTGATCGATCAAGGATTGTTAAGATATGACCAAAATGCATCGGTGGGGATCCCCATGTATTTTGGGCGTTAACATGGGCGTTAAAACCATGCTCCTTCTGGGACATGATTAGATATTGCAAGTTCCTTCGCTCTGACCCAGGCCTTCTTCGGTGGACAATATGCTCTGGACTCTTCTTGCAGTAAGTACGCGCGATTGACAATAATGTTGCAATCAGCGTCAATTTCTGATAGCTGAGATATTTCAGATGACAAATCTTCGTCAAGATCTTGCTGAGGAGTAACGCGTTCTTTCTTTTGTCTTTTTCTTGTAAGCAGCAGACACAGAATGCAAGGCAAGGAAGAAGCAAGTATAGAGATTATGACAATCACTCCTATCTCCACTGGGGTAAGGCCTGGCTTTAATTCCCTGTCCTTCTCTGACGGGGTGTTGAAAGTAGTTTTCGCTAAAGGATAAATAGACGACAAATTAAGTTGGTTGTTTCTGCGACTCCATTAATCATTGTCAACGAAGATTAAACATTACAAGAACGAAACGAAAAAGGAACGTATACATATATGGGTAAAAGTTTTACGCGATACTTCAACTGGTCAAACTACCCATTTTTTTCTGGTGTAAGGTGTTGCTAAATTACAGGTAAAATTTCCTTACAGGATAAAATGTAAATTGATAGTTAAGATGTTGGCCAATGTTTTGAGCCGAACGGAGCGTTTGTAGTCACGTGGTCAGCATCTATTCAAATTTATTGGAACAAAAAAGAGAAGACCTTTACATAAAAAAACGAGTTCAATTTTTACAGGAGTTGTTTATAACACCAATATGGCCGTAGTGACGTCGTGTAAAAACGCTCTATGAAAGGTCTCAGCTGTTTGTACAAGAGAGATTATCCTGTTTGTTTCTTCTCGGGTCCGTAGTGCCAACTGTTATCCTATTTTGGTTTTATAGGATACACAGACATCACACATATTAGGCAGACTCGACTACACCTCACCTGTTATTGCCCCCATTGTACCATCACTACCACCATGCGTTGTTGTCTGCGAGGAAGTTTGAAATGCCTCTTTTGTTGTAGCTAGTGTGCATGGATAACAAAGAAAATCGAACGTTCCACGTGCGGAGATGTTAATGACAGTCAGGTTCTTTTTTGTAGTTTTCCCCTCGGCAAGGGGAATGTGGAGCGATAGCTCGCCCAATCTAACAGCTCTTTTGAGTCTTTCTTTAAATGCCTCCATTGGATACAAGTGTGTGTAACCCTCGTTACTCAAAGAGAACGTAACTGATGTCTAAAACCGGAAAAAGACCGTTTATTAGCCTCTGTTACTCATCTCAGGCGAACAGTAAGGTTACTTTTACTTTCTTCTTCTATTTTTTCCTGAACGCAAATATTTTAAATTAGCATGATATCACTGGATGCCACTATTGTGAAAAATCACCCTTCACGTTTGTAACAAAGGCGGCAACCAAATGACATTACAAAATACAAAACTTTAGCAAGCGGGAAATGCCAAAACAGATTATTTTTTATCAATATATTTACTGAACTCGTTTCTGTTACCTGATTAAAAAAGAGTTACAAATTGGTTTCTTTTCAAATTATTTAAGAAATAAACAAAAAAGAAACAAATATCTGATTTATCTTACCTTGTTAAAATGTACTCGACGGATTCGTGTTACCAGTGATTTTCCCAGCAACACGTTCAGAGTATATTGCAGTTCAGACTCAATGTTGTAACTCATAACAAGGGATTCCGCCGGAATATCAACGTCCAGTGTTAAGCAAATGATCAAACTAACAAGATAGAAATTAAACGGAAGTCACGTAATAAAGTACACTGGCTTGATTAAGACTCAAAAGGACGCAATTAAAGAGATAAAAGCCAGTTTTAGGGGGCGGAAACGAACAGGCACTCATTGTAACAAGTTATGTTGAGTAAAATAAATTACCACCTCGACGTTACACGGGGTCATAACGAATATATAAATTACTTATAACATTTCTACAGCCATATAGGCACTAGCCAATTACGGTAGATTTCGTGTTTAATTACTCTGTTCAGTAAATCTGGATGCTATATAATAGTTATACTAGGGCGGATTTGTGATCTTGCTCTCAGACTTTTTCCCCTTTAGAAAAAAGGTAGAGGAAGACAATTGCCGAAGAACTAGGGATAACGGAAAAGTATTGAAATTATGTTTGTTGTTGTAACTGTGTGCAATAGACCCTTCCGAGGATTTTTGTAGTTTGATAAGAACCAGATAGGGAATATTCATCGAGACTGTTGCTCGAGTGGAGTCTGAATAGATAGAAGACAATGCTCCACGCAAAGACGAGACATTATACTGACGTCTGTATTGTGGGGTCACCAAACAAACGTCTAGCTAACTCGTTCTCGTCAAAGGTTGAAAAAAATGGGGTTTATTAGGGAGGTCAGATGTACTAAACACAAGCAATAAAGCCACGATAGTAAACATGACTGCCTTCAGTTTATAATTTATATTTCTGTTCAAGTAGGCGTCATATTGATCATGATTGATCATGCACGCAGTGTATGAGAATGAAAAATATAAGCGACACTTGTAAAAAGGTCGAAAGTTAAGTGTGAAAAATTTTCAGGCTGAAGCTGATTCTGATTACAATTTATTAATTAAGTCTAGCTTTTACTTGAACCTATGCAGCAACCATCAAAGCTATTGTTTCAAATGGCCCCTGAATAGTTTGTAATGTAGATCAACAAGAGAGAACTACTACTCACTCCGTGAAGTCCTTTGGACTCTTAGCAACGTAAACTTGAGGTAGATCCGAATCAGATCCAAGCCTTATTTTACCTTGCCTTGCCAACCATTGAATATTTTGTTGCATTCCTTTGAGATCACTACTTACGCTGGTTGCAAACAACTTGAGTAGTATTCCATCCTATTGTATAACAGAATGACGTTTTATTCCTTACAAGGCAAACTTAGGAAGCAAGAAAGTAAGGATGATCAGCAGCAACCTCACTCGAAGAGATTGCCGTATAGTACGTGTAGTAATCACAACTTTTACTGGCTCAAATAGGTTATCGAGCTTATGAATGAGAAATTGGGGGAGGGAGTAAATGTATAAATGGAAGAGTGCCATATTTGTTGTTATTTTTTCTCGTCTATTTTAAAGATCACACTTTGTAAAACAAGTTACGATGGACTTACCAGCGCAATAAACTCAATTCAATAAAAATGCGACACAAACACAAGCTCTAAATTCAGATTCTATCACGTGACTACAGGGGAAAGGAGAAACCTTGAGATAGCACAGCGAACACGCCAGATCATTACACAGTTTGCGCTGGAAAGCTAGGTTGTCTTCGTAAGTGTCACACGGAAACTTTGCGAAATAGCCAGGGAATCACAAGAGACTTACATAGGAAGCTTCGCATTCACTTGACAAGTCAACGTACTTCACCTAAATATAAACGTTAAGGATTCCCAATGGAGCTTTAACGCAGTTAAAGCAACATACATTCGTGCATTTTCGCGCCGCAAGAACACGTGTCTTCCGTCCTCGGAAGTTCTTTTCGGCGACCAGTCCAAACTGACAAAAGACATCACTGACGCCAAAAGGCCTACCTGCAAGAAAGTGCCAGACCAGCTCTTACCACAGCAACCACTAAAATAATGTTAGTGGTCGAAGGTACTTTGGGAATCAAAACAGCCGTTTTAGCCCATAAAATATGCACTGGACGTGATTTTCTGTCGATTTTTTTGGAACAATTTTTAGTGATTTTTCGGCTCAAAAAGGATAGGGCAGCCAAACAGTAACTTCAGAGGTATGTTAATATAATGTTGGTAAATTTATGTACACTCTTACTACCTTTCAAGAGGGAAAGCTGAAAGAGTTTCAACCCGCGTGGTGTGATATTATGTCTGACCGAAATATACCACAATACGTGCGTGGGGTCAATTTTCATTTATGGGAGGGATTTCCCCTAGCCAGGGAACTTCCCGGCCAGGTGTATTCAAAGCCCAGCAACATCATATACTTGAACTTGAAATTCAAGCCCTTCTTGAAAAGGAGGTTATCAAGGAATCTGGTACTGAACCAGGTGAATTTATTTTTTTTAAGGTCTAGAGTGATTGATCTTTTCGAATGATCCCTAATTTAAAACAATGAAATGAGTTTGTAGCGCACCATCATTTCAAAATGGACACGTCAGAGATCGTAATAAGGATGATGAAACAAGGGTGCTAAATGGCATCTGTGGACCTAAAGGGTGCCTTTTACACAGTACCAATACACACTGAGCACCAGAAATACTTGAAATGTCAATGGTGTCTAATGGCACCCTCTACCAATAAACTTGCTTACCTAATGGTCTTTGCAGTGCGCCTCGCATTTTTACGTAGTTACTAAAGCCTGTTTATTCAAGTCCACATAATCAGGGCCATCTGAGCCTAGTTTATATTGCTGACTCCAATTTGCAAGGAGACACGAGTGAAGAATGCAGACGCAATGTCGTGAACACCGCATGTTTATTTACTAAATTGTGGTTTTATCTCCATCCCTTAAAATCTGTGTCCATTCCTAACCAGATTTTGACTTTTCCGGGATTCGTTTTGAGCTCGGTAGAAATGACAGAATATTCCACTCCCCAAATGGTAGAAAAGACAGTTCAGGCCTGTCGGCAGATCCTTTCTAAAGGAAGAACTGAAATTTTAGAGGTGGCCAGGCTAATTGGCATTATAATATCAAATCTTCAGGGAGCTCAATTTGGCCTACTACACCACAGACCACTGGAGTATGACAAACCAAGGCCCTTAGTGCCAGTGATATTCCAAGTACCTAGGATATTATCATCCTCCATCTTTTAAAGAATAACTGGTGGATTGCAAATATACCTTATGTCAAAACAACCAAACTGCAATCTACACCCCATATGATTATCCAATCAGATGCATCCAAAAAGGGGTGGGTGACAGTGTTTGAAGGGTCAGAAATTGGAGGATGGAGAAGTTGGAGAAGGTGGACCCCCTGTGAATCATCTCGACACAAACCTGCTAGAGTTACAAGCGGAGCATTATTTGCCCTCCAGTCATTTGGGGCTCATGTCAAAAAGGCGCATATTCAGTTACAGTTAGATAACGCTACCACTGTGGTCTATATTGACAACATGAGGGGCGACAAATGCATCGAAGCGGATAGTTAAGCGCAAGAAGTTTTGGAATGGGCTATCAAACGTGACAACTGGCTTACAGCAGTTCACACTCCTGGGAAGTCAAATGTAGGTGCAGATTAGCAATCACGCAACTTTTCTGACAAATATGATTGGGCTTTAAAAGAAATTTTATCAGAATATCCTGGGCTTAACATAGAACTGATTGCAACAAGGATCAATAATAAATTTGACACATACTGCTCCTGGAAACCAGATCTGTACTTCAAAGATCTGGAAATGATTCAACAAAAATTTCTGCACATAGCGCTAGAGTGGTTTCAGCCTTCAAGGCCAAAGAGAAAGATGAACGTTTAGATACAATTCTCACAACAGTTGGCTGGCGCTCAGCTGCAACCTTTCAGAAGTTTTGTTCTGTACAGAAAATAGGTGGACAGTATAGCCGCGAGGCCATTGTGGTTTCCTCCCAGATTGGTTTATCATAAAACTTGTGAAAGGTTTCAGCTGAGCGCCAGCCAACTGTTGAAACAGCTGTTGAAAGAATTGTATCAAAATAAGGAAGTCTTTTAGGTTAGTAAGTAAGGTTTATGTTTATACGAGAATAGGTTTCTTTTTATGCAAATATTTGTGCTGTACCACGGGCCAGGATATCGTATTGCTATCGTTATTGAACAACTCTTTGTTATTTCATGATTTATATGTATTATTGTGATAAAGTGAAACTTTTATGAATACACTGTTGCCTGTTGTGGGTGTTCAAGGCTTTAAAGTCTCATGGGATCACCTGTCTCCTGTAGTCACGTGATAGGACAGGAAAATTGCACGAGACGAAATTTGACATGTGATTGAGATTCTATCACGTGACGTGCGGAGGGAGGAGATCACATGCCCGAACCCTTTTGTTCCCTCCCATGGAACATTACTTCTGTGTTGCTCTTAATGAGCGCCAAATACCTTTGAGTAAATTTGGGCTTTATTTGGTACTCTATGTCCCTTTCAAACCCACACATTTTGAAGAATGACTTGGCACGTGCGCTGTGCTATCTCATGTGATCTTCCCCCTCCTCACGTCACGTAACAGAATTTCAATCAAACTTCAACTTACAGGTAAGTCTCGTTTAATTTTTCTATTCTACGATTGAGACTAATGTGGCAATAAATATACCTAATTGTGCTTTTGTTGATGGTCAGTGCTACTGCTAGAATAATATCACTTCTGCGGTCCCCTGCGGCTACATTACCTTTTGTAGTTCTAAAACTTCCAAGCTTAGCGAGGTCATACTAGAAACGAGATTCAGTAAATTTCGTTTCAAAAGGAACTTGACAGCCACATTTTGAACAGCTGACAAATTTTGAAAATTGTTGCAAGGAAACAGGACAGCAATCGACAAACTGAAAATGAAATAAAAGAAAAGTCTGTGTGTTAATAGCAACTTACCAGTATTTCATGAACCTCTCTCTATTTCGGTTGTCTTAACTCTAACAGTCACAATGGTTATAAACCAAGAACGAATACTAAAATTTAGGAGGTCTGGCCCGTTTCAAACGTCGAACTTTTCATTCATTAAATCAAATACCTACTTCTGTCGACTCAAATGAATTGACTTTGGCATTAATCAAGAATGTGTCAAATCCAACGCACTTTTTAAATGCTTGATAAACTGAGCAAACAATTAGCTCTAGCGTGTTAATGAAACTACAGGTACTAGGAGACATACATTAACATAATTTTTTATTCATTAGATTCGCCCCGTGTGGAGGGTTACAGCTAATTCTTTGAAGAAGTATCCTCAGTCTTCTGTGATACTTATAAACACTGTTCAATTACTTTCGCTTTAGTCAATTTTAAATGAAAATTGGTCGCAAACAATTTTGAGGCGGAATAAAATAGGCAACGGATCTATATTGACTGTGGAGAGGTATAAGGTAAAACAGCCAAGCATCAAATAATGCATTATTACTGGGTAAACGTATATACATATCATGTTTAACTATGGTTTACCTTTCGCCTGTTCTACATTCTGAGTTGCATGATTTCTTTGCATTTAAATTGCACCAGTGACAACCTAAAGTTTTTTCACATTTATCCATGTCCAAGCTAAAGGAAGAAAAGAAAAAACTGAATGTTGTTTTATACGATGAAACCAGGCATTCAATTTTTGGACCCTTCGCAGGAATGTGGAAGCTAGAAGTCTCGAAAAAGAAATTCAAGAACAAAAACATTTCACTTACAAAATAAGAAAATATGCAATATATAAATATACAATATAGGCACATAATCAAAGAATATACTGTCTCTTAATTATGACTTTGAAGAAATATTTTATGATTGACCACCGTACGACAAGAAAAATTAATTAAACCGAATTAACTAGCTTTGATTAATTTTTAAAAATACAGTTAGAATCAATTTCATTTAATTGAAAGAGGGCCGTTAAATTTTTCCTGAATAATCTTACGCCTATTTGGATGTCTTGCTTACAAACTGTAATAGACGCTCTAGTGATGCACGGAAAAATGCCTCACATTTACATTGATATACCTACATTGTCAGACATTCGCGAGCACATCTTGGTACGGCGGCGAGTGCATTCTTGAAAACTGCCTCTTCGGCCTCTGTTCCAAACAGCGGGGGTACTGGCACTAGTAAAGTTACAAAATTTGTTCATTAAATCCGTCTGTTGATTCAAAAAGTAATGATGGAGGGCAAAACATTTTTTTAATTTTTCATTGCGTACTCACAAGGACAGGGTATCGAGGTCCACAGCTTTGTTACGGAATCCTCACATTCGTCGTATGACATTTGACATTTACAAGGGCACTGAAGTAGTAATTATTAGCAAGTCAGTTGATCCAATATCATAAGCTTAGCTATTCTATTTTAATTTTTAGAAATAAAACTGTCCAATTTAACTTTAGGAAAGTTTAGACAGTTTGTCTGAGCAGATCAAATCCGATAAAATACAATAGGTAATAATATATAGATTTAGCCAGGGCTAAAAGCGAAGCTCCAATTTTAATAAATTTATAATTTAAATCAAACAATAAACTTTTAATCCACAAATCATTTAACTTAAGGGCACATTCATGTGACTTTTGAGGGAAAGGCTAAGTTATTTTAGAGTGAAACATCTTACATCGAATTGATAACCTTATATGTACACCCAAAAAATAGCAAACATCTTCGATCACATTCAAGATCACAGTAGATTAGGCCTCGAAAACAAATTCTTGGAAAACAAATCACGCCAAATTTTTTTGCGTTCGACAGGTTTACTTTACAAATTCTTGCCAACAAATCTGGGGGTGTTTAAACCAACTTTTTATAATTCTTATACACCACATTTGAGGTGAAACAGTACTATTTATCATACAGAGCTCGGACAGAATGCGGTATTTCACAATTTTTCAAGACAAATTGTACTCAGTCAATATTCAGGACGAGCCAAACCGTTCAAAAATTTCAGAAAATTTCCAAAATCACCCATACGGCCAGCTGGTTCTCGTTTCTATAGTGCGAGCTGTCAGTGTGGTCGAGTGTTTGAATGAACTTTAACAGAGTTACGCTTCAACATAATAGCGAATTTATTATTATTTGTTTTGTTATTTAATGGTTTCATTTATAACGATGTGTAACCTTATAAAGCGTTTGATACGCGCGACATTTTTGAGTACTCCTGCAAGCGATGGTCATGAACGATGAAAACAAACGGCATGGACAAGCGATTAAAATTGCAAGAGAGACTACTAACAATCAAAAAAAGAGATATAATTCCGTGAAATATTTACAGAGACAACAATTTTCATTCACGAAGACAAGTATTAAAGTGTCTCTAAAAATCCTGAGTCTTTAAGCGTAAAGCCTAAGTTTATGTTTTAGCCGGCTTCCAGCGCGGTGTCTACTGTTTTCGAAGGTGAACTCCTCGCCACAACATATTTGATATGAATCCTTGGAAAAAATAAACTTGAGCCTGCGATCATTTGAAACTGGTAATTTGTCAGCGGATAACTTTAAAAAAATACTCGACCTCGATGGGTCGACACTTGAGCCCGCGGTACGGTCAGGTGATACTTGTCAGCGGATGCCCTGTTTTGATAGCTGTCAATTGATCACAACATTGATGTGTAGCCTGTGCAATTAGTTTTCTCTCGAGCTCCCAAACTAGCTAAAAGTGTGAGAGTAAACATTGGTTTCCCTGTGGTGCGGACGGACGGCGGGCGGTCGGTCGGTGTACGGTCACATGATTACCAAATTTTCTGGGATGGGTAGATTTACTTAGCAATGGTGCTTCGCGCGCGCGTAGAGCTCCGCTAATAAAAACAGGCAATCAGTGTAAAGCCCTTTGACAGCAGTGGCCGACGTCCTGGCTCAGTTTTGGCTGGAATTTTCTCCATCCAGTTATTTCCAAATTAGACAGCATGTAGTCCTGTTGCATACACTAATCACTGGACTTTTTTAATCACTGGTACAGTATTCCTTAAAAGAAAAATAGTGGGCAAGACTAACCTGACACTTAAAAGTCACATCTGCAGAGCAAACGTTACACGCTTTCCCACAATAACAGTCCTGTAAGTTAAACAGTAATGAAAGATCATCAGATGCATGCTTTTTCTTTTTACCGGATAAAAGTTATCGCAAGGTTCCATTTCTTGCGGTCAAATTTAAGGCTTAGCGTGGTCAAAATTTACTACTAGAACTAAATGTGTTTAAGGCTCATAAAGATCACGGAAGCGTGTTGTTTGGCAAGTACGGATATTATTTTCAGTCTATCTTACGTTCGAAATACAATCAACATATCCTATCCCTTATTTCAAAGGTTTCCAGAAATTATACAAACTATTGGTCAATGCTTTTGGGCAGCTCCCTTGCCTTAACATCAGCCATAACATCATGGCTCAATTCAATCCAAGTCCATCTGTTTTCTCACTGAACTTATTACTTATATTTATATACGTTTCTGTTCAATTAATATTGAGGTTGATTATGGTACCAACAAGTGTGAATAATCTTCGATATAACGACATAACAAATAACGTATCAGAGCGCCTCAAAAACTATTGAACTTGTCGATTGTAGACTGTTGAAGTACATGCAGATAATGGAGAACTGCTATCAGAGAGTTCGGAAATACCCTGTCATATAAGACAAACCCTTGCAAGAGTTTAAAGGGACTGTACAACGATACTGCGCATGTGTGAGTTGTGACAGTAGCTGATTGTTTCTAAACCAGTCGGAAGCGAAGTAGAGGCACGCAAGGAAATTTACCTAATTTAAATTCATCGTTGGCGACGCAGGAGTCTTCCGGACATTTAATTCGATTTTATATATCCCCATGATTTATATTTATTCTCTGCTATTCCTCAGATATATGCTCCAGCCTATGAGAATAAAATTTACAACCCTGTTTTGCTTTGAAACAAACATTTACCTACGTGTGTACCCACACTGGCAAACCTTTGTCTCCGATCAGCAGACAAAATTTGTAAACAAGCCTTACTGATCTCTCTGTCCCGGGCTCAGTTCACCCTTTATAAACTTAGAAATGCCTGCAAATAGCGCCAGACCAGTAACCAAATCACACAGCATCGGATAAGGCACCTTTTTTTGCTAAAAATGCCAGCTGAATGGGCATAATGAATAAGTCATGCGTTCGGTTAGCGTGATAAGCACTTTGCATGAACACTGTCGCTTAGCCGATACCAGCTGAAAAACGTAGCAGTGTTTGAAAATGTGTCTTTAATAGCGCTTCATCATAAAATGATTTCATTAAAACAGTAGCTGCATAACGTATGAAAGTAAAGAAAACCGCAAAATTGAGCATAACTTCAACTGCATATCAGCAAATGAACAAATTCCTTCACGTTACGTCGGGTGTTTCACAAAACAAGTTACCGTTATCGAGAAGAGCACATAAAGAAAACAGACTATAAACAGAATATTCAGGTAACGATTTATCTTTAAAGATCAATTCTTAAACATATACGCTCATACCGCAAAGATACAAGGAACATTTCAAGCGTACCACATCGATGAAGATCGCGCGGGGTGTTGTGTACTTTTGTTCGGGTACAACAAGATTGGAGTCATAAATCAAATGCCTGTTAACACTTTTCATGTTCGATGGATTCTTTCCTTAAGCCTCACATGACTTTCTGTAAAACAAAAGATTGCTGAGTTTTCTCCTTCTGATTCCATACAGTGACACGAGAGACTAAACTGTTGCAGAAGATCGATTGTCAGGTCGCTAAATAAAATCAGTTTCACTTGTCGCTGCATCCCATTTATAGTAAGTACACGGCCGTATCAAGGAAACCAGTTTTCAACTTTCATTATACATTTATCGTTTAAAATCTATCCGGTAAAGGTAGATCGTTTACTGGAGAATGTTTTAGACAGAAATGAAGGCCAGACAACGAAATTAAACGCCTCATTTGATCCGCTAGTAGTAACACTGACAACAACAAATATGGCTTCGGACATTTCTCCGCGATAAACTCGAATTCCTCGACAACGCTTGCATGGAAATACAAAATATGGAGGTTAAAACTTCCAAAATGGACCAGATAGCTCTTCAATATAGCCTAAATTTGAGACGATTACTTCGAGTCGTTTTTACTCCCTCAGTAACGACATTGCTGAGAGGAGAAAACGACCCGAAGTAATCGTCTGAAATTCAGGCTACTCTTTAATACTGATGTTATAGCTTTCTCAGGCTTCTCAGGGTCAATGGAAGAGGACATCTTCACCGAAAGCCAACTTTGAAAAATGGTTCGCCAGACCCGAAATCAAAATGCTGCTCATGCGCAGAAGCATGTCACAGTCCCTTTAAAGGCAGTAAAATAAAGAATAATTATTTTTTCGCGAACGGTTTCCTATTTTGAAGCGTTTGTTGACGTTGTCGTCTCCGCCGATAAAAGACTAACAAAATAAATCCAAACGCATAAAGCAGATTCGCCTCCGCCTTCTTTCTTTTTTTTTTCTTTTTTACTCAAAATTACTTTGATCATTATGTTTATTAAGCCATAAGGATACTGACGGCAGCAAAAACGTCACTTATAAAATGCATTCCTTTTTTTTTAATTCGTGGTTGCTATTCTAACTGACTCAATTAGTGAAATATAGGCGAGTTTTTCTGGAGTTGAATTTTTAGGAAGCATATCAAAGTCTCACAAAAGGAGGAAAAATTTGCCGTCGAGTGTTAACGGCTCTATCAAGCGTCAAATTGGAAATTTTACGTTGTAGTCGTGCAGTGACGGCTAAGAAATATACAGAAAAGTGTGATGCACGTATGTTTTGGTAATTAAATCTATGGCTTCTTTTGACGTTGCCGTCGCCCTTGTATTTGCTTACACTCCCTGATGTCGACAGTATGAACCAGGATTTACGCAGTCTATTCTTAGAATCTAGTTTTCAGATTTGGATTTTTTCTCTTTTACTTTGGAGAGTCGTTTATATAGGATTAACCTCAAGATCTCCCCTTTCGAGAGGTAGTTGGTTTTGTTATCTTATTCCTTGAATAAAATATTTTTATTGTTATGTTGAGTCTATGCACTGTCACTTGGTCCCTTCACCCAACTGTCTGTATCTACCCATTTCTTCCATATCTATGTAAAATATGGCTTGAACGTGACGAAGTTTGATCAGCAACTGTTTCCAATTCCGCTACCCGCCCTCAAAACAAGGTCGTTTATATAGCCGAAGAACGCTTTCACAAAACCCCGGTAAGAGTAAGACTTTTCCAACCGGCTTTTTATCAGTCCTACGGGTTCAGATAGATGTTACCCATGAATGATATGGAGGAGGACTACAAAGACCGAGGAGGATGCATCAATGTTAAAAAAGCCGGCAGTAAAGTCGTACTGCATGCATGTAACTTACCCCAGGTAAAGAAAGGTGTAGTTCAAACCATGACGTTGCTAAACACCTCGGTTTTACACAGCGCGACTTTAATCAAAGTTTCACTGACTCTGAAATAGTTCTTTCCTTGTTCTACAACATGGCGTTAAGTTCTGGAAGTCCAAAGACTTAAGTGCGATGTATAAAGTCATTTGTCTGATGTTCGTCGTCGGTTGTCCGTTTATCCACGTCCATTGACGTCCGACCTCTGTCGTCCGATGTCCGATATCCGATGTCCGATGTCTGACGTCTCGTGTCTGACATCTGATGCCCATTTATGAAGTCAAATCGTGAACAAAATGTTCGACTCGTCGTTCCGCGTTGTCGTTTCTTTGTGTCACTTCGTTGCTTCGTTCCGTCGTCTCGTCGCCCCGGTGTCGTCGTTTCCTTGTTTCGATTTGTCATTCGTCTCGTCGTTTCGTCGTTTCGTTTCGCCTATTTCACCGTGCTAGCCTGGGAACGAGAAAAGGTATAATTCGCCCAGGAATAACATGAATTAGTTGACTGTCTGGACAATATGGCGACCTCCACCAGAGTGTAGAGCTCATTTTTAACCGCGTAAATGAACAGTTCGATGAGAGTGAGAGTGAAGTAAGCTATCTCATTACACATTTTGACAAAGTGATATATACTCTTTCACGAGCTTCTTCGTTGTTTTATGTTCCCATCGTGTCGAAAAGCCCCCTTTTTTAAAATTTGTTTCTTTGTAAAGTATTTTCGTCAACGGCCCTTGGCTTTAGTTAATATGGGCGTGGCGTGGCGTGGAGGTCGACATGACAATCTTGTGAGTAGCCTCTGTGACCCTGCCTTTGAAAAATCCTGGCTACGCCCCTGGAAAAGCATAGCTGTCTGACAGATGCAGAATTGCACCATGAGATGTAAGCATGCTATGCTTTCTCAAGGCGTTTTCTAATCGCTTTCGTCGACACAGAAAACAGATGAGCAATTTTCACTGGAGTGAAATGATGCTCAAGATAGAGCTCCAGCATTTCCTGTGGAATATCTATTACTGGACGCCCTCAACATCCTGTAAACTCGAACAATCTTTCTTGTAATGATCTGTCATCGACACTAACGGCAACAGTTATTTGACGAGTTCTCAGCAACAAACTTTCCAACTCGGTCGCATTGTAAAATAACGAAGAAGCTCAGGAACAAACAACGAAAACGACAACACGAAAAGACGAGTCGAACATTTTGTCTCCGATTTGACTTCATACCCATTGCCCATTGTCCGTTGTCCGATGTCTCATGTCCGATGTCTGAACTCTGCAGTCTCATATTCGTCGGTGTACGACATTTGCAGACTGCAGACCGCAGTCATCAACAAAATAACATCCTGTGGGAGTGAGAAAGTAGCCTGGGAACAAGGTTGCTATTTTGCGCAAAGTTACAATGGCCTCATTCCCAAGATGCTGTTGGCTATTCTTCACCAACCCTTTATCAACTCATCCGGCATATCACTAATTGCGTTGATTCTTTATTCTTCTTTGATTATTGTGAATTGATAATCACAAGTAGCAATGCACAATTAACACCTTTTAAATGACGTATTTCATCTTAGCAGTATGTAATAGGGATATGCCAAGTAATCTAAAATGAACAGATCCTACCAGGACTTGACGAATTACCAGAAGGGCATTTTGAATTTCTAAATAGGCAAATCATTGCTCATAGGCAAGTCCTAGTACACAGGTGGGGCCCCCGTAGAATAAGGATCCCGGCGCTGTTTCACAGACAGACTTATATAACCATAGTTTAGTTTCGTCTGTGGTGCAGGCTAAATTGCTAGACTGTTGCTATGGATTGATGAGCAAGTTTGTGACATCAACAGACATTATTCTGCTCTAATTCAATACGAAAAGAACAGCCAACAGCTCCTTTAGGAATGAGGTCGGTGTAATTTGCGTGAAAAATAAAACTTACTTCTCGGAACAAGGTAATGTTGATGATGACGCCACCTTTATTACGATATTTTTGGTTTCATTCAATTTACAGTCTTGCTGCCTCATGCAGTCTGCAGTCTGCGGTCTGCGGTCTGCAAATGTCATACACCGCATATCCCTCTACGGCTTTTGTACGAAACGTAACGTCTCTTATTATATGGAGGAGAGTGTTTTACTGGGAACTAAACCACTCGTAGATTCCATACGCCACTTCATCCGGGACCCGAGTGGCGTATTTTCCGTATGTCACCTTTGTGAGTGTCGTATCGTTCAATGACGTCACGATTCCCGCCTTTTGCTTTTGTTGAATTGGTTTCTCCATATAATAAAAAGAACATTAAACTTTGGCTCGAAGATATGAATTTTCTGTTCTCGTGGCAAGAACACTACACTCGAACATAAAATTCATATCTTCTCGCCACCGTGTAATATCCTCTATTTACTTTCTTTATGTTTATTCTACAATATCAACCCTACCATTTTTACAAGTGCCACGCATTACTAACCACCAATAACATGTTTTTTTGCACAGTCCTTGTTTGTCCATGAAACCCTTTTTAAACTTCATTTTAAAGATTTTTAACAGTTATACAGGATTTATCTTTCATCAAGATTACCAAGGATTTCTCCTAAACCTAATCCCTTTGGAAGAATGAAGTCAGGTCCTAAGTGGACTCAATCACCTGGAAGAACAAACTGATTACCTGGAATTATGCATACTGACCTGTTGGGCTGCACAATGATGCTTACCCTTGGAGGGTACCGCCAATAGAAAAAGAGATGTTCCAGGTATAGGTTCTAAAGAGAACTGAAGACAAGGGACGGTGCTATTTGAAGATTCATTACTTAAAAGTTCGTAACACATTTCAGTTGTGTAACGCTGATAGTTATTGCACCAGGAAACCTGCAAATATGATATGTTATTAACTTTAACAAATTTTCACCAGATATCATTGTAAAGATGAGAAGGGATAGGTAGGTTGGAATAGGTGTGATCATGTGTCTGCTCATGCGAAGACAAAGCTTTGGGTTCTATAGATAGACAACACACCTTTTCCCGGCACCCGTAGATATAAAGCTATTACTTAAAAATGTTTATGGAATAACAAGTAACGCGGTTGCTTCGAGAAATGATAAAAAAGATAAAAACAGGAGAAAATAACGTCACCTCGTTATTTACTTCTAACTGTAAGATACAACAGCCATTGAACAGCAAACTGTTCGACCAATTCAAAAAGTGCGAAAGTACACTTGTTAAGTCATCAAGAGAAGAAGAAGGACGGGCTCAGGAGTTTTTTTTCCCAAAGTCTTCATTTTAAATATGATGCTATTTTATACAGAGGTTAATAAGCTCCAATCCAAACAGTAGTATTTAGTAGTTGAGTCTGTTTAACCATTGTAAAGTTTTGGATAATGTTAATAGAGCTAGAATGCCGCCCCGTGTTATATATTACGACAGAATGGAACCTTAGACTGTCTCCTTTAAGTAGTTTACAGAGAATCTGTATTTCCAAGCAACTATGTATTTTTTAAAAAACTTGAACAAAATCTTACCTTAAGAATATTTCTTCGAATTAAATCTCTTGCCAACCAAGGGATGCGTTCCGTTAAATGCTTTTTGTGGGCTTGCAATATAGTGGGATTCGGAAAGTTTAGTAATAGGTACCTACAAAGTCAAAAGAGAATAACAATGATAATAGCTCATTCGTGATATACATAGACATATTTTATTTAGACACGGTTAAATACGTTGGTGCAAAAACAAAATGAAATCTTAAATCCTGGTTTACTTGTTGCCCGTCTGAGGGCCTGTTGTTAGATATCAGTTAGCAATTCTTGGATTCGGCTTTCGTAAGATCTGAAGAAATATCGAGATGGAGCGGGGGGGGGTGGTGTTATCGGCCAAGGCGGACAACACCCTCCGAGTTCTGCATAATTCTTCAAATCATGCGAAAGCCGAATCCAATAATTGATTCATCGCTTTATTATTCATTCGAAATAATTCGTTTTTCAAAAACGAGCTAAAACAGCAGATGTCATCCGTCGAGTTCTAATCTTGCTGTTCTTGCTATGTTTTGAGGGAGTAGTTTTAAGATCATACTTCGTCGGGGCTGTAAAGCTGATATATTTCTTCGTTCCCGATTGGCTTCAAACTCAAGGCTAAGACTTGACAACCAGCTAGCCTTGGAAGAAACACCCAATTGTAAACACGTTGTCATAGAAAAATGAAAAAAGGAAAAAGCCAAATAGGAGTTAATTCGGCTAATTTAGCCACACTCTCATGGTGGATTCATTTGCAGCCGTTTCATTTCCCTGCTGGAATTTTCAATTTTATTGTCCTTCACCTTTAAAACAATAGCAAATTCCAACAGGCAAATACGACGTCCATGCGCGGATGCTGCAAATGCCAAATTAATTCCTATTTGGCTTTTTCCTTTTTTCATTTTTCTAAGACAACGTTATTGCAATTAGGTGTATTTGCCGATATCAATACCATTGACGTCAATCGTATTGATATCGCGAGCAAAAGAGACCCACGGCACCGTAGCTCAGCTATGCTCGAGAAAATGGCGAAGATTCACACGGCCTCAAAAACATAGCAAAAGTAGATAAAAATATCATTCGACGATTGAGAAAGAAATAATAAAAATCAAATGATGAGCATAATGATTTTACCATACTCACCCGCTGTCGTCAAGAATATACCAGGTGGTGTTCATATCACTTTGCAAAGCAACCTGAGAGGCAAACTTCAGTTTTTAAGATATCCTACGAAGATCAATGCACACTTTAAATAGTACTGATTTTTTTGCATGTTTCGCTTCTCAATATGATCAGTTAAGGGAATTCACTCACAAAGGATGTACTATCCAGATTTTTTCAAACTTGGCACAATTAACAGTCATATATAGGACATGAAAAAGCTACAATAATAATATGGGGTCACTGCGCTTGTTTTCGCCCTACGTGCTCATAATTCTTTTTATTCTTTTATTTTATTTATTGTCAGATTACCACCAAGAAAAAAATTACCAATTTCTGGTGCCAGGGCAGCCTAAGCGGAAAACCATGGGGCTTATTAATTAGATTCAGGCCCATTTACAAACGGTTACAACAGCGAATTAAGAGGTATAATTATCAATCAACAATATGAAATTAATTTAGGGTATGTAATTATCGAATCTAATAATTCTAGACCAATAATTAATTCTAATTAAATAACTAAATATTATTATAAAGAAGGAAAAACAATAAACACAAACAATTATTGATCAACAAATTGAAATTAACTTAGGACAGATCTGCTTGTTGAACTAAAAATCTACTATGTAACTTCTTTTCTGAGACACTTTTTGAAGATTCATTTTTTAGTTCAGTAGGAAGAGTATTCCAATACTTTGGGCCTTGGTTAGCCTGCGAAAACATCCGTTTCTCCTCACACTTCCCCGCTGGGGACGTTTCGCGAGGAGGAACGTCTGCGACTCAGCGACAGAATTTCCATACTGATGACGCAAATCAGTGTTTACATAATAAATCCGGTAGTCATGGGGAATAATTTTGCCCAATGCTACGTGTCTTCTCGTCGATTTCGGTAAAGTGTTGTGTTCATCTGCCAACGAGCTCCAGCGAAACTCAAATGCTTCTGCTAGAGAAGACTATGTTCCAAAAACATTGACTGCTTTTTGCATTTGACCTTTGTGGCCTTTTGTCTCTTGTCAGTCATTCGTAAACAATAGCTGAAACAATGTAACTACTCCGTCGACCAATCAGCGCTTCTGACCGGATTCCGGACAGATTTTACGTCACCAGTGTGGATTTTCTGACGCTGAGTAGTAGACGTTCCTCTGCGCGGAACGTCCCCAGCGGCGAAGAGCGTGGAGAAACGGATGTCTTCGCAGGCTAGGCCTTAGTAAGCAATGGTAAATTTCCTAACATTGATCCTAGAAAACTGAGAACTGTAATTCATGGCATTTCTTGTATTGTAAGAATGCAGTTTGAGAACTAGATATGAACGTATCATGGAAGCTTATTACTGGTCTGCGTCAAGGCAGATCAAGTTTATAAAATCGGAACACTATCAGTTATTACCTCAGTATCCTAGAGCGGGTTGCGTAAAGCCGATTAATTTCTTCCTGTTTAATGCAACACATGCCATTTTTGAGGTCTAAATTTCGGATCAAGAAGAAGACTGGTCCAACGAAAACAGGAACTTTGAGAAATTCGCACGCCATTGACATTGGCGAGAGGGCAAATAAGCGGCGAAGCCTCGAGAAAGCAAAGTTTCACCTAGCCTGTGAACGGGCTCTCTGCTTCGCTTTTCCCTCTCCCCAGTTCCCCGCTCGACCAAAGGCCTGTTCACAGGCTAAGTTTCACCGGGAGCTTCAAATACCAACTTGATAGAAATAGATTACAAAGACAAATTACTTACTAGTACAAGGTCTGGTGACTTAACATCCTGGAGTTTACAGTTGTTCTCAATGCAGCAAAGAGGTTTTGCTTTTGTTTGTGTCTATGCTTCTCCTAATTTCTGTCTTTCCGCCAATTCATCAAGCATGTTTGATGTTGGCACTAGTGAGTTTCGATAAACTTTGAAAATTCACCGCTCGCTTTAACATGCATACCTTTTTATGTACATAACCCGTATCTTACTGAAAGTGTTCTGAATCCGTTCGCTGTATAAGTAAAGTGTATAAAGTATATGTACCGTTTAACTATATAAAGGTCAATTATTGAGCTTCGAGATGAATAGCCTGAATTAAAGACAATTTGAAGTTCGTGTCATCAGCACTTTGACGCTGACTCAATTTGCGTTTAAAAAAGTCAATTATCGACCGTTTGATCTATTTACATTATTTTTTTTAAGTACGTGCAGCCAATTAGCCTCCCACGCAGGTGGTTTTTGGGGAGCTCGTATTTCGTCCCTTAAAACGCCTCAGTGGGAGGCTAGTGCAGCCATGGAAAAAAAAACGGTAAGTAATCTTTTAAATTTCCCAGGTCGGAAATTGCAAACGAACTAATTCCTTTTTTAATAGGCTGAAGGAAGATAACAATTTAAAAGAAAGAATATTGAAACGTATTTATATTTTTATCTTGGGGCACAATGTGGACCATAAATTACAGATTATCATTATTGATCATCTTTATCAGTCTCGGTTGAATAAGGCCCGTGCATCTTGATGTGTTTTATAGTGGGTTGTTTTCTCTTAAAAGCTGCTCGCTGTCTGCTCTGGCTAACGTATCGTTTTCTTGCAGTACTATAATTCTGTATAGTCTAGGTTGTCATGAACGGGTTTCCGACAAATAATCACTCTCGATATGGTTGTCTACAGATTTACTTTGATAACTTTAGGGTTACAGATTTCCTAGGTTCTATCGTGTCTCGATCTCTCACTCAACCTAATTGAGAATTACATAATTACGAAAGTCTTCCAAATGTACAATGTTTAAATAAGTTTATGTTTCACTCTCACATGAGATTCTAGGTCACGCAATGGTCGACGAGAAGGTTTTATGGTAGCCTGAGTGTGTACAGCCGCCCCCTAATCGCCCCTTGAATTGGTAGACCAGGTAAAGTCGCCTTTCGGCGATTCTAGTTCTTGAAAGAAAACATGAACAAGCCAATCTGTTGCATGTAGATATTAGTTATGTTAAGAAGATTATGGTCATAGAATAATCGAGCACTGGTGCATCAACACAGACTGTAACACAGGATTTAGTGATTACTCTTATGATACATTTCTGCAACCCAAAAAGTCTATTCAAGGTAGTTTTATACGCAGATCTCCAAACAATGATTCCACACTTCAGATGAGGATAGACAAGGGCAAATTATAAGGTTACGCAACGATGGAATAGAAAGGTAGAATCTGGCTTTCGTTATTATATCTATAGATTTAGAGACCTTACTGGCATTAAGCATTAAGGTAACATGTTCTTTTCAAGTTAAATTCTCATCTACATAAACACCAAGAAATTTAATTCAGAAAATGTTTTAAGTTCAACAGTTTCGTTGTTTATTCTTATATTACAAGGCACGGAGGGTAGTTTTCTTTTCGTTCATTGTGAGATTATTGGCCATTAACTGATAAGAAATTTTCAGCATTTGAGAAAAAGTCTTTAATGTCATCAGCAAATAGTATAAACTTAAGAGCCAATGTCTGTAATTTTCGAGAATCGGTTGACAGTCGTGAATTTTTGAATTTCTTCATATTTCGCCCAAATAAACTCTATAGTACACTAATTTCAAAAATCACGTTACAACTTGTAACAGCTTTTTATTTTTTCAGGAATCAGGCAAAGTTTGATAAACTCTAAATCAGGGCCGTAGCCAGGAAGAAACTACAACCGAGGCGAACACACGGTCCGTTGTACGAAATCAGCCGTATGAAATCTTCTAATATTATCAGTCTGATAAAAAAAATAAAAATCGACAGTATTTGGTAAAATTTTACCGAGGCGAGTGCCTCGGTTCGCCTCATACTGGCTACGGCGGTGTAAATCGGCGCTCTTTCGAGTATGAAATTAGCGAAAATTGAGCATTTTCTTCGCCCTCATACATAAAAACGGAATAATATCTCTAGATGAAATCAAGTCACAAAACAGACACACATTTTTACTTTATAATTCAGCTATTAACTTTAAATAAACCGTTAAAATGTGACTGTACCAGCCGCAAGAAGAAACACGGTTTCAGCACTTTTCAAAAATTGCAAATTTGACCTAACTTCACCATCGTAAAAACCCAGTTGGTACATAGAATTTCAACATGAAACAAGAACTGTATTGAAGCATATCCTTTGCTGTTGTTTGTGTTAAAATATTTCTGGCGGCATTCCAAATGCGCACCGTCGAGAGACCAAAACCTAAACGGTATTTTGACACCGGTATTTTAACTGATTAGAAATTTTCAGCAGTTGAGAAAAAGTCGTTAATGTCATCAGCAAATAGTATAAACTTTTAAGTTTATCATTAATATTAAAACGTAAAGGGCCCATGATAGAACCCTGTGGAACACCACTTTTAACATTTAACCTTATGATACTCAGAGGCCAGGCCGTTACATTCAACATACTCTTTGCGATCTGTGAGGTAACTACAGATTCATTTTGGTGTTTTTTCCCGGTTACGCGCGAAATGTTCGAAACTTTTACAGCCACCAAAAAATCTTATCATGTAGCAGAAACTTTGAATCTTACTAAAAACTAAAGCCAAATTTGTTTGTCTGGGCTGTAATTTTTATGTAAAGTGACTTTAAATTACCCGGATCCTGTAAAACGTGTAAAAAAAAAATGGACAGTTTTAACATTATCTCATACTTCTCTCTAAATGCGGAGTTTCTTATCATTCATATCAAAATGATAGATCTTCTGTCCAGAGTTCTTTTTCTCTTTAACATATAATTTTCTTGTAACCATAGCGAGTTAAAAACACCAAAAACGGGGTCACCATTCTCGTTTCACCGTAAAAAGACAACAAAGTGACAATTTCGGCTTAAAATGATCGTTTAGCGCGAAGGGACTGGGGCAAGTTTCAAGACTAACACTGTTTTAGCCGGGAAGAGCTATTATAATCACTATATTAGACTACAAAAGGAGCCTTTGTTACCTCTCTTTAGTCACCCGATGAATATCGCCGCCACCTTTGAAGTCACAACGTCATTCGTAGTAGGTAATGCACGGTGCAATACGAGTGAACTAACTAAATTCATGCACTTACGTTGTCAATAATGAATTGTAAGAAACTGCTTTGGGTCATCTCCATCCCAATAACCGCCAGCACATCTCTTCTTAGATTATTGTCTAGTGGCTTTCCGGTGCAGCTGTGAGTTGAATATAGAGTTTAGAGAATATAACATGTATTGCTGATTCGCAACTGACGTCACGGTGGCCATGCTGGTTGACAACCCTCCGCAGGGCTAAAACTAAACTGATTTTCATACAAATTCTGTGAAATAAAATGCATTGTTTTGTCAACCGACATAGCCGCCTTGTCACGTCGTTGCGAATTGGATTTACCCTAGTATCAATGACAAGCGTCTGCTCTCAAAGATAAATGACAACATGATGAAGAAGATTGTTCCATTTGAATTTCCACCAAAACAAAAGACTTAATTGTGTAAATAAAAAGCTTTTGTAGTTTTCCAGACTTAATTTCAAACTCAGCAGAAATTAGTTATGGTAATATATGATTGAGCTATCATTAGCTTGCGTAGCAAGCGTTTCCGTGCGGTTTAGGAGAAAAGAACGAGGAACGAGGAACGAGGAACGCGCGATAAATGACGCAAGATAAAGAGCGGGGAAGGGGTTGGGAATAAAGGAAGGAAACGCTTGCAGACAAACCCCGGGACTTTGAAAACCGTCCACTTGGCCTGTCATGCCTGAGTTAACGCACCGACTTTTGATGCTGTTATCAGCTGTCATCATTGACCAATAAAATGTGTGGCCTTCCGAGGAGCGGAAATGAACTTTAGAGGACGCATATGTGAACGCGTGGACGGCGTTAATGGTGAAATCTCAATGAATCCGCACAAATGCAGGCTTTATACAATTGTCTTGTTAATCCGTCTGAAAGGAAGGACCGCAAGGGTGATTTTTTGAAGTTTTAGCTCAAAACCTCCAGAAAGTTGGATTTGAAGTGGTAAAATGTGACGGCGTATTTCTACAAGGACAAAGATCAGCTAGACAGAACAGCTTACCGTTCTCGCCACGGCACAGACAACTAGAGTTGCTCTTGTAAAAACATCTAAGAACAAAGCTAACCCGTCAACTGATGAAGTTCGCGTGGAGAACCGAAACCATAGTCTTGCCTGATCAGAGAGTAGCAATAACGGAAGAGACGCAATTCAAAAGTTATTACCAAGTAATCATTGCTTAATCAGCAATCTTGACTGGGTCACAATGCAGTTCTCCATAGCTGATGTAGCTTCAGTTTAAGGTGCAATCCACTCTTTGAAATTTGGATCTGTAAATCACTATCCTAGAGAATTTTTAAACATCCCGCCAAAGAAAAAAGTACCAACGAGCTGGGCACTTTGCATTGGAGGGCAAATATTCACCACAAAAAATTAATTTGGTCTCACGTACCATACATGACCTCTCAGTATGAAACAAACCTTTAATCGACACATGTCAATGTTGTTCGACTAGCCGCGCCAATCAGGCGCTGCGTTCGCTGGCGAACGTAGGTCTTCAAAATCGAGGGGTTGTCAGCAAGCGTTTCCTTACTTCCCCTCCCGCTCCCCCCTCTGTCATTTTTTCGCTATAATTTCATTTCTCGCGCGGCCGTTTCTCGGTCTTTCTTTACTCCGAAACCAAACGGAACCGCCTGCAACGCAGGCTAAGCTATCATTTTTAACCTTATCAACTGAAATCAACATGTTACATGTACCTGGAGGTGCGGACAGCCTTGCTTAAGCTTATCATTGATTCAGGAACAGGTTGATACGGTGATGACCTTAGAGACACTACCAGCTTATTAGGTGACGATACTGCTTGCCTGAACCTGCACAATCAAATTATAATGCATGGTGAGCTTTTTTGTCTATTCTGTTATCGAATACGCCTACAACGTTTTGGCTGTAGTGAAATAAAACTGAGCCAAAGGAAAAAAAAAATTAAAACAGATTTTTAATCGAGAGAGAATAGATATATTTCTGTGACTGACCGTTTGTTTCTTTCCTCCTGTCACTTACAAAACTTTATCTACAGTAAAATACTTTTAAAAGCATGCTCCTCATTAATATAGGGAATAATGCTTTCCTATGAAAGCAGCTGACTAACTTGCGGTACACTTGCTCTGATTTGGCGGGTGATTACAGAAAACAAATATGTATCGGCAATGGATCTTTTCTCAACGCTACGATAACTAGTGAAATGTAGAGTTAAAAGGCAAGTTGTATAGTGTTATTATCACTGATATGTATTGCTGTGCTCGAGTCTGCCCTCACCATGGTTGGTGTTTGTGGGAATAAGTCTTCTCAAAGCGACGTCCAGGATATATTCTCAAAACACCGTTTTTCGTTCCGATGAATCTAGTTCAAGAGACAAAACGTCCTATGAGTAACCAGGTGCTGGGTGAAATCATTGAGGGTATTTATAACCACATGAACTGAGAAATGCATCCAGATGGGTAGTTTAATTTGGGGCATTTGTTAAACCGAAGAATTTTAGCTTTAAACAAAAATACATAGCAAGTAAAATATGGTAATTCCGGTATTAATGAGAGAAGGTTTGGTTAAATTTAACTTTAGGGCGTACTTACGTCTGTGCGAACATGCATGTAAGCCAATGTAAATGTCAAATCCATTGCAGGTCATGTTTTTGGCGGGAAATCGTGTAGCAACAAGCGTTTTATTTTTCGGGAAATGCATGCCCAAAGGTTTAAGGCCCCGGGTAAACGATCGAACATTTGTTTGTGATGCTGATGCAAAATGTTGGATGGAAATGTTTAATCTAGATCAAACATCAATGGCCCTTTGTAATTTCTCTTTAAATGTTTTCAGGCTTAAAAGCAACAACAAATACCATCAGACATAGCACGTATGCAACGGCTTTACGCGTATTCTGCAAATGAATCCACCCACAGTTTTAAGTAAACAGTCATCTTATGCAAGAACACCGATTTTAGTGTTGGCTACATTTATAACTTATGACATGTGAAATGATGACTGTCTTCGATTACTTATCTCCATCAATACTAATACGAAACGTGAAGGGAAAGCGAAGCAATGCACAAAATCCAACATCTCTTAAACATTTGAAAACATAACAGACTCACCTCCATGCAACTAAATCCGGATAAATAAATTCTGCCTTCTGCCAAATGGTCTCTAGCACTGATGTGAGCATCACTTCTATACGAATAGCTTCACTAAGACCTATTACGAAAATATCAAAATGTTCAATTCCATAGATATTAAGGAATTACATTATTATGTTTTTTGCCTGTAGAAATTGAAAGACCTAGCAATTACTTTGGGCGTTAGTAGTACGGAGTGGTCCATGATTGTGATGTGCCACGTCCTTCAGTAGGGGCCGATGCTAAGGTTGCAAACTTGTCTACAGAGGGCGGTATTACTAGTTACTATATGGTGCACTTCATTTCCGCAACTGCCCTGCCCTACACCTCAAGAGAGACCCCAGCTACCTGTAACCCTACAAAAAAAACTCAGTAAGACTGAAATGTTAACCTTGGTACTTAGCTTGAAAACTTTTGTCGTCAAAAAAGTGTTGTATACTTTGGATATCCTTAACAGTTTCCGTTGGGAAGATGTATTTATCACAGTCGTTAAATGCATCTGGTGTTATCTGAAAATAAATTCGATTATTTGATTAGTGACTACTTCGTTTAGATAAACATCAGTAAAAGTGGATAATCAGCCTTACAGGCGAAACAAAAAACATATATAACGTAAGACACGTTGAAAATAATCATGCAATCAAACTAATGCCTTATGCACATATAACATGTTAACAATGATTATCCAAAAAAAGCGCAACAACAAGTTTGTAGAATAATGGAGCACAGAACAAAGCAATCCAAAGCTCATATAGAAAATAGTTCGTTGCACTGGGAGTTTACATTCCTTTCTCAATCTTCCTTCAACCCTCACCGAGTGGTAATACAATAAATAACCTGCTGAAGATGTTCTTATCCTATCAAAGCCGAGAGACTAAAAGCAACCCTCTCTAAGGGGAAACAACACCAAGTAAGATAATTTATGCCCTGACCAGTTATAACTACTATTATTTGCTTAAAGTAACATTGTGCGCGCATCGCGAGCTGTCAGCTAGCTCCGTTTGTCCAATGAAACACACAGTCGAACAAATGGGAAAAATTTGCCACGAGTGTGGCTTTTTTAAAATTCGTTAACAATAAACAATTATTGGATGAGGTTGAGCATGATATTATGAATTATCAAAACCGAGGCCTGTGTTATCTGCCGAAGCCGAAGGCTGAGGCAGATAATACAGACACGAGGTTTTGATAATTCACGATATCATGCGAAAACCGAATTCAATAATTGTTTTATTATACATTTTTTAAACAATAGGCAAAAGAAGACATTGAGCTATTCTGCATCTGAGGAGAACACTCCAAGGGGCTTGGTAACCAGGCAGACGTTGAACTTGACATGATAAATGCAACATCTGCAGCAGATATTGCATTTATCATGTCAAGTTCACAAGCTGTTTTGAATTGATTGAATGCTCTCGACCAATCAGATTTTTCATATAGTGAGTCTGATGTCTGATGTATAATAATAACAATTAAAGACCGTCGTTATCTCGACGGCAAACACTTGAACATGAGACAACAAAAGGCGGTTGGGGAGGAGGAGGGATTCAAAATCACTGAAGTTGACTCGACGGAGAGGAGTTAAAAGGAGAAATGACACTAGTGCTGTCCACCTTTTAAAGCAGCGAAATATGATATACACTTCACGTGCCTAAGTTCTGGGAGACGTGAAAAAACCCGCCTCGTGATCACTGCATGACAAGTAGAATAGATAAACTTTACATTGCATAAAAACCAATTATTCTGATTATTCGTAGCTCATAATTGTTGCTTTTCCTATCCGAGATCCACAACGCACAACAAATACCGTATATGTTCCGATATCTCGCACGCACCTATTCTCGGACTGTAAGCAATAATGTTTCGTAATCCTTCGTATCCAGAAAGATGGGCTCCGATGAGTAATTGATTAGTCTACTTTCGCTAACTCTTTTTGGGATCGGTCCGTTGGTGGGAAAATTTGGAGATCTTGTGAAAGAAGGTAAAATGTGTTTCTGTCTAAGTTCGCATTTCGCTGCACATTGAATTACATCGTTTCAGTCTGCACTCTGTTCTTGTCAAATACTCAACGGAAATAACCCCCTTTTGGAGAAAGTCGGACAAAATGGAACAAGGTTTGCTTCCAAGTAAGAATTAATACGAGTTAACTGTTTCACATTTTCGAGGAAGAACAGGGGGAAAATCTGCGACGAATACTCCTGGAGGACTCACTAAAACTGACTTTAAAATGCTTTTTAAGCCACAAAACGTGTTTTTTACTTTTAACATTACATCGTTCTTCTTCAATGAGACGTATATTAACATAATGAAGAGGATTAATCACCTACGAACCATCGTCCGAGAATGAGGGCCGGACTACCTGTCCGAGAATAGGCCGCTCGACTTCTACGATATTTTTCAAAACACAATGACGTTGAACCTTGAGCGTTCAACCAGCCAGTCGCCGTAGGAAAAGGAACTACATACTAGGAAAGTATCAGCTTGCTCCTGCCCTTCTGAGGTAAGTTGTTGTGATAAATGCAAAAAGTGTCCGAAAATAGGCACATATACTGTGTATCTTCCATCTAACTTAGTTCTTCCACCACAAGACTGGAGACTAGATGTCACAAACGGACATCTGTACAGGCAGCTAACACTTTTGAAAAGAATGAAAATTATTCAAAGTGACAAAGTTGAACTTTTACCCGAACGCCTTGTGAAAACTGTCGCTGCTAAGTTGAAATAGCAAATCGACACAGAATAAGGCACGTTGTTTTAAACATAGTTTGTCTGACTCAACTTGCCTTGACAGTAGAAGACGTTGGGGAAATGAGACTTGTGTTCCATCTACAGACTTCTTTTGGATGGGATACACTAGAATTCCAGGATAAATCTAAACGATGGTAAAACGTGGGTACACTCTGCGAAATGTTTCTAACCTATAAATAAACCGACAACAACATCAGTGATTTAGTGAATTAAAAGTGAACATAGAGAGTGGAAGCGCAAGATAGAGCAAAAGAAATAAACCAAAAAGAAACGCCCGCCGTGCAGCAATTTTTCTACTATTGTACTCGATAAATATAGTTTATTAGAGAAGAGCACAATTTTAAAGGAAAAACATACTTTATTTATGGCCAAGAGACGCACCATTTGGCAATCGTTGAGCATTCAAGACAGACAGGACCGCATGAGGCTTGTGGCAAGCTGGGGCATTTACTACGTCGAAAACTTGAAAATATACGACACATATCCCTGTCGAACTATGTCAGAGACACCAAGAATACTTATTACTTATTTGTAACAGAAACATGCCAGATAGTAAGCTTTGTACGATATATAAAATATGTAGTGTTCGGAAACTACAACTTACTGGTGTAAGATCTTTCGTTAGAGACTTTTCATCAGCTACAACACAGAGAATGAAATAGTCACTGCCGGTTACTGCTGACCACAAGTAAGTGGCCCTCATCTTAAGAATTTTTGTCCCGTCTGTTGGTCGATCACCAAGTGGTAACGCGAAGCTCACCTGAAAGGAAAAAACTCTCGAAATTATTTTCCTTTTATAGCCCCAATATGGTCCCATGTTTTGCAACGCTTTTCAGTTGCAACCTTTGTGATTAATAAAGAAGCTAACATGCATTGGCCTTATTTATACCGGAGGACGTCTGAGATGTCTACGAAAAATGACGTCTGAAATTAAGTACAACAGATCTACTCATTTAACAAACTCTTTAGTAACCTTTCAAAAGTCAAGTTTACCGAAGAGCCGCACTAATATCGCAATCAACAGCCAGGATAAGTTTCATACGTACATTAGCCTACACGTCACTGATTATGTCTTCAAGGCAGTAGATGAGAGAAGGACTACAGCCATGATCTTAATTGATTTGAGTAAGGCTTTTGAAAGTCTCTCACATAAATCTTTTGGTTCGTAAAATACAAGACTTGGGTAACTCTGAGTCTTCCACAAAGTGGTTCGAGAGTTCCTTGACCGAAAGATATCGGCTACAACCCGTATGGGCTGCATGCTATTTTCACCATTACCTGTCTGTTATGGAGTTCCCCAAGGATCAATTCTCGTTCCCTTATTGTTCACCCTTTACATCAATGATTTGCGGAATATCGTCTCAAATTGCGAAATTGAATCTTACGTAGACGATACTAAGCTGTTTCTGGCAAGCGTGCGTCTCTCAAGATCTCCATCGGTTGTGGAATGGCTCTGTCAACATCCGTAACTGATTAATCCCGAAAGTTTATCCTTTTCGGTACAAAGCAGCGGCTAGGAAAACTTGTTAATCCGACGGTATCGATTCTGGGCAAAACCTTAACTCCTGACAAGGTCTGAAAGGATTTGGGCATCTATCTTGATTCCGGTTTGACTTTCCATACTCATATTGACACTTTAGTGTCCTCGCTTTTTTCTACCTTGTGTAAAATTAATAGAATACGGAATCTCATTGATAAATCGATATTTTAAATTATTCTAAATTCACTCGTTTTAGGAAACTTTTTTATTGTTCGACAGTATAACATATTGTAAACATATTGTGTTTTTGAGAGCTTTTTGAGGTAATATCGCAGCTTTCAACACCATCTCCGCTTATCTATAATAAGGCACCAAACAATATAAACATTCTGGCTCATACGGAAACGAAAAGTACACATTATTTACCTCAAAATTGTGTTGGCCTGACCCACCCGATGTAAGGTTGTATATGAAATCAGGAGGCAATGCAGGTTCCAACAGTGTCAGCGGCAAAAAAGAGTGGCTGCTTGTTACATCCATTGGGCCAGGAGAGGAAGGATGAAAAATAGCGCGCCCTGAAATACGTGATTGTGGTGAAACCATCGCTGTTCAAGAGTATCCTAACTTTCCCCTTCCTTAGTTAACGAAGGAGAGATAATGTATTTCTAACTTTTTAGTTTGCGGAAGAACTATAGAGTAGTGTGACAAGTAAATAAAACATAGAACCTGTTTTTTTTTTTCATATAGTACTATTAGTTTTAGAATATTTAGCAAAATAAAGTTTGGGTACTGTAATTTTTCCTTGAAATTCGGATTTGGACTCTCTTAGAAGAGAAAGAGCAACATGCTTTAGGGTACTGGGAAAAAAAGTGTCATTATCGTAAGTATGCCCAGTCTATCAATACAACGCTTTTATGGGCTGAATTGGCCTGTCATGTTAAACCTAAGGCAGCAGTAAACCAGGCTAGAATTTTCCTTACCAGTTGACAGTAGCACATGTAAAAACAACCCATTCCGTCTCTGTTTTACGACAACAGGTGTCTTCGCTGGCTAATTTATACCGGAGACAAATGCACCCCACCGTAAAGTGGGCAACAACAGAAAACCAGCGGGCTAAGTAGTTTTCACCCAGCCACCGAACCTGTCAAAACCTTTTAATCTTCTACCACAAAACTAACAAAAAGATTGATAGTGAACAAGCTAAAACAAAGAAGAGGATCAAATTAAAGTCTGCGTGTGTGGAAACTCTACTTTATGCGTTTTACATACGTACATACATGCATACATGTACATACATACAACCCGTCTTAGCAGGCTATACTGATCTTCGCTGGATGACGCATTTGTCTTCTTAATTTCAGAAAATTCGAGAGATAAATACAATTTTGTTTTTACGTCAGCCGAGCTGGGTGCGGAGTCTGTTACCAAAAATAAAACCTTCGTTAAAACTGTAAAAGCATATTACCTTCTTTGTCTACAAGTACAGCATACGTCAGGGTTGAGGACGGAAGCTGAAAGATCTCTTTAAACAGGCGCTTGAGAGGCAGATCAAGAGCAAGCACGCCCTTAAAAGTTCCATTTTGGATAAGTGCTACGGATAATACCACCTTCAGACCAAGCGTCGGGTCTACATGAGGCGCGGAAAGCATGGGTTCTTGCTCTAAAGGAGTCTTAACTGATGTGTAGTAACTTCCCATAATTGTTTTCAACACACCTCCCTGTTGATCTCTGATTTCATTGAATACACCATTATTACTGAGAGCAATTCTTCGAAGGCGTTGAAGACTGATCGCTGACAGGCCGGCACCAAGAGCGTAAGTGTTGATCTGAACAGAATGGTTCTATAAACAACAGTTCTACTTAGTCTAGCTACTCACTGGCCAGTTAACAAAAAATGTACAGATCATATATAAACGCATGCTAACAAGTCAGCCTAACCATACTGATCTGTCCTTCCTCAATTGCTTGATATATTGCATCTTCAGAATCAGTGGGGTCACCATCCGTGAGAAACAAGATGATATTGCTTGTCCCGGAACTCTGAAAAAAATGAAAATGCATAAATTTGCTATACTGTTTGATAGCATGAGTACTTGAATATACGGTGTTCAGTGCTCTCATAAACTTACAGTTCGTAATGGAGTAGCATTTAAAAATACAGAACTAGTTAACTGATATCGGCATCCTACCTTATCATTCGTTACATTCTGAAACATGCCGAAGGCCACTTTAAACGCTTTGGCATAGTGTGTTAATCCTGTACAGAGGGAAAAGTCATCAAAAAGTAGCTTTAAGTTATTAAGCCCGACTAACTTTGAGTTTAAAGGAAAAGATCAAATTCTTGTAGAGAAACAGGCGGATGAAAGACATTTCCAAACGCCACTAATAACCGAACGAAGCGTCACAAAATACAACACGTGCAAGACTGGTATCTTTGCGCCAAAACTACAGGTCACGTGACCCTAGCTCCTACACTAACCCACCCCCCCCCCCCCCCCCCCCCCCCCCCCCAACCAACGGGAATGAAGACTTTTTGGGGTAACTAAAGAAACAAAAAAAAAAAAAACAACAAATCTCTATCGACGAGTTTGTTTGTCTTGTTACACACACAATTCCCTCACACGTGATTTTTTTTTTTTTTCTCACCTCCTCTCTTTCGTTTTGTGGTGTCAGGTTGCCCCAACTCACTTCTGTTAAAAAAAACGGCCGATGAAAAGCATTTCCCAACGCCAATAAAAACCGAACAAAGCGTCAAAAAAACAAACCCGGTCAAAGCTGGTTATCTTGCCCCAAAACCTCAGGGCCCCTGACCCCAGCCCCCACCCTAACCCCCCCCCCCCCCACCCCCCCCCCCCCCCCCCATAAAAAGTGGGAGTTTAAATTTGTTGGGTTTAACAAAGGAAAAAAATAATAGGAAAACGAAATGTCTATGTCGGTAGTTAGTTCAGTTTGTTCAACACCAAAGTTCAGCAGAGTGTGTCTTTTCTTTTTCCACTGCTCCCCTTTGTTCGTTAGGTGGGTAACTTTCCGCACACCTGAATCTTCTTTTAGACTGGGAATTCCATCCTTCTGTGCCTGGATGACCCTTCGGAAACTCCCATGTTCTTTCCCAGTGGTACATCTGAAGACATTACAGCATTGAACTCCCATTATCCATAGCGATCCAGGGGACGCCTCATTCTCTTCAAGGGTGAACGGTCATCAATCGTTAATGGGGTACGTCCGTACGTGTAGTATCAGAACTGCTGCTTTCGTCATACTCAATGTCCACGTTGGTTTCCACCGCTTTCTCTTGTACTTGTCCCAGATCTTTATGAGGCAAGAGGGTAACGTCTAAGCCGCCGTGTTGGGCCTTACGTCCACTTCGTGCTTGCGGGGTGGTCTCCGCAATTTGAGCTTGGGGGTGGTTACGTCAAGGGTGGTCTCTTCAACTGGTATCTCCAAGGTGGTGTTCTCAGTTGAAGACACCACCATGGAATTTCGTGGGAAGGAGAAAAGATCTGCTGGTAAGTCGTCACTTTCGTCCCATTTGTGCGAGTGTCAATGGCAACTTTGCCTCAAGCTTAATACCTTTCTTCTGTCCCCGTGTGAATTCACCTCGTTTTGTACTGGTACAGCTTTAAATTGTTAAAATGAATAACTTTCGAACGGCGTCCGGGATCACTTGGCGTCTTTATGCGATAGTTAACCTCAGTTGTGCGCTCTAGAACCTCATAAGGCCCCTTCCTTTCGCCGTGAAACTTCGCAGCTTCGCCTGTCTTAACCTGAGGATTGAACAGGAAAACCAAGTCACCGGGTACATATTGGCAAGTTTCAACACCGTTGTCAAAGCAATCCTTCTGTCGTTGCTGGGCCTTTTTAAGCTGTTTTTCCACTAAACAAACATCAAACTTCAGGGCGGAAAAACGTGATGAGCATGCATGAACTTTTTTGCCCAGATCCATTGGCCGGGTTTGAAAAAATGGCGGGATTTCAAATATTTTTTGCCTAAAAATTATAAAATGTTTCCACTCAAAACCTGAAAAGTACAAGCAATTTTTCTTCAAAAGTTGCAAACTGTGGTTATAACCTTCTCATTACTTAATTTTCTGGAAAAATATCTTATAGTAAAACGGACTTTAACGACAGTAATTTTCTTGCGTTGTACATGAAATGTGCATGCGTAGGTCCGATTTTTTTCAAGATGCATTCACAAAATGTGTTCATATAAGGAAGGTCTTGGATATATAAGGTCTGGAGCTCCACTGTGGACAAAAAAAATATATATCTTTGTACAATGATTTGCCCAATAAATTAATGTACGCCCACAATGTGTTTGAAGTCACTGAACTTTGTCGCCCTCGAGCTGAAATTTTAAAACCCACCCTCGATCGGACAATTGTAGCTTCACAGACCACTGAAATATAAACAAAATCCTCAATGTAGAAGTTTTGGCGTTGATATGTGGGCAGAAAAAGAGTCAATCTTTATCAAGTAAAATCTTCCCAAAAATCGGTTCAAAGCAACTATAGTTTTCAGTCAAAACTTAATAGTTTCTCGCAGATAAATTTTGCTTTTGTGTTCTCAAGTTGAACATGCATAACACCTGTCAAAACCCTGCGCGTAAGTAGGATTTCCTTCAAACAAAGTTAAAGTTACATTATTGCAAAAATTACTTTCCGGTTACGTATATGATTTAATTTCCAACTGACTCACTTCAAGGAAGAGACGCCACTTTAAGCTCACCAAGAGATGCGACAAGCATAGAACAATTCCATCATGCACAAAATTCAGCGAACTAAAAAAAAGCTTGAACAAGGTTGCAAAAACTACAAATTATCATAATTCTACCTGCTGACAGTGAAGAAATGAATTTTCTTTAGAAAAACAACCCACCTAAAGATCTTAAAACCAAAAGATCAGTTATAAGCTTCGCAGCCAAGCCATGATTCACCATTAGCTATTTTTAATAACTGGTCCATGCGAGGGTCTTCATTCAAGCAACTTGCACTCAGAAAATCATTACAAGGGTCTGCTTTGCTCGCTTCAGTCAAATCCAGCTCCAGCAATTGTTCACGGGCAGAGGGTCAATTGTTTTGAAGTCACTGCCGGCAGTTATCGTTCTCTACTTCACAGCGAGTGAAAAGGAAAATTTGCGTACAGAAAGTTATTTCTTATAAAGAAAAGAAACTTTCGCAGTGCACTAAAAAACAAAAGTATGAATTAAAAATGACATGAAAACACTCTGACTATTATTACTTGAGCAACAGAGAAATGATCGAAGTAGTCTTTTCTTCTCGAGTATGCTTGCTGGTCTTATATTTCTGAGAAATTTTTAAGCCAACAAGTTTGTTCACTCGCATACGTTAGCAATATGGTTCTTTGACCGAAGAGAAGGATAAATCTGGTTCTGCAAAGGTATTAAATCTGGGCATGCAATAAAAGTAACTGTAACTACTAATAATAGGATACAAGCGGGTTTTAATTCAGCCCGGCGAAAGAAGGTGAAATCAACTCACAAATTAACCGAATGCACAATCAGAAAAATACTCGCCTCTTTGGAAATGTTCAAAACTTTTTATTCCACCTCAGACTGACGGAATGATCCGTTTTTCCTTTAACATTGGTTGTTCTGAATCCAAAGTAATTTTCAAGTGACGGAAAAAAAAAAACAGGTAAAAAGGCTTTACCATAGCAAACGTTCACTCTCAGTGACAAACAAACACAGTCAGAACAGCCCGCCTTGAGCCTGCAATAAGACGTGCGCAGAATCTTGCGCAGAACGTTTTTCCGCCCTGAAACGTCAAGCAGGCTGCGTAGTAATCCTTAACGGCACTAGCGAGGCCTGGTCTCCAGAATCTTGCTTGCACCTTGCGCAAGGTCTTGAGGCGCCGAAGGTGACTACCTTCCATTCCATCATATAGTCGTTTCAACGCAGTGTGCACCAGGCTAGCGGGAGAATGAATCAGGCCTTTAGTGCTTCTCTCTGTCCTCAGCCTTTAGCTTCAACACATTGTCCCACAGTTCCAGTAATGGATACTGTGCATATATTGCTCTGGTAAGGAGACTGTAGGTTTCCTCTTCTTACGCTGTGGGTGGAGATCTTCCTTCTTTGATTTGTGTAATCAGTGGGTGCATATGGAGGTTGCGAAATGTCAAAATCGTACTCTTGGGAGTCTCTCCAACCAGCCGGCTACTAGGCTTTCAGGTTGTTTAAACAACATCAACCACTTCAAGGCATAGTGGTCTGTTCGGATGAGAAACTTACGAACAAGCAAATAGAACTAAAATAGTCGACAAATTCCACTAATACAAGCATCTCGAGTCGAGTTGCACAATAGTTCCTTTCAAGGAGGTGTAATGCTCGACTTCCATAGTCCACAACACGGTCTGTACCATCTACCTGCTTCTGAGACAGCACAGCTCCAATACCATGGCCACTGCTTGCATCGCTATCCAGAACAAACTGGCCACTAGATGAGCGGCAGTCAGGATATACAAGAACAGGTGGTTGAACGAGGCACTGCTTAAGTTCACAAAAGGCTCTCTCCTGTTCAGGACCCCTTCATAGTCAAGCAGTTCAAAGGTTCTGCCTTTTCTGAGAGGCAAGGAATAAATCGACGATAGTATGTTACGAGGCCGAGGAAGCCTTTCACTTTCGAGGTATTATCACCGGTTAGCCAGTCAAGGATAGCACTAGTCTTCTCTGGATCAGTATTGATGCCAACAGCCGATACCACGTGACCAAGAAAGGAGACCTTTCCCTGAAGGAAGGCACACTCCTGCGGTTTCAATTTCAACCCTGCCTTTCGTAATTTCAAATACTGCTCGGAGAGGGAATAGGTGTTCCTCAAACGCACTGGGTACGACAATTACATCATCCAAGTAAACCAAGCAGTGCTTCCAGTTAAGTCCTCGTAACACTAAGTTCATTAGCCACATAAACGTTCCAGGCCCATTGGTTAGCCCAATTGTAAACAGGTCCACTGGAATTGACCTCGATGCGTGACGAATGCCGTTTTGAGCAAGTCTTTCTTGGCAACGGGGACATGCAAATACCCTGAGGCCAGGCTGAGGCAGCTGAACCACTTTGCCCCAACACCTAAGGATTTCAGAATATCGTCCGTCCTCGGAAGAGGTTGAGCATCCCTTACAGTAACTGTTTTATGTTAAGCTGTAATCTCTTGTAATGCATCTAAGCATCATACTTCATGGCCAGAACAGTGGGACTACTCCAGGGGCTATTGGGTGGTTCTTTTCCCTTTTTTCATGAGCTGAGAGAGTTGTCGGTCAACTTCATCCTTCACGGTGGTAAACGACGGGGTGCTTGTTTAATGGGTGCGGCGGAGCCAGTGTCAATTGTGTGTTCCATCAAATCGGTTCGCCCCAGCTCACCATCTCCGGTAGTCCTGGTATTCCTCTAGTAAATCAGCAAATGAAGTTTGTTGCTCTATCGAAAGGCCTGAGTAGTCAGCACGGATACCTATCTTCCACACTGATTCATCCAAGAAAGCCTTTGGTCCTTGATGACTTTGAATAGGCTTGAAAGACGTATTGTTCTCACTAGCACTTGAATCCACAAGGATTCTTGAATGGGATCGAGAAATTGCCCTTTCCAAGGCTTTAGGGTAATGGATTTCTCTGAGAAATTTCCTTGGTGAACAGTCATGTTACCCTCCTTTGGAATACTTAATGTTTGTGCCACACAAAATCTAGCACCAAACTTTTCCATTGCTTCTTTCTCGATCCCTTCCAAAATTCCGGGTGTCCCACCAATCCAGGTTCTAACTTTCCGCATAAAACTAGCCCTGTTCCTGGTTGGAACTCAACTTGTTCTGAAAGGATGATACAGTAAACGCACGGTGCCTTCTTCTGACAAAAGATCGGCCGCTCTTCCCTCTTAGCCACAGAGGTTCCCGTATCAAAATTCGACATGTCTCTTGTTCGAAGAAATCTGATCCAAGAATGCACGCGTGAGGAATGTCACGAACAATCAACATCAGCTTAAAATTTAGAATTTCCGAGGCGTAAGGATATTACTGATCTTCCCTGAATTGCTGAAACTTCACCATTAGCCAAGTCGGGAGTCACTTTCATCTTATGAAGCTTAGCTGAACGATTATTTCCGCTTTTCTTCCAAGTTTCTTCATTGAGGATGTTAGAGGTAGCGCCAGTATCTAGGAGAACTGAAATCCGAGCCTGATTGATCAGTCCAGAAATATGAACACCACGTCCACTCAAAACAAACAAATTCTCTCTCCTGGACGCTTCTCCCGTTGAAACATTTTGGGTCCTTGGATGATTTAAGGGGAAGGATCGACCCGTGGCAGTGCCCTATGTCCTTTTCCCGAAGCATTAGGGCAATCCCGGGCGTAATTCCCCTAATTTTGTCAACAATAACATTGAACTCCGGCGAGTTCCCGAGAGGAATAGCGGCCGCGTGGGGTATCGTTGTTCCAACCTTTCAAGCCTTGAGTTGATAGAGACAATCAGGTTCTTAAGCTCTGCAACATCAGAAAAATCTTCATCACTCTCGGCTTAGTTCAACTGCGGCCGTGCTGGTTTAGACAGTGTCGAACTGCGTGAAGCAGTGCGAGCTCTTTCCAACTGTGGAATCAGGCGAACGGCGACAGCGAGGCTATCTGGTTGCTTCATGAAAAACTGTTAGCGGCATCCATCACTACAACAAACGGGAACTTCCTTTAAGAACCGGTCTTTCGAGAGTTCTTCTTTGAATCGATAGGCGGCATCAGAGTAGGCGTTTTCTGCCAGTCCCAACAGCTCTTCAGCATACGCTTTGCTTTTGTTGACGAGCACGAATTAGCATCTTACAAGCGCGGGTTGATTTTCCTGAGTCAAACCGTGTCGTGATGCGTTCTAAGGACCCTTGATATGAGGTGCTCTCTGAGATTCGAAGAAGTTGAAGGGCTCCGTAGGCCGGCTGCTCCAACAGAGTAATCAAGTAATCATAAACGCTTCCGTCTTCTGTTCCGTAATGTCAGCAAGCTTTAAGTATTCCTCGAATTCCAATAACCATAACATGAAATTTCTTACCGAGCGAATATGGTTTCGGTTGATTTAGAGAGATGCCTCGGCCGATTGGATCGCTGTACTTGTACTCGGTTTAGCCACTGACAGTTTGAAGGCTTCAGTTATGGCCTTCACCAGATCGTTGAACGAAGCGGGTTTCGTGGCTTCATGTGGACCTGTTGGTTTTAATTCTACCAGTGGCGCTTTTCTCGCCGGACTTATGAAGAGATTTTTCCGGCCTCTGTTGAGAGCAACCAGTCGCTCTTTCTCCGTAGTTGTCAGACATGGTTTCCGTACCGTTGCCACCAATTTCTAGAGAAACAGGCAGATGAAAGACGCTTTTGACAATCGAACGAACTGCCACAAAATACAGTACGTGCAAGACTGATGTCTTTGCGCGATCTAGGTGACGTGACCCTAGGCTCCTACATTCTTCTTGAAAAGTGTTTTAGGGTCATTAGTTTCCTGATGGAAAGTGAAAGGTATAAAATTTGGATTCCCTCAAGTTTAACTGACAAAAGTAAAAAAAATCGTCACTGAATCTTCGCCTAACACCACTTAAGGTGAGCATATGAATCAAAGCATACGTCCTACCGAGTGCGTAGATGTTTTCAAGCCACCCTCTCAGTCTCTCCAAATTAGCAGGTATTCCTTTTGCGACTATAGAGCCAAAACAACCAGAAGGGGTTTCAGTGTAGCTGGAAAAGGCAACAAGACCAACCTTTATAAAGACAAAACAAACTGGGCGTTATTGCATTAATTATTAGTACCTGCCTAGTCCCTTTTCCAATTTTTGTGAAGTATTTCACTATCTTGAGATGCCAGTAGCCTTCAAACAGGCGAGAGAGAACCTGTTTCTGCTCCTCCTCTTTCAGTGAATAATGTATGCCTATGAATGTACTGGAATAAGTTTGAAAAGTAGAATAACACCGGAGCAAACCCAAGCCATCCTACTTCAAGCCATTCTACTTCAACTGAACTTTTAACTGCTTTTCTGTTACTAAGTTACGAACGGACGCAAACGGATGCAACAACTTCCACCAATGCTGGGAACTACAGTGTATTATGGAAAAGATACAACCCATAAGACTTTGGAGACCACGTGTAATGCGCGTGCGTGGCACCAACAATTTTGGATGAGCTGTTAAGGATGAGCTGTGCAAACGGATCCAACATTGTTGCACTACGCTTCGGCGATCATGGAACAAAAGAAATGTTGTTGGCTCAAAAGTCTGACAGGTTCAAACTTTGTGCAGCATTTCCCAACAACATGCAACAGGGTGTGCAAACGGACGGAACATGTAACATCCAACAAGGTTGGAAGATGTTGGCCAACAATGTTGCGTCCGTTTCCACGGGGCTTTAAACGCAGTTTCACTTGTATCTCAGGGCATTTGGGTCCTGGGCTTCCAAATAGTTGGATCAGGATTCCATCAAATTTCCATTTACTTGCGTTGCTTATATTAGGTCTCGTTTATATGGAGAAAACCTGTCCCGGGTAGATGGGTCGACCTCCTAGCCGAGTCAACTTTAGCGAGCGTTTATATGAGAAAGCACTCGTACATGCTCTGATTGTCTAACACAGCGCTCGCAACCAGCTGGGCGAGCCAAAGTGTTTATGTATGAAGAAAGTAGGTAAAGGTAGGAGGGTGACCGTCACCCTTCTAGGCGAGCCAATTTTTTGTTGTTGCTCATGTAAACAGTTCGCCACATTTTGTAAGGAAATATACGAAAGGGTAGCTTGGGTAGGCGGGTGACCCTTCTCTCAGGGACAACTTTTGTCTAAAGAAGTGGGGCCTTAGAGATGTAAATGTTCAGTCTAGTAGCTAGTCTGATAAACTCTTGTTGTTTTCGGAAATGAACAATACTTACGTTGTCTTTTGGTGATAATGTGTCCAGTACTGTAAATGCGGCTTCTTTAGCCAGCCTCATCCTTAACCCACTCATAGAACCACTGCGATCAATAATTATTACTAAATTCTTCCTAACGGGTGAAGCAGTTTCCACGTACCATGATCTAAGTTTCATTAATCAAAACAGACTCGATTAAAAATGCTGGCTACAGCCATTTAGGAGGATCTGAGCCCATATTCGACTTAAAAAACAACGCACAATACGACTGAACCAACGGAAACTCGAGGAATTGGCTTTTAGCCCCAAATATGACTTTATAGTTTTTACTGTGTCGAGTTAATCAGTTATACCCCGTCCGCATGAATCTGGATATTTTTAAAACCGCACATTTTTTTCATAAGAATCGGCCCTCTGTCCACTCGAAACCAGTGAGTCCGTTTTTCATAGGTTTTTTTGGATCCGACGGACTTGCGAACTGTCTAGAAAATGAAAACCGGATATTTACGAATTGATTTAAGCGTGTCCAGATTCGTATTGATGGGGCCCTAGTAATTATAGTTTTAACGTTGCTTTGTTCTGATTAGGTTAGGGTGAAAAAACAGCAAACTGAGTATTATTTCAATCCCCGTCCACTCGAATCAGGATATCTTGATACCACATATATACATGTTTTAAACCAATCGGCCTCCCGTCACACCAAACCAGTTAATTTGCTCACCCAAACCTCCAGACTGTTTTGTTTTTAATCGACGGATTATATTTGCGAATTTGCGTGAACAATTGTAACCGGACGATTTTCTAGTTCACTAAGTATACTGTCCCAGAATGCCCCGGATTCGCTTGGAAGGGGCCTTTTGTGATCAGGAAACGCAACCTACAGTTTAGGGTCTCACAAAAATATAAAGAACTTACTTAAATCGTGGGTCGAATTGTAAACTGTTGCCCCCACAATAGCGTGTATTGGCAGGATACTGCAAATACTCTCCGTCTATAGAACCGTAATACTGCCATGCCACTGTCTCCGACTCGTTGAAATGTCCCTCATAAAAACTCAATAACTCACTGCTGAATTCCACATTATCCTGACTGGTACCTGAAGAATCTCTGATGAAACAGCCTTTCGTTAAATCGACGAAAGAGCGAACTCGTTCATTGAACTGGATACGCAAAACATTCGAATTCTCTCTACAACAGCCTGTAACATTTCCTTGAAGAGAATCTGCTGAAGGTAGCTGCATCCTTTCTCTCAGGCCCTGCAAAAACCTTCGACTACTGTTAATTCGGGCCTCGGCGTGTTTAGTTATATTGCGAAGCAATTGCTGGCCGTCGGTATCTCGAGCAACACAAGAAAAATTTTTATACAGCTTGTGCAGCATATCAAATCCTGTATTTTGTTGGAAGACCTTGTACAGGCAAGTTGCTAGCCTGTTAGCAGCGTTTTTTTCTACTTCGTGAACAAGCCATGATTGTGAAGGACGGACAACAAGGATAGCAATAATAGTAAAAAATTGAAGCTCTCTGCTTGTCCTGAATGAGCTGCTGAATGTCATCGTTTTGCAAAGACGAAACAGAGGAAGCTACAATAAGCAACTGTCAAGGGAACGAAAAAAAAAATATTAACAATTGTACGATTTCCGGTTTTCATCTAAATATAGCTGTTATCAATATATCGCTTGCTCCCCAAGTTGATTCTCAAAGACCGAACATACCACCTCTTAGTTTTATAAGGTAAAAACAAACACATTGCCAGAAAGAAAGCGCACCCACTACCGTATTGGGCATTTGGGTAAGTTGGAAAGGCATAAAGTCATGACTGCCTGTAAGAACCAAATTAACGAACTGAGTCTTCAGGAACTTCACTCTACCACTTTTTGATTACCAGGTAATAATATTTTTCTCGTTAAGGGTCATAGCTACAAATTGAAAGTTAAGAGGAGCGAATCACATTAGAGACGTTAGATGTGGCCACTCGCTCAGTTTGATTGATGCGCCTGAGGGATTTGCGCTGACTCGTATCCAGTCGTCTCTCAAAGTCCTATTAATATTACCGGGAGAAGCGTCGTGTATTGCAGCGCAAGGACGTTCTGTTCTACGCGTGTAATCCAAAGAGAGACTACTGGGCCTTGTCAACGTCGTCCCCAGAGCCTGCGTTACCATTATCCAGCGGAAAGGGCAACAGACGCTCTGTGGAAGAATTGAAAACCGGAACCATAAAATCCTGGTTCCGGTTTAATTGCCCCATGCGTGAAATTGTTTACCCATTTGACCAAGAGAAGTTGTCAGGGGAATTTTGTTTTGTTTGCACATTAGTACACAATCGTTCCAAAGTAGTTTTTATTTAAGTGACCTTTGATCTATGTATCAAGAAACTTGAAAGGACTCTTAAGGAAACCGAAAAATTTATATACTTATTTAAAATGCCGCGACTGAGACATTCCGTAGTCATGACGAAAAACGTTCTTTCGTCCTCACAATATGACCACAGCTATATGCAAATTTGAAAAGTTCAGTTACATGTACTGTATAAAATAGGCCTAGATACAATTTCCAGTTTTCTTAGGATTCTTTGAGTCAAATGAGATTTTTGGAAACTTTTATGTTTTTTGGACGATAATGTCTGGAAAAATACAGCCGATAGCACAAAAACAAATTTGGGTGGTTCTAACACACCAGAAACCCCAAGCGGGCTCTTGCCATTCAAATACTACTGGTCAGTGGTTTAGCCTATAAGTTATGTTCATGCCTTGTTAGCATCATTGAAAGGCCTGGTCCAAACTCACTAAGTGCTTATTGTCGTTATCGTTTGTTTGAAAGAGCACTATGTAAACGAGACGAACCACTTACATTGTCTAAAAAATGAATTGTCATTTTGAATCAGTTTGAAGGTGTCTTAGCTTGCATTTTGACCACAGATCACAAGAATCCTGCATTTTATGCAAATTATGTGATTATTTCGAAAAAAATTGGGATAAACCGTGATTTTTAGAATAAATTTCGAGATTTTGGGGGATAAAATAGGGATTTATAGACATTTTTTGCAGAAGTTCAGGATAGATTTTTAGGCCATTTTTCGGGATTTTTGTACATAGGCCTAGAATAAAATCTCTCTAAATGTGGCATTGAATGATTTTCAAAAATAAGAGAAAAGAAATTCTTAAACAAAATGTTATTTAAGCATGGTTTAGTGACTTTATATCGACGTAAAGTTTTTTTTCTTAATGCTTTCAATTCGTAGAAGATTGGTGTGTACATAGATGATCTGCCAATCAAACCAACGTCCTTACAGATTTTTGATTTGCAAAGTAATTTGCAACTAACGAACACGTTTTTACCGGCCAATCAGAGATGTTTTGTTTTCCGGATTCTTCTTATGTTAGTGATCCTTGGTGCTGACCAAAATGATGGCAGCCTCTGGCAACGAGATTGCGGACTTGCAGGTCAGCATGAAAATAAGGTTATTATTCATTCAATATATTTCTCCGTTTCTGATTGGCTCTCATTCCCCGTCTAGTTCTTCATAACCAGCCAGCGCTTACCATATAAGGACGAAGTAGGCAATAAAACCATTGGTTCAATGCTAATACCCTAATTCCAGAAAAAACCGGATTTTGCATGTTGCATACAAAATTTGCTTTCTCAGGGTCAAGAACGAATGAAAATCTACAAATATATGATCCTGACCCAGAGAGGAGCTTCACTAAAGCAAAGTTAGCAAAGTTTTAGAACTGAGGGAAAATGGGGAAACCGCGAGTGATATGCAGCAAACCACTTCAGAACTTTCCCACCGTTGATTCAGCAGTTTGGTGATGATTTTACCGTCCTTTCCACGTTCGTTCTGACTGATACATTAGAACACCTAAAGAACTGTGGAACGAACACCAGGAAATCTGCTGATGCTGTTGCCAAGGATGATGTTAATTACCTTAGAGCACTTTGCTGGGCCTCCAAACCCAAAATTCAAGCTGCTGAGTGAGTGTGTCAAAATATGCCCAGTCGGAAAAGTGGTCGTTGCTGCCATGTGATGGTGGTAATCTGGAAACTGGATGAAATATCAGGAAACAAGAAAGTTCAACCTACTGATAACCGTAGCTATACCTCCAAACTTACGAAATGGGGACTACCAGGAAAGAAGACTGTACAACATAAGCCAATCATGACAGAAAAACGTACTTCTTAAACCCTGCCATTTCGCAGACATTTAGGAAAGAAAGCGTCGAGGTCTCTATCACACGCTGTTCGATCCAAAACCATTAAAAAAAAGAATGATTGAAACAAAATAGAAGTAAATCGTGCTGTTCCATTTCCGAAAGTGATCCCCGATAAGAATAGTATCAAGTTACTTGACACAATAGTTGGAGAAGGATCGTATGGTTCTGAGACAAATCTGATTGTTGTACACCTACCTTTCCAACGGTTCCTTCTTATTACCATTTTGATTTATACGGAGGCATTTTATCCAAAACTTAAGTTGAGCAACGGCCCACTTTTTTATCTCTTCTTCACGAAAGCTAGCACCAGGAATGTCCTCACTTGATCGTCCCCTATGTTAGTTATTTTAAATTTGCCGCGAGGGTTATTAAGCCTCACTTCCATGCACATTTTTTCTGGAATCGCAGTATTAGTGAACTCACCAAAATGGCAGAAAAGTTCACGGCTATCCGAAAAGAAAAAGCCGAATAACTCTGACTAAACTGAACGGGGCAAACGCAAGAAAATGCGAAAAACATTTACTTTTTGATAAGTAACTGCAAAAAGATTGTTTATTATGAAATTGTGCTGAAAACAGGGGAATGTTTTGAAGAACGACTGCGAGGAGGTTATAGTGTTAATAGTCTAAAAATAATTTGAATGGATAATAAAATAGTTGTTGAATTCGGTTTTCTTATGATATGAAGAATCGAGCTAACCTCGGTCGATAACACCCTCCTCGATGGGCATCATTCTCCATAGCCTGCGAGCAAGCTCTCTTATTTGGGCGAGAGAAGCGAGTCTCGCGAGAACGCGCGAGCGAGCGGCGAAGCCGCGAGGGGCAGAGGAAAGGAGAGCTTGCAACGATCTCTCAAAAAATTTTATTTGTACTTCGCTCAAACGAAGGGAAATACCATTGGCTGAAAAATGACGTTCCGGAAAACAAAGTTGATTGATAACAGGCCAAGCTGGCACCTTCTTCGTCTGTGTGACAAGTTTGGTTCTCAGGGGATCAGACTGGTACCAAGAACGTGTTTCAGCCCTCAAAGCAGACGAGGGGGCTGGTTTGATTTAGTTCTCGCAAAGACAATATTGCGAGCCGAGGATAAGTCGGACCGAGTTTGTAGTTCTTGTGGAAGGAACATGAAAACACTTCATCAGTTGTATTCGTTTGTGTCAAGCGCCCGGTTCAAGCGCTGCCTTCCAACGTCGGTTTCTTCGCCGGATTGAATTCCACTGGGTGAAAAAAATTAGAAACGTGTACTTGACAGTGTAGCTGTGTAGCTTGACCGTAAAGAAGGACAAAAGAAAGAGTTGCTAGCAACTGTAGTACAACTTAAGAGAACCAAGTCCAGGAAAACGCTATTCTCCAGTTCCGGAAAGGACAAACCATATAATGTTTTTGTTAGTGATTGCGACGGGCAGTCGGTCTTCTACACTGCAGTATGGACGACTTTTCAAAAGTAAACGAAACGAGAATCAAAGTATTAAGTTCTCATCCAAGCGGACACGTTAAAGTTCGATGTCCCCGTGGAAAAAAAAACATATCAGTGATTAAAAACATTGCTTTGATGCTATTGCATAGCGATTTATAGCCTGTTCCAAGCGTTCAGATAGTGGAGAGCAGTGCGAAGTAAAGAAAGCGATGAAAAGTAGAGGGGGACTCTCTCACCTCTACCCCTCTCTCGCTTTTATTTTTTTGCGCTCCTTTTCACTTCGCACCGCTCCCCACTATCTGAATGCCTGAAACAGGCTAAGCGATTTATAAATAAATAATTCGACGCGCCCTCGGCTGTCTAAACTTGACAGGCGGTTGTCACTTTTCTAATCTGCGGCACGTTTGCGGTGACAGTTTTCACGCTTTGCAGAGTCCCGGGGTTTCCAGGGTGGAAATGAAAATTTATGAGAGATCGTTGCAAGCTCTCCTTTCCTCGGCCCCTCGCTCACGCGTTCTCGCGAGGTTCGCCCAAATAGGACAGCTTGCTCGCAGGCTTCATATCATGTATGGCCTCAGTCAATAATTGTTAATTATGATTTTGTAAGTAAAGAGTACGGTACCCTAAAAATATATATATATATATATATAGATTTTTGTACAATGATATAAAAATGTTGGGGGAGGGCTTATGTCCCCTCCGCCAACCATATCCTCTCTGCGAGCGGTACCTACAAATAACGATATCCTGTAAACCTTGGTCAACAAATGTGCCCAGTTAGGGTGGAACTCTAAACTCATCAGATGCCCGTATATAAGTTGTCTGAGCCGTAGTTTCTTTGACTCTTTTTTCTTTAACTACTCACTGGATTTGTTTGCTTCATTTGAGCTAAACACTTTGGCTTCATCTAAGAGAGATTTTAACAAGAAGTAATGATTATGTGACGGTGATAAGGCTTTTTCCACCCTTTGGCGTCTTGCGCACCGTCTAACTGTACGGTATTAAAAAAATTTGCCGCTAAAGGTCGGAATTTATTCAGTTCCAAGTCAACAACGTTTAACTTACTCATATTTTCATTTCATGCCTCTGCCTCCTCGTTGAACACTATTCTTAAATTAAACGCATTTAAGTAACAATTTTCCCCTCTGAGAAAAGAAGTAACCTCTTGGAGGTTACTCGACAAACAGCTCTCTTTCAGCAGCACATTCCGTGTGCATTTTATTTTTTTCTGCCATGATGTTGCTGAAGTGTCGCGTATAAGCCCTATTGTTAGATGTGCTGATTGCGTGCAATTTACTGTTGACACTTCATGGATTTATAGCGAAGAATCATTAAAATATTCAACGCTCAATGACCCCTCAATGGGCGTTTTTTCATATGCTGCCCGAAACTTTGAGACCTTCGCCTTTTTTGTACTACTTTTTGTTTATAGTTTAACTGCAACATCGAAAAAGCTGATTCAAAATATTTGCCATAAAAGGCAACGTCGGGGAAGAGCAAAAGACAATGAGGGAGGAATCAATGCCGGGATCTGCGAGAGTAAACATGTTGCAATAACATGAAACGTCATATGGAACTAAAACTAATAACAGTCTCAAGTCTCTCGAGGTAAACACATGTCAATGAATAAAATGTACCTCAAAAAGGTGGGACTATATAAACGCTAGGTAGTATTGCAGAATAATTTAGACGGCCACTTTAACCGTTTACCTGGGTCGGTTAACTTCATTTGTACCAAAACTGCTGCGTCGTCCTTTCAATTAGACTGCACGTTTGTCAGGTGTATGTTACTTAAACACAATTCGTTGATCTGCAAGACGAAAAAGTGACTTGAAATATAACCATTAAGTGATCCGTAAACATACTTTGTGCTGTTATCTCCAATGAAGTATTAAAACCATTTACGTGGCGTATATTGTGAAATACGTGAGATCTTACACAGCCTACTTACACTGACATCAGATGTGACAGATCACAGGACCTCCATGCCGGCTTGAAAAATCGGAAGGATTCAGGATTAAAACTAATTTCAAAAAAATCCTGACTTATTTTCCGTTTTCTCTTATAGTTTACCTTGCTACGAAAAAACGAGTTCTCATCTTCTAAACACCATCTTGAAAAACCTTTTTTAAAGAGAATTATCGCATTTGTTTAACATCAAAGTCTCATTTCGTAAGAAAGGCACAATGCCGGGCAATTCAGAGAGTGTGTGGTGGGAAGCTTGAACCAGAACTAAGCTGTTTTTGTGGTAAAGGGATCGTTAGAGATTACAATAATTCTCAAACAGATAGATTTAGCCTCCTGAATACAAAGAAGAGAGGAAGTAAACTTTATTTTAGCTGGCAAAGAAGGTGGACACTATAAAATAGCGTACCTCTCTTGTCATCTCCTCAGTCTTTCTTCAAGACATGGTTTTGTGGCGAAAAAGCTTTTATCTATGAGAGGAATGGCTTTCATGTCGTGAAAGGGAAAACAGAGTAATTGGAGAGCAATCTCAGCGTAAATCACACAAAATGCCAATAGCAACTAACAAGGGATAAAGACCTCTCGTTGTGACAAACGTACGGAAACCAGCAGCTCTACTTGACACCCACTCTCTAATATACAATCAGTGAAAGTGTCAGCAAAACTCTGTTTTAAAAAGAGCGTCGTTTGAAGAGCTCTGCCTATGAGATTGCAACTTATTGGTACCAGAGAGGGTCTTACAGACATTGTCTCAGTGACACGCGATTTCCGAATGCTTTTTAAACTCTAAGAATCAAATGAACAGTTCTCGCCGTGTTTTCCAAACATTTCAAAAAGGTATGGCTTACGATTATGAATAAAATACCTTTTTTAAAAAAGAATACACTTTCGCTGAACCGGAGAAAATACAGAACCACTGGCAGATTCACAACCACAGAAATGGCTATAATCTGAATGGGAATGAAGAAGTGGATCCTCTTGTTAAAATCTCGCACCTTTGTGATTTCTGATTATTGATTGCTACTCACTTCTTCCGTGACGCTTGCGAAGTAAACAGGACGTGCAATTTATAATCATCTGGTCCTTCATAAGTAACGTCTGACTTTTGCACATTCAAACTGAAATATACGACTTAGGAGACAGCAAATTGTATCACATGACTGAATAGACAACATTTGACCTCTTCTCATGCTTTCTCTATTTGGGTGCCACTAAACATGGTATAATCCAGATAACATATGAGCTACAAAGCGATAAATACCTTGATAAAATCATTAACTTTACAATAGCAATAGATGGGCATTTCGAAAAAGGTTTTTTTTCCTCAATCGAACTTTAATATGATTAAGAGCAGATGCATTTTCCGAAATTAGTTCGTGCATACCATACGCATCTGCAAAATTCATTGGAAATTGACTGCTGAAGCCTTCTTACAACGCTGTTGTTCATGTGAAACGACTACTAACTAACTACACAGTGTGGTGCATTAGTTGTAATGTCAAGAAACTTCAACAATTTTAAACCTTTAGGTGATACACTTTACATGGTGTAACGATAAAAAAAAAGCGAATTAACGATCAACCGATCAAACTACAATGAGAATGCTTCCCGGTTGCATTGGAGGTTCTATGGGCATATAGGAGAAGTGCATGCAAGGGCGTAGCTGCCTGTACGAACGGTACGCACGAACGTACCCGAAAAAGTCGAGGGTAAAAAAATAATAAAATAAAAGTGCAAAATAAAAAAAAGAAAGGATAGACACTAGATAAAACGTAATTATTTCAAGAGCACGGGTTGGCTCAATTCATTTGTCAACGGACTGTCAGCTTAATTTTTCTTCTTACACTCGAATGTCGGCTTCCAGAAAAGAGACGCGATTCATTGGTGGACCGAATCTTCAATCATATAATAAGAGGAACGGCGGGAAAAGCGCAAATAGCAATGCTGGATGGTATGAAGAGCAAACGCGTTGTTCTTCACTTCGGACTGTCTTTGCACAAGACGAAGTAGGGCACAATTACATCAATTTAGGGTGAATGTACAGGTTCAGCACGCGTTTTGGTACATTTCTTTGCTGTCCCTGCATGACCACGACGTGAAATGTTTTTATGTGACGTTTGGAGGACGTGAGTTCAAGCTTGGGAGAGCCGTGACATATAAACTCTGGGATAGAATTGGAGTTGGCTTGGTCAAAAGTCTCAACCAAGGTCTGTGGCTTCACACTCGGATCCATTTCACTCCACTTCATCAGTGAAAGGATAAGGGAAATCGTAACACCAATATAACGCGAAATATTTATCCCGATTTCATCATAAAAATGCTTTCTGGAAATAAAAACATCAATTTATTTTTCCATATTTCAGCTGTATGCCTAGGTGTATGTGCGTACATGCATGCTACATTCCTGTTAGAATAAATAGCTGATAGGTTCCTGGGCGGAGCTTTAAACGGGTAACATTTTGTTGTTAACAAAGAAGCGCCAAAGTGTATTTTTTTTCTCTTCTTTTGAAAGAAACGTGGATTTGCTTCATTCATAATATAGTTTGATAACTTTCACACAGAAGGCCAGTCCTGTGTCTTAATATTTCGACCTCCCTCACGTTCTGTACATTTTCAAAATTGACCCCCCAAAATCAAGCCTCTTAGAAAATTGTGGTCTTGTATGATTAAAAACTTCATTTACTGTACTTGACAGCTTTGTTAGTACAGCAAAAGAAACAAAACAAGTCAGAACAATGAGAATGCTTTGTTTTTACATAGGGTGCGTAGACAAAATATACGGTCCTACACATGTAAACCCTTGTGCTTTCTTACGAAAAGTGCTCTTGTAATGTTGGTGTCCCTAAGTTGAAAAAACCGCTGGTTGATGTTGGATACAAACAGCTTCTGGCATTAGTTAACAGGGCGCAAACAATGTACATTTTTCCCACTTGCTCTGACAAAGCTCATAGCTGTGTTAAATTGACGCTGTAGTGGAGTAAGGTGTAATCCTCTGAAGGGTGGTCACCATAGATGCATAAAAGATTGCCAAGGGGAGAGCGACAGTAAAGCTGTAACTGTGGCAACAAGCCAGAATCAAGCGACGACTGTGTTGGTTATATATGAAGTCAATCATGGTAGCTGTTGTTATGCTAAACTGTGGTACAGGCCAAATCGAGGGCACGTATCACTGTAGCGAGTGGGGTATGCGAACCGCTTTAAAAAAAGCCTCGATCCCCTTGACAACAAGTCTGTTATAACAAACAATCTCATCGGGCACTTGTAGGATATCTTTCACTTGATAAATATGGTTCTTCATGAAACGAAATTCAGCTTTACATTCGTCATCGCACAGGTCATCTAAATCGAACGATTCGTACGCCAGTAAGGAAAGTCAGATGTTAAAAAATGTTTTAGTGCGTGGTAAAGTTTCTCTTACATTGAGCCCCGAATATCATGTCGTAAGGAATCCTACCTGCTTTCTGTCTTCTCTTCTTTGTTTCATTGTCCGTATCACAGAGTATACTTGGCAGTCTTCGGTCGCCAAAAAGAAACAACAACAGCAGCAACAACAACGAAAGCTTTGAAGTTCGCGTGCAAAGTCAAGTCGGTATCGATGGAAGATTTCTTCACCGAAAGAAAACTACCAAAAAGGTTCGCAAGACCAGAAATCGAAACGGCGCAAATGCGCAGAAGCGTGTCACAATCCAATTTAATGCGACCGTATTACAAAGTATATTTGGCATTCTTCGGTCGCCAAAAAACAACGTAAGGTATCAGTATCAATATCGGTATTGATGTACGGAGCTTAATTCAGCTTTAATCCATCGGCGTGGAAAGCACAGGTGTGCCTCTGTGTAACATTAATTGGATGGTAGATTCCAGCGGAAAAGTAAGGCGAAAGAAGCAAACTGGTTTCTCGTTTGCACAAACTAGGAAGCGAGACGCACTGACAAATGTTTGAAGTTATTGGTTCCAATATGCCTCAATGTTCTGTTTAAAAAAAATTCTGCCGCCGAAATTCATCGCAAAAATAGCGGACCATTTGCCGCTTGATCACGTTGTTGCGGACACCAACCAGACTTCTAAATATGTAGAAATATTAAGGGCACAGGAGTTATCCTGGCACATATTTTTGAAATATTGCTGCGAATCGTACCACGGGAGAAATCGCGAGACAGAAGCCAGAAGAACCATGCTGCCACTTGACTCAGTCTACCTACAAATGTGCCTGTTTAGTTTTATAAGAGGAGAGAATCATGCCAAACCTTTGAGGTTGCCGCAGCCCAAACTTCAGGACTAGTCAATCTTGTTCTCTCTTGTCAAACTATTTTTTGGGAGTGCAAGCATCCGTTTATTGATCTTAACACCAATAGTCATAACTGAACCTGCTGTAGCGAGCGCACGACTATTAGAATGCTCAAGAAACTGAACAAAGACCTTACTTGAATCAAGCAGAGCTCTCTTGAGTAGGCCAAAATCGAGCAAGTGTAGGAAAGGCTCTGCGGGTAGGAGGCCAGCGAGCAAGCTCTCTGCGGAGCTCTGGGGGCGGGCGAGAAAATTGTTTGATTGTTTTGCCGTACCGCCTGTATTCATTTAGTTCCCACACGAACGTTTTTTGGAGCTGTTCACGTAGGCTTCTTTTATCGGAATATCGAGTTGCTTCTACGACCATCCATAAATGACCAGTAATTATACACTACTTTTTTTGTTTCTCAGCCACTTTTTATTGTTATGATTATTTAAAATATTTAACAATAAAATACCTTTTGGACTATTCATAGGGAAAGGCAATCGTTAAATAACAGTCCCTTTTCAGTGTAATAGACGATTTATACATCCGGATAGTTAATCACATCGTTTAGTGTGGAAGTACCACATACCTCTTAGTCCTTATGTTCGGTTCCGGTTTAAACCAACAAAACTTGTATCAGCTAAAAAACAGCTTCTTTACGTAACACAAAAAATAAGCAGGGATTCCAAGCAGGCTAGAACCACGCTTCAGCGCCGCGGAGAGCAAACACTGGATCCTTTTGTTCGCAACGAAATACGATTAAACGAAGACTTAAAAAAAGACGCATGAGGTGCTGCACCAGTCCTCTGAAGTAGAAGGCGAGGAGTAATAAAAAGGCATGCCGGCTTTTTAAAAATTGAAGGGCGCGATACAGAAACGTTGGGTGACTAAACGCATGCTACTACTGCAGGATGTCAGATTTAACGGATTTTAACCTGCACTGGAGGCGTGCAAGCAACATTCGCTTCACCGTGAGAGAGATGTTTTGGCAATTTAGTAGGATAGCCTTGACCTTTCTTTAAAATCAAATATGGCGGTAAAACAATAGCTCACTCGCTCACGAACAAAATACTCCCGAACTTCAGGCTAAAAAAGTCGAAAGAGTCTTGGATCTAACTAGAAGGATTTTTTTAAAAATACTCTCTAATCTGGACTAAAATCTGAGGCAGGTACAATACTCTTCTCGGTGGTAGAGGGCTAGCAATAAAACAAAAAAAAAACAAAATGTCATAAGTTAGATTTATAGCTGCATTTGAGATCCAGTAATAAAATATCTGTTTCACACTTCAACCGAGTAAGCGTCAAATATTCACAGAGGATCCAAGACGTAACTCCACGCAAGCACAGTAAAGCATTTCACGAGATCATCAATACAGTATGAGCTCCGTGTTCATAATACATAATTGGATAACAGCTATATCTTGCTCGCTGTACCTTGCTGCTTGAGTAGGGACAAGGTGTCCAGTCAGTACGTTATCACACTAGTAACACCCTTCACTCCAGCTATCGTCGTTGTTTGTTCTGCCTGGACTAAGTCCTCGAGGTGTTGGAATTCTCCTTTAAGAGAAAAAGAAAAGACACCACAAAGCATTTACATGAATATTTCTTGAAACCTTGAAACGGGATACTTGAGTGTGATCATGGGTTCAAAAACTCATCAAAAAAATCTCCAAGACAATGCAAAGGAAATTAAAGCCCTGATAAAACGCAGCAATGTTTAAGGTTTTCTATTTTCCTTCAACAATGATGGCCAGGGTCATTCGAAAAAATACATGGATCCAGAGGAATATTTTTGAAGCCGTTCAACAAATTTTGCAGTTTGAACACACTTTCCTTTTCTTTAATTAACAAACACATGCAGAAATAGTATTTACAAAACGTTTTGTCGTCTAAGTATGGCTATTAGGGGATCAAATAATACACATGTTAGCAGTAATAATATCTGATAATCTGATGATAACCCAGATCTTTTAATATAGTGCCGTTATACTGTTGAACCTCTGACCAAATCTCCACAACGACAACGGCCGAAAAATATATACAATCACCATTCTAAAGCGATCAAATTGGTGTCATGTGCAAACACTCCCGTACAACGGATAATTACCTCTTCCCCCAAGATTACCGTTGTGAGTGGAGGAAGCAGTAAGTGAGCAGTGGGGAAAAAGCCGGGAGTCAAGTCGTACCTGGGTGCAGCCAGCTGCCCAGTTCTGGGGGTGACAGATTTCCTTGAAGCAGGTGCCTGCGGTGGAGTGTTGGATTGTCTACTGTTAGGACCACTTCTACTGTAGGTTGGCGCTTGAGGAAGACTACGCCTGCGCATCTCACTATCTTCCGCTGTACGAGGTCTTGCAGGCTCCCTTCTCTTTACTTGGTTCGGTTCACGTCTTTTAACTTTCGGCAACAAACACAAAAGAGAACATGTAACTACAAAGAACTTCGTAGAGGAAGACAATTCTGAAAATAACTCACTACTGCGCTAAGAAAAGTTCCCAGTTGAACTAAATAAATCATAATATTAATACCATTTTACTCTGGAGTTTTGGCCAGTGCGCCAAGTGCTGTACCGTGAATCAGCTTCTCGTTAATATGCATACACAGCACATTTACACAATGTATAGATTTAGCCAAGGCAAAAGGCGAAGCCCCCGTTAAAAACTTTTCGGCATAATTTGTCATTATGAGCGTAATTTTCATCTTCTTTCCGAAAAGAGCACTGCTAGCATAATTGGCACTTTTTGCTGGTTTGGCATCTCAAAATTGTCATTTATTGATCATGCTGCCAATTTTCTTGGCCCGAGATCAGTGTTACAGGTGAATTTAAGTAACAAAATCAATTTTTTGTTTGCTTGTTGTCACTTTCATTACACCTCCGTTCACAGGAAGTGACCCAGGACTCTACAAGCTTGTTATTTGTTTCGGTTTGTATAATTGTCAGACAATAAATTATGCACTCTTAAAGTTTCTATTGCCATTTACTTGTTTGTTGCAGAGTAATTGAGGTGTTTTACCAAATTTAAAGCAAAAAATAGAAGCATAATTTACAAAAAGTTAGCATAATTATTCGTGGCATAATTTGAGAAATATACGAACACTCCTAATGGCATATTATGCTACTTTTGCGAGCACAATCTATCAAACCCTAGACGGGAGGTCGGACGGACGTACGTTCACGTGGCTACTAAAATTTATCGGATGGATAGATAACCAAATTTTCTTAGCTGTGGGGCGCCGCTCGCGACTACCAAAAGACGACTGGAGTATACACGCGGAAACGTAAGCACCTAAACATGATTCTTTGCAAAAGACGGACTGTTCTGGAAGGACAGGTATCTGGAATAAACCCAAATATGCAAGACTGCATCACTATACTTTATTTTCGTACTCATCATTTTGCCATCTCCGCCCGCAAATAGCAAAAGCTAGACGAGGCGGGCGGAGAGGAAAGGTTACAGCAGTCATAACAGATGTTATTGTAAAGTAACCTAAATAAACTATGTTGATAAATAAGAATTACAGAAAAACAAGCTAAAGTTACAAAATATATAGTCTTAAAGAATAACATTACAAGACAAATTTACTACTAACAGAACCTATGAATTACTAGTGCATTGAGTCAAGGCTGCAGAATTTGCCATTTTTTGTAGGAGAATGAACTCTTCAACATAATCGTCCTCTGCTTCCATTATCGAGGGCAAAAAGGCATGAAAATTTTCTCCTTTGGAGAGTTGACGAAATTCGTTAGGAATTGCATTCCAAAGTTTAGCTCCAAACCTGGAAAAAGAATCTTGATCAGCGAGAGGCTTGAATACACCACGAATGAGGCTGGAGCTATTGTGCTATCTGCTACGTCCTGATAAGCCAAGGATATGCGACCACTCATCTCATAAGGAATAATTAAGGCCCGGGGAGGCTGAGCCAGTACAATTAAGAGTATTGCGGTATTTGAAAGTCTACATGTATTTACTCAAAAACATAAGTACCTGCTGTTACCACTGGAATATTTGCGTCAGAGTTTGGGTCATCCCGCTTCCAAGAACCTTGTGACAAATCAATATCAAACTATCAGAGGTATTTCAAACAAAGAACAAGGGCGCTGTATTTAACCATGTTACAGCGAAGGAGCAAACGCTAGTCAAAAACTATACTACACAAATGGCAAAAGAACAGATATATATTTTTTATATCCTCGATCAGGCCCCCTCCGCAATTTTGAACAACAAGTTTGTTTAGATCCACCTTCACAATTTAAACTACGTATGTATAAGATTAGTATACACAAATATCAACAAGTCTGCAGTGTTCGGTTCTTGTTTCTAACGGAGAATCTACAGCCCAGTTGAACGAGCATTTCCAATAAAATCTTCCATTTTGACTTTGTTCTATAGTTCTTTAAAATCATACGAGCAGACTGTTGGACCTGGACCAAATGGTCTTGAACAAATCTACGGCCAATAAATTGAACTGGCGCATAGCGCTACTCTTCTGTACATCAGAGCACCACCAACTGGGTTAAAACGCCACTAAGAATAGATTTCTCCCTGAATCGAAGCCAATCATCTATCAGTAACAGTAATCTATAAACTGATTAATGTTACTTCCCACAGCTCAAACAAATCCTCAACTAGTGAATTCTTAACATAACCTCCAACTACGACCTTGACTGTGTTATTATTGCAACCAGCAAGGATGGCGAAGTGATAAGAGCACTTATTGCCTCCGACCAATGTGGCCTGGGACCGTATCTCCTGGTAGTAGTCTGTTGTTGGTTCGTTTTCCTTCTTCTCAAAAGCCAATACATCGGTCCAAATATTGATATGATTAGAAGCAAACAACCATGCAATGCAAACACGAGTTCTTAAGACGTCTAAAGCGGTACTTCGAGGGTAAATGAATGACAGTTACAACTACATTCTTGGATTCCATGTGTGTGCCTATGGTGTGATAACTTACTGTTGTGGTCGTTTTGGCTGGAAGCTGGAGAGGCGCCGCGTCGTCTTGGCTGTACATACTCCTCATCGTCATTTTCAACCAAACCTGTTGTGTAATAATATTATGAACTTTCATTCTGTTCTGTAACCATTATTATTATTCATTCAAAATATTTCTCCGTTTCTGATTGGCTAAAATCCCACGCATAATTCATTATAACCAGCTACTGTCGACCAAATTTGGAAGAATTTTGAGATATGTGAACTGATGAAGTCATGCGTGCAGGAATTATTGAACGGTTAACCGAGAAGACCTGGGGACGAGGTTGAGTTGCTTTGGTAGTGAATACAAAATGGCGAAAAATTTCATTCGTTTTACGAGGAAGAAATAGGCGAACTATTGGCTAAAAACATAGCAAGAAGAGAAAATTATTATAAGACATACAACTAACCATAACCAGTAGCCACGGGCTGTCTGGGCCTTGGAGTACCACCTCTTCTCTTCAATGGACCTGAAATGGGGAAGAAATAGCGTGGCCGAGCGGTTAGAGCATTGAACTCCAGAGGCCCCGAGTACAGCTCCCGCCCTGAACACTCGCTGGATTAGTTCACGAAGACCCGTATTTAAATAGTCTTGAAATAGCTGACTGTTCCATCTTTAGCCTGCGAACAGCAGACGCATTTCAGGTCGGAGGGAGAGAAGCGAAGATCGGAAATGCGTCTGCTGTTCGCAGGCTATTCCATCTTAGGCTAGTAAAGATTCTTAACCCTGTTATGTTTCAATTGAAATTTTTATTTTTTGTAGTCACTGATCTGCTGGGCCCAACTAGCTTTTCTGCTATAAGGCAGAGGGTAAATAAAGTAATTATTACTATTTTATTTTGAAAAGAAACGACAATATTTAGCAGTAACGTCACATTCGCGAACAAAGCGCTTAAAGGGGCTATGCTGTGTACTTATAGAGTGTTTTCACTCACGTGGCCAGCATATATGCAAATTATATTGGAACAAAAGAAAGCGTTTGCATAAGAAAAGAGTTCAACTCCCGGAGGGATGGTTTGGGACACCAGCATGGCCGCCGTTTCATTGTTTTAGGACACCAATATGGCCGCCGTGACGTCATGTGAAAACACTCTATAGCAGCCACCAAATGCGTTCTCAGTAGTCAGTTACAAAGAGACTGTCTACATCTTTTTTCCACTTTAAAGTGCAGTAAAATAATTGATTACAACCTTTAACTACTAGGTCTGCATTTTCCTGGGATACTGAAGGCACTGGGTAAAGCTTTTGTGGCCTTTCTTGAGGAACGAAGCCATTATTACTATCATATTCATCCATATAGGAAACTTCGTCTGGTGAAGGAGAAAACAGATATTAAGCCACAGTCAATCATATACACCTCCATGTCAATAAGGTAGACACGGTACTAGGTTGCATGTCGGGTGTTAGATAATAGTTACGTTTTCAACGAGAGATAGTTTCGGTACTATCAGAACAAAAAGGTCACTGGAAAAAAGTCCTTCCACTGTCAATATATAATGACATGTTATTTTACTAAGCAGTTCCCTTTGCACTGCAAGTTTCTACGCAAATAGTTTTTGAAAAAAAAGAAGTAGGCTTGTGACAAACAAAAACAGAATATTTCTACTCCCAACAAACATAAGTCCAACACATTTTGTCTGATGCTTACCAACTGATGCTCTAAGTTGTGGTGATTCTCTTCTTTTTACGGGACCTGTAGATTTTGTTGTAAAGACATGTAATGGTCGACAAATTACCCCTCTATTCTGGAGCAAAAGGTCCGCGTTAATTCAAAACGCCACATGCGAAATTACAAAATTGCTAAGACAACGTTTCCTTTAATTACATCAGTACCAAGATGGCGTCCAGGTTTAAAGATGTTACGGATTGATGAAGGTGTTAGGGGATTAAAAGACGCTGCAGCAAAACTAAGGATCTCCGGCCTGGGATAGTAACTAACAGGTCATAGGTTCGACTGCTGTTGAGAGAACTCTAATTTTTTATTTTATTGCTAGTCCACTGCATCACTAACAAAATAAATATCATCCTCGTACATCACCTTTGTATCAACCAACGGAATGTAGTTCTGAAATGTTAAGACCTCTACAGTTACGTACCTCCCGCCAAACCCGGCAAACTACCCTTGTTTTTACCTTTTTTGTGTTTTAAATTTCTTCAACTCACCTGAAGCCACTGGTTGTCCTAGCTGCGGAGTTCCACCTCGTCTCTTTAATGGACCTGAAAAGCAATGTATGCACAGGCAGGTGGAAAATTAGGAGTGCAGCCAGGGATTTCAAATAGACTGGGGATACCTTAATAAGCTGTAGTAAAGAGTGACAAGAAATGGAAAGTCAGCTACTGTTATATGAATCACTGAACTGTATGCCTGGCTGCAACCCAACTTTGCATAGTCATGGATTCAATGTCAAGTAGTTCTAAGAAGGAAGCATTAGATTTCTGAAGTATTGTTATCACTAATCGTCTTCTCATTGGCTAAGAGCCAACAGTTAATTTTGGAAATTTTGAAATCAGCGCAACCTACAGATTAGTTAGCTGACTGCTAGCAGATTAGAGACCAATCTGTAGGTTGCATGCACAATGCATGATTTCCAAGAGCGATGTCAAACTGCATTCTATGCAATGGTGTGTTTGTTTGTTTGTTTGTTTGTTCAAAACAATCTATAATAAAACAATTATTAGATTTGGTTTTTGTGATATTCGGAATAATCAATGTCTCAGTAAGTGTTATTAGCCCTGTACAGTCAAAGGCACCAAGACAAAGGCCATTCAAGGCTGATAACACTTACTTAAAACGAAAAAACGCCAAGGTGATTTCAACAAGGTTTAGAGCACTGTGGCTATGAACTCAAACATAACATGAACAAGATTGATTAGGTTTTTACTGGTTGGCATCCTTCAGTCTTGAAGGACAATGGTGTCGTGCTTTGATTTGTGATTCTCGAACATCGCCTTGCGTGACTGGAAAGACCGATTCCGAAATGACAGTCCCTTCCGCACATTGAGCAGATGTTGTCAGATTGGGTTTTTACAGCCTTAGTTATGCAGTACATGTGTACACGAAATTCACTTGATTGAATAATATAATCGATGTTACCGGTACGTGTGAACAATGATGAAGAAATGTTCCTGACACTCTCACTGGCATTAACTAATCAGAGTAATAATTATGCCAATGCTTGTTTTCTTCTGCCACTACCTTTCACTACCAGATTAGAATCATCCAGGCTTGGGCCGGAAGCAGCAGCAGCAGCAGCAACAGGTACACGTCTCTGTAGGGGTCTTTGCATGTAATTATCATTATCACTGTCATCATCATCATTGCTTTCATTCATAAGTCCTGCACTGTGGTGTAAACCTACCAGGTAATCAAATTATTTTAAAATCAACCATCTTCTAAACTAAACATGGATGTAAACAAACACTGTTTTACACAAAATTTAAATGGACAGAAGACAGAGTTTTAGCGAAGGTTAAATATGAAGAGTTCTCATTGCATTCAGCCAACCATTGAAGTTCCATTGGACTCAAAGTGAATTTTCAACTAACCTGTAGCCACTGGTTGTCTTTGCTGCGGAGTTCCCCCTCTTCTCTTTAAAGGACCTGCAAAGTACATGGTTATGTCACCTTATAATTTGCTAAGACCTTTGTAACATATTTCTGAAGAAAACAAAGATCAAATGCTTATGATAGCTAAACATCAATTAAAACTTCTAGCTTCTAAACAACAAAACTACCCTTAATTGGATCAGTATTTACCTCCAGAAAAATTAACAAATTTAGAGATGTCATGGGTAATTCAATAAAATATAATAATAATTAATGATAGTAACTATTAATATCATTATTATCATTATTATTATTATTATATACATCACTTCATGTCTTAAAGTGGCTGATGTCACTTAAACAATTTGAAATACGAGTAGGCTTGCTAGCCTAGGAGTATGGTTTTGACATTGGACACCAAAGAGATGGTCGGTGTAGGAGTCAGTTAAAAGTATTTTTTACACGCTGAATGGGAAAGTTAAATACCTCTTTCATTTTCAGTCTGTTAACCAATATTTTATTTCTTAAGGCTAAGGAAAATAAAAGCTGTGAGAGGATTGAATGGCCACAAAGGCAGGGGAGCATCCTGGGTAAATGAGGACATTGACTGAAGAACATGTAAGTTGTGGGACTACTTGTAAACAAAACAGTCACAGGGTTGATGTTTCAGCAACTTTACTTGCCCGGTGCTGTGGTGTCTGTTTACTTTAGTGCAGTGTTGTGTATTCAGAGCCTCCCAATAATTAAAAGTTTCTGAAAGTGCCTTGCTTCCTACCCAAGAAGAGCCAATGATGAGTCAATTGAATAGTGTGTTACAGCATGGAACACCACATTGAACAATAAAATATTACAATAATAAATTTATTATCAACCATTTTATGAAATGTGTTTAAAAAATCAGCAACCTTACCTTTTACTACAAGGTCTTCAAATTCTTGAGGAACAGGGACTTGTCTCTGTGGTCTTTCTTGATGGACAAACCCACTATCATCATAATAACCATCTACACTTGTAACTGCATCTGTTAAAGAGGGAATCATTTTGTAGTCACTTTGAAGTCCACTGTTTTTTGAAAATTTCATGTTCATAAACTATACAATGCAGCTGAATTTTCAACAAACATGCGACCCTGTTGATGACTGACCATGAATTTCATGAAATACTACGTGCAAAACTTTATCACAACACATTAATTCATGTGCACATTTAAAATTAAAATAAATAAGTGTCTTTCCCTCTCACCAAATGATGCCCTTGTTTTTGGTGATGGTCCTCTCCTTTTAACTGGACCTGCCAAATAACAGATACTTGAAATGATTAATATTAAGTCACCTCACTATACACAGATACCTTTATTTACAAACTACAATATATTTTATGTAATATTAAATTTTATTAACATGTACAGGGGATGGGGAAGCTTGGGAAGGTTTCTATTACAAAGTTAATGAAAAACTTGCCAGAAGGATTAACACAGTTTAACTAAAAGTCTTAGACTTCAAACTGATCCCTTCCAATCTCATAAAGATCTCATCGATTCTCACAAATAAATATTTACTATAGGAACTTGCAATTATGGCAGACACAACAACACTATACCCAAAATTAAAACACACACAACCACACAGAAACTGCAGAACTGCAGAAATATTCAAGTTGAATAAAAGGGCATGTCAAAGATGCACAGCATTAAAACACATGAAAAACGACACATACACCTGCAATGCCACACCCTTTCATCTTTCCAAATTACACTTTGGCTTACAAGACTAAATTAGTGGCATACTGGTTACATGTATGGTTCTAAGAGGAACTGTTGAGAGGCAGACCTAAGACCCAACATATCCCATTAAAAAATCAACACCTAAGACCTCGCCATGATAAACTCAAATACAGCTGTAAGCACTAACTAACTCACGTGTGTGCATGACAGGATTGAATTTAGATTACAAGAAAAGAATCGCACTGTCTTTTTCAGCACCCCTGAAAATTGGCTGATAAAATAACACTAAGTAACGTAGTGATTTAACGTATACACCACAAAAATCACTAATTAAAATACCTTTCACTACAAGACTAGAGTCATCCTGGTTCGTGGAGTGAAAATTTAAAGTAGCAGGGACACGCCTCTGAGGTCTAAGTGTGTTATTATCATCATCACTGCCATCATCACTGTCACCATTCATAATTTCTGGATTCTTGTGCAAACCTACCATGGAAAGGTTTGAAAAAATTTTTTAGCCAATCTAGGTTTTATCCATACAGTGGGACCTCGATATAATGAAGGGCCAAGGGACTGGCAAAATTTGTTTGCTATAACCAGGTTTCATTATAGTAAAGCTCTCGTGCACGAAGCGCGCGCATCGGAGCACCATGGGTAAAAAAATGGGGTAAACTACCCATCTGAGAAAATTTGGTAATCACGTGACCGTACACCGACCAATCGACCACCAGATCGTCTGTACCACAGGCATACCAATGTATAATAATTCCATTAGCAGGTGCGGCAACCCAAATGCAACTCAAGGTTTATTTGTAAGGAAATCACATGGCCGCCTGGACTTTTAGAAAGGAAAAACAACAAGAAAATCGAGTCTTTTTCGACGTTATTTTTGATGTTTACACCCATGTAGATAACAGAGAGAGCGCTAGAGCACAGGGTCCAGAGGAGTTTTGTGTGAATAAATGAATTACTTATTTAAAGTGTCACCTTGGAAAATGTCTATACCTGTCACTTAGCACGATTAATTAGCCCAATGGGATCTTTGTGAATCTACTGTAAACGATTTCTTCGCTTCTTATCTGACCCAGATCAACTTTGTTGTTCGCCATTTTGAAAATCAATAACCACAAGCCATATCCTTGCTGGCGCACGGCACGTCACCAGAAGGGTGACCAAGGCACAAAGTGCCAAATAAAAAAAAGGACAAGAATTTCCGTATTTTATACTGTAAGCCGATCTTGCCAGCCCTCAATCTCTTGGTTTGCAGTCTATAGAATGTGTAATGAAAATGTAACACGATCAAAATAACCCATTTATTCAGAGGTTTCGAGGGGCTTTGATGTTCTAACAACAAACACATCTCCTCTGGACCCTGTGCTAGAGCGAGTGATTGACTACAAAAGAGACGAATAATTTTGTAGGAAGAAAAACATGAAAATTCAAAAAAATTCATTAATAACAGTCAAAAATTACTGATAAATAAGATTAATGTATCTTTAATGAGTATCATAAATAAATTACACACACTCGGTGTTAATAACACACTAGAGTGTTCTGTAACAATTTTGGACCTCAAGCATCAAAAATGCTTAGAATTTCTGTGACCATCAGAAAAGATGTGACAGCAAGGTTCCTTGGAGCTGTTCCAAGCTCTAAGGGGTGGGCTGGGCCACTTAAGCAATTATTTTTATCACGCAACCCAGTTAAAATATTTTCGATAAAAGCAAGATAAAAGTAACAGGCAGCAAAGGCTTAAACTTAACAAGTGCAGTTTTCAATTTACATTCAAAAACTCATTAATAATTCATGAGTTCAAAACCCAATCACCTCCGCTAAAATCCGTCACATGCTCGTGTTTTAAACCCCGGTAAAGCACCGTCAAACTTAAAACACTTCATCCTCAAAAGTATTCTTTACATAAAAGATACTACTAAGGATGACATTTTATTCTATTGCACGTGACCTATGAATATTAATGATCAGCACAGCAACTGACACAACAAATGGTGGGTGAATATTTAAATATTCTTTCAAAATAACACACACAGTAAATTTACTATTGCAAAAAATTAAACCTTGTTCTTTCACCAATTTAATCAGCCAAAAGTTCAGTGACACGGTGGTAATATTGGCTATGGCAGCGTCCAAGCATTGCATTAAAGTCTTGCCAGTTGGGAATAGGCAAGGCTCGAGTACTGGATTTTACCTACCATTCGGCCATTCCAGAGAAATTTTTTCAAAGAATACTTTTTCAGAGGAATAGCTGACTTTGGGTACCATTTTCAATTAACTTCCTCTCTTCCTCAACATTTTTAGGCTTCCGAAAAGTTCTGGAACAAGATGCTATGTCCTCTTCGGTTAGTGTCGTTCGTAGACTGGAAAATTTCTAAACACGTGTGAGATTTGATTTTCTTACATAATAATTTCATACGAAATGTTTTTTTCATATGCCCATTCACAACATTCACAAAAGCGTCATTGTTATCAACTCCACAGAGACACGCTTTTCCAGGAATGTTTTTGAGGCCATTCAATAAACTCACGGGTCACGTTTTATCGGGTATAAAGCCACAAGGCGAAGCCGAAACCCTCCTGTTCATTTATTAAACATTACGTAATAAAAATCAGGGCTCGAATTTAAAAAAATCCTCAGGTTGCCCTTTTGGTGACAAACTGAAGAAATATACTTGCCAGATGCAAATATTTTTAGTTGCTAGTTTGTATAATAAATGAAGCAGCGACCCATATGGCGTAATCAATCAGATTTGATTGTTTGAAAATATTGCGGACAGAAGTCGGTATAAATTTTTAGGTAAACTGGCTTTGATTATGTGATTTGAAACATTTTTTATGATGAAAGAAAAGCAAGATACCTGTAAGATGAAAATTTGTTTGTTTTAACTCTACTCTTTAGACTTTTAATTTAAATCTAAAACATAGAGAAATCTGGTCACCAAAGTGGCAACTAAACCAGTACTTTTAGTCGCCAAGGAGAAAATAATAGTTGTATTGGTGACCGTATCAATCACAATTTCGAGTTCTGAAAATATTATTAAAGTAATTATTAAACCTAAGTGCCGAGTAGCCAGCAAATATAGCATTGGAAGCAGCAAAATTGCCCTCTGCCAGTTTATTTTGACTGGGCTGATCAACATCTCTCTAAAGTGTTCATGAACCACCACTGGTACTCTGTTAGAAGGGTGTTGGAGTGAACAGCTTAGTAGAGTAAGATGTTATAAAAAATTGGAAAATACTGTGCAACGCAAAAGTTCGATAATTTTTACAAAGTTTATCAAAATGTGCTTTGAAAGGGCATGAAAAAACCAGACGTTTCGAGGGTGCTCCCCCTTCCTTAGTGGTTTAAAGTAGGGTCTTACCCTCCATGTCAGATCAGAAGCACCTTAAGTGCCACATACTCTAAGAATGAAAATTGACGATGATGATGGTGAGCCTTGAATAAAACAAATTTAGAACCATTCCTCGGCAGGGAATTTCCCGGGCTATGAATAAATTATTGATTTACATTTAACCTAATGATGGAAAATATCTCATTACTTGTTGCTGGCTTGGATGGGCCTCCTCTTCTCCTTAATGGACCTGTCAAAAAAAGGAAAACAATAACATTATGAAAACATCAGTTAATGAAAAATATGAAAATGGCATCAGCAATCAACAGTCACATATGAATCTCTTCATTCATTCAAGACATCCATTCATTCATTCATTCATTTTCATTGGTTTATTCAGATTTACAGTTTTATTTTCTCACTGCCCACAAATAGCAGAGGCTAGTCTAGGTAGCAAGTGTCTATATAAAACAAAATACGCCCTCCAAATGGTGTTAAATATATATTGTCAACAAAAGTTATTTAAGCTTATATAATTTGTACAAAAGGTAAAAAACAGAAAAAAAGTTATGTTAAAAACAATGCTGACATTAACTGGAATACAGAATATAAATGAGAAGCTTACAAGTGAATGTCTACAATAAAACCCCACACATGAGAACCTAAATTTTTCCATGTCAGCCTGAACAGGTTCTTTATACATAGATGGTGCTTAACTTGAAATCACGCTATCCAGGTTCTTAAATAGGTTCTTTATTATTTGGTAAGAAAAAAGTACTTGTATTGGTGGGCATGGCCTTTTTTACTAAATTATTCACACATTTTCATGCTAGTTACATGGAATATAGTAGAGTACAAACATTAAAGGCATATAAATCTTACAAAATAGTGCTAAGTTATGAACATGTTATTGTTTTCTATGTTGTACTTTGGAAATTAAGAACCGACTTTGAAATTTCAGCCTGAAATGGTTCTTATGTGAGGGTGATTAAAATAAAAATTTCAGCCTGACAGGTTCTTAAATTTTAGGTTCTTATACGTGGGGTTTTACTGTATTCAGAATATAAAGTTCTTAGGGGGACAGTATATCTGAAGCAGTATCCCAATAATTAAAGCATATAGCTAGGTCATTCAATGATCCATCTAGCTACATGCATCCCACCCCTAAGATGCAGAATGTCTTAAAATATGCACAAATCATGCCTCATATGCCTCCTTTTGGATGCAAAACGTCTTCTCTGTCCCTTATGAGCAGGATCCATGCATCATATTATTCTTTCATCCAGCTGAAGGCCTGGCTGCTATTTATAAATTAACATGCTTCACCTCAAATGGATTATTGTTCAAGATCCAAGATTGTCACAAATTTGTGCAAGACTGTTGACCCTCTGAGTACCACAACTAGGGTGTTCATTACATTGGAGATCGGAGAATTCTCCATTTACTATGCAGAATTCTCCGCCTAACGTTTGCTAGCTTATGACTATTTTTTACGCAGATGTGGAGCCTCAATCAAAATATTCTCCAGTAACATTACACCTTTCTCCAGCTGCTGCTAGGATTATTAATTAAAACCCTGCACAATAGTTCAAAGCGAAGGCCAAAAATTTTGAAATGAAACAAATTAATGGCTTAAAGAGTGTTCCTAGATGACAATGGATTCTTAGCATGGTTTTATGAAACGTTATAATAAAAATAGGTTGTGCATGGTTTGGTATAGAAGCAGTCCTCTGAAAATGTTGGTGAAACTCGTGGAAAAAAAATTAAAGAAACACCTGTAGCGTGAAGTCTTGTGATTGTTCTGTGATGTGGGACAACCAGCTCATGTTGCTAGGTATTAAGTAATTTTTACATGCTACACGTGTACTTGCCCATGCATGCAAAATGCCCATATATACTTGTCAAATTTTGTTGGACTCTGCCCCAAGACTTTGGGATTTCCCTTGAAGATTCGAGTTAACATGCTACTACATGTACATCAGGATTCACCTATATATATGCTGTATTTTAGAAAAACCCTCTCTGTCTGAATCATATCTCAAAAAGTTAATTAACCACCTTTCACAACCAGATCTGAATCATCCTGGCTGACAGCTGTGGGAGAAGGAACATGCCTTTGCTGTTTCAGTTCACCATCATCACCTTGGATGTTGTCAGTCATTTGCATTGATGTCTTCCTATGTGAACCTACGTGATTTAAATATCATTGATTTATTTTAAGGATATCAAAAACTACATTTACTATAATAATGTTATGTTAATGCTACCTTATAATAATGATTTGTGGAACCTAAAAAAATGTCAATAACAAAAATAAACTGTTAGTTTGATGAAGCACTAAAAATACACAAATATAGAAAAAACTGGGAAAATTGAGATTTTTCCTATGGGCAGCTCTCAACCACCATACTACCAAGGGAGGCTTAAGCCAGTTCAGGAATTCAAAGCAGGCATTTGTCCTGGTGTTAAACTCGGACCCACCGTTACTTACCATTGTTGCAGTTTGGCATATAACAGTCTGTGGTAAGATGGTTGATAATTACATATCGAGTCACAAGTTACACTTGTGATTTCCAATAAAAAAACTTCTTTCTAAAACTTTCTCCAAATGTTTGGAGCAGTTAACAATTCGAAGGATGAGAAAATATTTTAATCTGTTGACGTTGCATCATATCAAGCAACAGAGCAAAGAAAACAAGCAAGATGTTGTGGTTACTTATTAGAGTTAATTTATTACAACAATACCATATTCGGAAAAACTGGGAACAATAAAATCACCTAGCCCTTATATAGATCATTTGCACTTTAATAGAGGTCATGTGACATCATTTTCATGAAAATAAAAGTTATATGATTTTACCTTCCAAAAACGATTAGTGGGTCTTATTTTTAAACAAAATAATAGTGATTTGGTTTTCAAAACCCACACCATTTTCTTAAAATGAGTAAGTTCGTAGCTGGTCACATGACCAAAAGGTGATTTTTAAAATTATGAATTACCTCTTTCTGAACACAAATTTTGCACTTAAACTTCACGGAAAATATTGAAAAGATGATGTACATAAATACATACATACATACATATATACACAAATGACTTATTTTGGTAATGCAGGTCAGTAGCGGCAACTTATAAAGCTGATGCAAAACTATTTCTCCCTAACTCTGTATTCTTTCCTTTTACCTCAAGTAATAAACCCTCATGCTTAGATTAAACAAAAGTGAAAAATGTTATCAATCTGCCGTTGAGCCATTGCTTCACCTTTATAAAGACTTCAACAGCTTAGTCTATGTTTGTATATGTATCCATAGTAGATGACTTGCCGCTTGACATATTCCATCACTTCACTGTCCAAAACATTCTGCATGTGGGACTTTATGAACGACTCTTCCTACTTTTATGTGTAATTTCTCAATTTCGGACAACATTGCAACTGAACAATTACCCCAAACAGAGATGCAATAAGTTATTTGATGTGGAATCACTATTTCCCAGCACTAATTCCTCCTTCTTTCACATCTCTCAATCCCTTTGAGACATTTTTCAGACTGTTGCAACGTACCCATTTCTATGTGAATTCTGGGTTCAACTTTGTGCTTTCGGTTATATATATATAGAAAATGCAGTCACGCAAAACAAGCCATGCATACGAAATCAATTAGCCTCTGAATGAGTAAAGAAAATTTTCAAAAGGAGTAGAGTAGAATTACATTATACGGATTATATTATATAACCAAAGCTTTATTATTGTCATAGATGTGAAATAAATATTTCCCGGATAACGTATGCAGCCAATTCATCAATTTTGCACAGCAAAGAAAAAACTGGCCAGATACTGGGCACCTGACATCAGTGAATACTTCTGGCCCCGTTATCCCAAACAGATTGAATTTCAAGAAGAATTAATGATTTTTCTGACAACCTGGCCTTTAAGTAACTTCACTTTAAATAGAAAACAGTTTCTTTGAAAATATCACATATTACCAACCCTTATTTGAACACCACGCCCACTAGTTTCACTGCGCCGTAAACAGCATAAATATTAGCCAAGAAAAGTGTACTTACCTGCCTTCTGCGACTGTTTCTCAAGCCATAAACCCGCCAAAAATTGCATTTTAAAGGTGAAATCTTCATCTTCAATTCGAAATACTTTGTTTACGGAAAACTTAAAGGGGGCACTGCAAAAATTGAGTTTTTGTTTTAAGTGGCTGGATACTGGTACTGGCCGGATAGTGGGCAACATGCTGTACTAATGTTTTTAAAGAAAGGACACAGCTCAGACTTGATTAATTACAATTATTATTATTATTATTATTGTTATTATTATTATTATTATTATTATTATTATTATTATTATTATTATTATTATTATTATTATGTAAAATTTAGCACAGGGATTTTCCCTGGGGAGAAATATCCAGTCAAGTCTCATCCCGAGACCTCAGACTTCCAGCACCTTTCTGAGGATTATTATTATTATTATTATTATTATTATTATTATTATTATTATTATTATTATTATTATTATTATTATTATTTAGTGTATAAAGTCTGCTGCACACACTTACTTTCATCAGTTCTTGAATGATCTGGATGACGATGATGATGGTGCTGACTTTCACTGGGAGGGGAGCCTGACAGTGCCTCTACAAAAAACAACCAGGGAAAAGAATTAAAGAAAAGAAAGCCAGCACTGCAGTACATAGGTTGCAGATGCATACCTTTTATTGAGCCTTAAGTTAAATAGAAAGAAAGCAATCCTTCTTTTGTTACTGTAATAGTGCTCTGTACCTGTAAAACAATTAAACATAAGATGGCAAATTGTCCTTAAAGCAAACTGTCCTTGAAAATTTTAAACATCCAAATAATTTGGATATATATTTTGTCTTCTGATATAATGGTTATCTGATTTCTTATTTATTGTCCTCTCTCTTCTCACCAAGGTATGAAAAATTAATGTAATCTGGTCAAATTATTTTACAGTATAACTGTCTCACACCTTTTTTTCTTTAATTATCTTCCCTAACTGGTGCTGACTAGTTTTAATGCCCACCTTCTTGTGCTGCAATTGACTCCAGTTTGGCCAGAAGTGAACCCCTCACTTTATTCAGTTCAGGTATATCCAAGCTGTCTTTTAGGTATCTATAAGGGCTGATCCTTTTCTGTTCAGCAGATGGCGGATGACTTGGGGACACATACAACCTGTTTTAGTTAAAAACAATCATGTAACCTCTTCTATGAATGATGATAACAAAGTGACCACAATATTACCAGAGATGCCAACCTCTACCTGGAAATCTAAAATATGGAGACTCTCTCTTTTGCACTAACCCCCTCCGAATGTCAATGCACACCCCGCCCACAAATTGGCCTATGGCTTAGGACATTATATGGAGTCTTACATAAAGTACATACTATCAAAATTCACTTTCATCATTGTAATGATGAAATAAACTTTGTCACAGACTAAATACATGCAAAACTGTTCCAGAAACCGTACTTGTAATAAACGAGAAGTTCAAATTTTGAGAAAAAAAAATGGGCAAAATTTCAAACTAAAGCACAGAGAAGCTCAGAAGTCCATTTGATGTGAGAGATTTGGTGACCCATACGGGAAAGCAGGAGATCAGTGCCGTATCCGGGAGACTTTGGAAGAGTTGGCCTATATGTATTACTACCCTGGGTACCAGAGACTTTCCTTGTGCCGTTTCCAGTCTCTGTCGACTCTTTATCAATACTACAGAAGGGAGGCCACGTTTCTCAACGAAATTATCTTTAACTTTACATCATCAACAGTGATTGCATACAATAATATAATATTACAATGGTAGTATTAAGTTGTAAATGTACACTACCAATAATTAAAACCTAAGTGTTAAACTTTACATTGTAAACAAAATTAATAGTTTGAACCAAAGATTCACGTCATGAGTATGTTGAATAAGATTGCCTCAGGGAGCATAGCCCCGAATAAGATATAATAGCCAGAGAAAACAGCCACCATTTCGCAATGCCACCACTGTTTTCCCTACGAAATGATGTCTGACAAACAAGCCCAGAAATTCCATACTTATTATAATACTTTATACCCAAATATAGTCGTGAGCGAAGTAAGGAGTACGAGGCCTAGCTTTTAGCACTCTAACACCTGTGGTGCAAAGAGCCATGTTTTGGGGTTTGAGACAATATCAATAGTACATCAGTCACTCAGTGAAAGTTTAATTTATCCAACTTTAATGTACATAGACATTTTTTTTTTTCCATTTTCCTATCAATTACTGCTGGGTTCAGCTAATAATGGCTGTTATAAGGGAAATGAAAGCCATTTGATGCAGCCACACAGCCACCCTTCTTCTTCTTTTTGAGCCTACTAGCCTGTGTACAAACGCCCCCTCCCCTAAAAAAAAATGTAACAGAAAACGATGTCCTCTGACAGATGCAAGCTGATGCATTAAAAATTTATGCTTGTAATTGTACCAGTCATCCTATCAATCTTTGGAGACCAGTGAGTTCAGTTGTGACAGAAAAAAAAGGATCACAAAGTCCTGACTGAGTCATTTAGTTATAACAGGGCCAACATAGTCATCATCATCCACCAGTTTGACTGGATAGAATGTACTTGCTGGTACATCTGTGGGTCTACATCTTTGAGGAAATGTCCCTCATGTTCCTTTTGGATGAATGCTACTTTCTATGTTAGAACTTTCACTTTCCTTGTGATGAGCATCACCCATAATGAGCCAGTGGTGACCCAGGGGGTCCTCTTCTTAGAAGCGATCCGAACACATCTACATTTTTGAGAAGAATTCATTGCATGTATTTATAATATATGATATGCATAGTTTCATCTTGTCATGAAAAGTTCTCATACTCTGAGTAGTGTAGTACATAGAGATCAAACTAAATTCTACAACTGTCATCCAAAAAGGTGATTATTAGTCAATTGCAAGAGGTGGTCATTAACAAGAGGTTCCAAGTGTATTAATTTGACTGAGAAAATTTTGGTCTTTTCGCCAATAAATAATTGCGCTTATCTGAGGTAGCCACTGACATCAAAGGTGGTCGCACATGCATTGGAGGTTAGTTTAACAGCATTTCAGGATTGTCTTTTACTGAAAAATTCCGAGTTGTTTCCCGTCATACAATCCTGCCAATGATTGACGCCAGCTGTCAAAGATCTGCCTTTTCTAGTGCTTTGGTGCTAAGCAACGGGTTTGGAAGCATTGAAAATCCAGGAAACTTGATGGTAACACCTTTTATATTTAGATAACTGCAGTTAGTAGGTAGCTTCAGGGTTTGTGAAACAGTTGAAACATCTGTAATCTTCTAAGTTCCCTTTCACACATTACAAAACCCAGCTGAAATCCAACATAGTTGGTGTTGCTCAGTGTATTCCCTGCCTGAGAGTCAGGGGCTGGGAACGTTGAGGTGGCGTACGTATTCTGGGTAAGCCTTGTCAAAGAGAGAGTTTCTGATTTTAAGTCTATGCAGTGGAGCTTAGGTGTAAATACGCTTGAGTTGTAGGGCTAGTTGGTCACCAAGACCACCAGCATCATCTGTTGTCCAGTTGAATGTGCTTCACAGCTGTCTGCAGATTCTCCAGGAACGTTTTGAGTATAAGGCAAGCGTATGTTGTTATAGGCTTGATTTCTGCCGTCCCCCGGGTCCGGTCGAGTGCGGGCTCATTTTCCTGAACAGCGGCTGGTAATCGAGCCTAATGTTGTTATCATCTTCAACCTACCATTATTGGTGTCTGTCATAATACACTGTAAGTGGCTTGGTCGAACCCTCTTCACAGTAGACTACAGATGGTTGCCAGGAAACGGACGGACTTACACAGATATTGACATAATGTGTACTGGCTATAAGCCAGTAAGCACAAAAAAATGTAATAGGTTATTACAGTCAAACTGAGACAACTGTGAACACCAGAAACAGGGTTTGTACTCTTTCAAGTTCTTCAAATTCCATGACTTTCCATGACCTTTTCTAGTTTTCCATGACCTTAGGTTTAGCTGTCATGTTCAAAAATTTTCAAAACTTTACTTGTTTTAGCATATTTTTGGACAGGGTTCGAAAATACGCCAAATTTGGCGTATTTTACAGCAAAATTGTTCAGATGACTCCACAGAGGTTACGAAGGGAGTCACTTTGACTCCAGACATTTTCAGTAACAAACAGGGAGCCTGACTTCCACTCCAGAAATTTTTGGTAACAAACACAATTTTGTCCTTACCTTTTTCACAACAAATACAATTTGCGCTAATTTTAAACATTGTAAACCTTAATTAAATCGTCAAAATTAAAGAATTATACTGCACGACAAAACAGGAAGAGGGTAAATTACAATCAAAGTTTACTCGATAGCTGCCATCATGGATTTGAGCTTTCCAGGCCAGCGGACCGCCACAGCTACTTCGTGTATCCCTCAAGATAGTGTATACATGCCAGGACCACGTGTTGGAAAGTCTAAAAATGGCTTTTTTCGTTGTGATACTTGACTCCAAATATCCCAAAATGACTCGAGAATTTGTGAAGCAGAAGTCATAGTGACTCCACTCATCAATAAAATTTGCAAACCCCGTTTTGACCTTAAACAGTTCAACAAAAACAAACTCTGGTATCCACTAAAATGCATGTCATTCGCGCTGTTTAATTACTCCTCTTTGTCTTACATTATCCTTGCCTTGTCAACTGCAGCAACTAATCTACCAAACAAAACTTTAATTTTCCATGACTTTCAAGGACAGAAAATTAAATTCCATGACTTTCCAGGCCTTGAAAACGAAATTCTTGCATTCCATGACTTTCCAGGTTTTCCATGACCTGTACGAACCCTGCAGAAATATTTCTGGAATGTTATTGTGTTGCAAGAAAAAACCAATCAGGTGTGAGAAAACTAATCTGCAAGTGGCAACAGTAATATTACAGTGTAGTTTGTGGTTTTGTGGCCGGTTCGTGTGTCGTGACTTTTGCTGCAATTAGACATAACACAATAAACATTCCTGAGATATTTCAAGTGTTCACGGTTTTCCCAGTTGCACTGTAAGCGATTAAGAGAACTGTGGGAAAGAAATAATAATGGTTTCCTCGACTGTATGACCAAACACAATTAGTGCATAAAATTCGCTCATTGTATTAGGGCCCTTTAATACAGCAATTTTGTATCTTGACATACAGTCTAAGAAAACACTGTTATTTCATTCTGACATTTATGTTAAGCTGAGCGCCGCAATGACATTTCCGGTGAGGACTATTAAGCAAATAATTATATTTAACAAATTAACACAATTGCAATGAAAAACTGAAAGAACTACAGGAGGATTTTGAGCCAACAAATTTAAACATAATCTTATGTAAGAAGGCAAAAAGTTGTTGTGTTTCATAAAATATTCAGTAATAAAAGAACATGCTTCTTTTCAGGGTCTTGCTCTTCAAGGCTTTAGTGAATTACATTAATTCATGGTCGTAATTTTGTTTCCTTTAATCAACCTTCTGATGACTTAAGCTATTATTGAGTGTTCTGTTTCTCGTAAGCTTATATTTCCTGCCGAGTTAAACATTTTATGGCTGGCGCTCTTCAGTGTTCGAGACAAATCAGCTGATAAATATAAAAAGATTTCCTAGGACAATAAAAAACATAAGAAACAATCTATTTACCAGGTATCGTCATCTTCTTCTACCGCTGCATTTAAATCCAATAGAGGAACATCATCCAAATTTAATTTGACTTTAACCATAGTGGCCTCATCACCCATAACTCGGTTGTTTGGAGTCCGCCGGTTCAACGAATAATCGCTGCTTTTCAGCTGGGCATTTTGTTCTTCGAGCCTCTTAACCATCTCCTGCAGTCGCTTGATATCTGAGCCAGCAGATTTTCGCAGTTCAGAGTTCATATTACAGTGACGTGGAAAAGAGATTGAGTCCAAAAATTCGAAATTCGATGACATCCATATCCTCCCAATATCGCCGAGTCCACAGGTTCAAAAGCCAGCGGTTAAAAGCAGTTGAGGTAGGGACGTCACGTAAAAAACAGCTGGAGGAGCTCCTCCATAACACCGCCCTTGGTTGTCTTGATTGGACGAGGGCAGGTAATCAGACGAATGCGGTTGCTTATTCGAGGATTATTAGAAAAAACTCGGTGCAGCTTTGTACTCTACATGGTTGAAAGATAAGTTTCAAGACGACACAAAAGATTGGACGTATTTTTACGTTAAAAAAATAGATTTCGAACGTTCATTCACCCGTGGGTTTCACCAAGTGGCAATGCTAATTTTAGGCAATCAACACGAAGGCGACTTCTGGTCACTTCGGATTCCATCATTCGAAGAATTTCCGACGAGACCTTTGACGGATGGCGAACCATGGCGGAGTGTGACTACCGAAAATGTGAGGCCTAGACAAAAATCCTCAAAAGTGAGACAAAAGAGCATGAGACATCTCATGCGGTGGTTTACAAGACCAGTGTTTCGCATTTCATGGTTAAAATTACACCTCCAAAAGACACAGATGGGAAGGGAAAGTTTATTTCTTTATTCCTTTATATGTTACACAGTCAAACCTCTTTAATACTGACACCGAAGGGACAGAGCAAAGTGTCTGTATTAGAGAGGTGTCCGTATAAAAAAGGCCACAACGATGACGTCACTTTTGACTCCACTTACAGTTTTAAAATATAGCCACAGCGTTTTAAAAGTGTTCAGCCGGAGCTAAAATCAGGCTCACACTCGTCTTTAAACTGCATTTAAATTTATTAATTCACAGTACAAAGACACATACAAATTCTGAGATTCGTAACCGATCCACTAGTTTTGCAGATTTAAATTTTCAGTGTCCTGTTTTCAAGAAAAACACACAAGGACGCCGGACTTTTAGCGTTCTAACTATTAGAAATTGGAACGAACTGTCCCTTGACGTAAAGACGGGTGAAAAATGTTAAATCTTTTAAAAAGAAATTGTATACGAATTTGATCGCTAAGCAAAGAGAGACAAGTAATTTTGAATTTCTTTTAAATAGTTTTAATAGTTTTAAATATCTCTTAAATTTTAAGTCTGTAAAATAACTTGCCTGTTTTAGATAGCTAATAGTTTTAAATAATTAAAATTTCTAAATAAGACTCTCGATAGTTTTTAAATTCTTTTTATAATGGCAGTGTAAAGTTATTTTAATATTAATTTTGCTTTAAGTTTTATAGAAGGCCAAAAGTTTATCACTTTTATCATAACTGTCACGTCTTTACCCTCTTTAAATTAACGCGTTACGTTACCTTACCTTACCTTAACATTGTACATCTAAGCTAAAAAGTAAGTACAGTTGTAGACAAATCACTGTTTTACAACGAAACAAGCTACAGCGTAATGCTGCAAGTAAAAGGTTGTAACGTAAAGTCAGTAAAGCACAATTCTGAAAGCGTCTTTCGCTATTTTGCAAGTGCAGTAAACAGTAGCTAGAGTACAAAATGTAATAGAAAAGATCTTTATGCTATATCTGTAGTTATTCAAGCCTTAAAAAGTCGGTTATGTTCCTCTGTACACCTTTCGTTGTTTGATATACAGCGACTGGGCTTTTGAAATTACCTTGCATAGCTCATCAGCCGGGTGGGATTCACCCTGTGCAGATTCACCTGATCGGGATTCGGAATTCACCTGATCAGCGCAGTGTTCGTAATAAAGAGGTTAAGTTTACATGAATTTACTCTCTGGGGCCGAGATTTAGTGTCCGTTGTCCGTATTAGAGAGAGTCCGTATTAAAGAGGATTTCTTTAAAAAAAAAAATATATGAGAATTTTGTCGGGAAATTGGCAACTGTCCGTAGTGGTGAGGTGTACGTATTAGAGAGGTGTCCGTACCGAGAGGTTCGACTGTACTGTAATTCACAAGGGTTTCCCATCACTGTGAAAAAGAAAAAAAACAATAATAAATAAATAATAAAATAAAATGATGTATAAAATCAACGAGGGAGACTGTAAAATAATTAGTAACAGAAGATTTAAATGCGTCCACGGAAGGCTGATCTAATAGAAAGGAAGGTAAATAAAGTTCTCGTAAAAAAATTGTACTTATTTGTATTGCTGTCACTACCAATGTTTATTAACTTGCTGCTATGGTAAGAGCCTGTTACATGGGTTGGGCGTGCAATGTACTCCGGAATATTGACCCTAATTTTATTTTTCACTATTTTATACATGGTATTAAGTCGTGCGGCTTAGTTCTAGTGAATGCCACTTCAAATCGTTCAAGAGAGTTTAGTGACTGTACCGGGTTCCTGCTCGTAGCAGTTTTTTACAAATTTGGCGGCTCGCCGCTGTTCTTTCAATATCGTGGCAGTGCTTTTGATTACTGTGGGTCCCACACGCTGCAGGCGTACTCCAGACAAGGACGAACGAGGGTGATTTAGGCCTGACTTTTAACATTCTCTGGACAGGAATAAAGATAACGTCTGATGAAACCAAGGGACCGGTTAACCTTCCCTGTAATGTTCTCTTTATATATTATAAAAGCTTCAATTCAAATTGAAGGACAGCTCCACTCTCAAGTAAGGATGATGAGATACAGAGTCCAAAGGAGTTCCATTCATTGTATACTGATGAATGATTTAGTTTCTCGATCGATAAGCCCTCAGGATCTTACACTTGTCACAACTGAGAGACATTTGCCATAATTTGGTCCAGGCCCCTAGGCTGTCAAGGCCTTGCTGAGAAGTATTGGCGTCATCTTTGCTGCTCGCGGTTGCGTATAAGAGCGTGTCGTCAGCAAAAAGTCGAATGTGAGATTTTATATTTGCACCTTTATCGTTAATGTAGACGAGGAACATTAGGGGGCTAAAAACAGTGCCCTGCGGGACGTCAACCATAACTGATGCAGACGCAGAGTTATCTCCTTCCACTAAGATGGCCGGATTGTTCCCTATAGCAAAGCCAAGCTTGAATTCACTTGTTGATTGTGCCCCGTACGCCGTAGAGGCTTAGCTTGAGTAGGAGGCGTTGGTGTGGGACAGTATCAAAAGCTTTAGCAAAGTCCAGCAAGATAATATCGCTTTGCTTGCCATGATCAAGATTTCTAGCAAGATCTTCCAGAGTGATGAGCAGTTGGGTTTGAAAACAATGCATAGTTTTCTTTTGGTGACAATGAAAGGCTTTTCTTTACAAAACTGTCCTTCGAGAAGTTCGAAATTTTCTTCACGGCCGATTGGAGCGCTTTGCCTGTTTTGAAACGCAACCAAGCAGCGAAGTTTTTAAAAATCTTCAGGTATATTTTGTACTCTATAGTCAAGAAAGTTACGTTTTTAAAAGGAAAATTTTCCCGCCCCACCCATTTTTTAAGGGAAAAGCCCTGGGGACGAGGTTGTCTGACGGTTGCCTATCTTCAAGCGGAGATCTGGTTTCAGCAAGTCCAGTCGAGTGCGTAATCGTCTTCCCAAAAATAGCTGAGACGGCGCTTCTCCAGTGGTTGAATGGGGGGTATTTTTGTTAGCTAGACGTTGCCAGCTTAATGTTCAGAGGTTTTACTTCCGTTTCACTTTTCATGGCTGATATGAAACTCTGCACATAGCGTTCGGCTAGACCATTGCTGGCAGGATGGTATGGAGCAGATGTCAGATGTTTGATTCCATTTCTCTTGAGGAACAACTGAAACTCTTCAGATTTAAACTACTACTAATAATAGTAATAATAAAAATAGGCTTTATTTGAAGAGGGTAAAACACTTAACAGTAGTCCTAATACACTGATGACTCTGTGGCCCTCAAAACAAATTACAAATATAGATTCTACAACAAAAAACTATAAAATATACCATTTTCAAAGATAATTTAGGATAAAATATAATAGATAATTTCTAAAAAGACATTATGACTAAGATAGATAAAAGCAACATAAAACGTATATACAATTAGAGTCTAAGGAGCATCGCAGCCTTTAGTTCAGCTAGAAAGGATTTAAAAACGTTATGCTTGAAACTTGCTAGCGAGCCATTATTTCTTATATTGGCATTCATGCAATTCCAGTCCTTTATAGTCCTAGTAGTGAAAGTTCGACCTCCTTCTGTTTTTCGTTTATACTTGGGAAACACCAAATTTATGTTTGAATGTCTAGTGGCTCGATTCTGAATTTCTGACCAATAGACTATTCAGATAAATAGGCGTAATATAATTGTGGACCCGCTTATACACTAGTGCGCATCTCTTTATGAGAGATTGTTCAGTAGAAGGGGGTCAGTTTAGATTATTGAATAATACGACTGATGGTGTAAGTCTTTCAGCATCAAGTATAATGCGTGCCGCGCTTGTTTGAAGTTTTAAAATACTTTGAAGATGTTCGACATTGCAGCTGTCATACTCCCATATAGGAGGGTGGGCTTTATAACACCATTGTAATAGGTTTCCCTTTGACGAAATATGATTCAAACCATGACAGCGAAGGATCACTCACTCTATACAGGCGCAGTTTCGTAAGAAGCAATTGATGATCAACAACGTTAAACGCTTTTCTTAAGTCTACAAAAACCATTCCAGAAAGCTTGTCTTCATCTAAGTACCGCTAAGTACGAAGTGAAGCTTAAGGAATCCATGTTTATAAAATGGGAGAAGCCCGATCTCAACCAGCAGGTGAAACACATTAACCTGACTCTCTCCCTGTAAAGAACTAAGAGTCACTTGTTTAATTTTTTTGTTTTAGTACGCAATATTGACAACGCAATGTAACGAACTTTGTAAGATCAGGCGCGCGCTTTAAATTCAGCGGCGATTTCAAAATATTTAACACTGAAGATGACGGATGTACCGTCGAAACATGTCTGGAAAATTAAAGAAAGTTGTTATGTTTATACGACTATCTATATTGTTGCTGCTATCTAGACCTTTTGTCTTCATCTAGATTGGAGAGGATTTGGTGAGTTAAACTGATCAGAGCCGACTCGGTGGAGTGCCCTGCGCGAAAAGCTGATTGAAATTCATACAGTAAGCCAGTTTTCACAAGGCAATCCATAAAGGCAGCAGCAACATGCTTTTCACAGACTTTAGACAATATGGAGAACGCGGAGATCGATCTAAAATTGTCCTGACAGTCTTGGGCGCCATCTTTAAAGAGAGGTGTGACGCGCGCCATTTTCCATTTAGTTGGAGAACAGCCACTCAAGTGGAATCTAGAGTCAGACACATTTGGTTTCAAAGTGAAGGTTTAAGGGAAGCCCCCTACTCACCGCGGTATATTGTCCTTGGTGAGTTTAACCTGAGATCAGGCTCTATTTTCGTTTCGCTTTGTAAATAACATTCCGGCGGGCATAGCGAAACGAAAAGAGAGCCTGATACAAACCTTCTAAGCACATTTCGTTTGTATTTTTGAGCGCTTTTCGGGACATTTTTCTTAAAGTTTTCTTAGAATAAGATTGTAATAGGAAAAAAGATCTTTGTGCCGTGTTTGGATGTAATAATGATCGCTCGTCCTATTTCAATCCGCAGGATCCGCAGCACAGGTCTTGCTGGATAACTTTAGCAGTTAATACGAAAGGACTGGCGAACCCCTGGGGGTCATACACTGAACTCACCATAACCTGAGATCAGGCCCAACTTGAGCGGTTCTCTCTCTAACGGCTACCGCTAAAATTGGGCCTGATCCAAACTCATTCACGTTTGTGCTCGTTACGGCCAGATTTTGGCCGTAACGCTGATTGGCTGTACAGGATCGTGCTTTAAGCTAATGTTATCAATGAAATAACACACAACAACAGATAGAGAAATCATTTCTCGAAACACTTTATTTTAAAACCCATAAATTAATCCTTAAAAGCAATTCCCGTCACACAAACCGGCTTGTGGGTCTGTTCACGCCAGTAAATCGGCTGAGCACATAGCAAAAGTTATTCAACACAAATCTCAAACACAGGGCGCCCAAAGCGATCTCAAAATGTATAAAACGTCTAAGATGAAGAATTTACAAATCCCGCCCCACCCATTTTTTTAAGGGAAAAGCCCTGGGGACGAGGTTGACCGTCAGATAGACCAAACTGTCACGAAGGGTGGTGCTGTAACCAGAGAATTCTCCATCGGTCAGACAGTGATAGCACGAAATTACACTGGTAGTAAAAAGTGGGTACCTGGCATCATCCGAACACAACTTGGCCCCCTTTCTTACGAAGTAGAAGTCAAACCTGGCTTAGTGTGGCATCGACACACAGACCAACTGAGGGATACCAGAATTCCAGTGACACCAAGCAGCAACCCTGTTACTCAGACCTCAGAACTTCCAATCCAGGTTGAGAGTCGTGAGGACCCAGTGTCTGTCGCCAATGAGCAGCCAGCAGGCAGCAACTTGGAGACTGATGTTCCGCCACCAAGTCCAGTGGCTGACCCTGCAATCAGCAGTCCACCAAATTTGAGTGAACCTGTTCCTGTTAGACGATATCCGGTCCGAGTGCGGAAGCCCTCAGCTAGGCTGGATTTATGAACTTTGAAGTGCCATTACAGTCAAACCAGGCCAAGCGTTCCCGTCGCTAACGGATTAATAAATTCTTGGTTCAGTAGTTTATTCACGAAATAAATAATGCAATATTCAAATCGAGCCTCGATGCAATAATCGAATGTTGATTGGATTAATAAACAAAAGCCTTGCCATATATGGACACCACGCTCCTCCCGCGCTCCAGTTGAAAAAATGGCGGGCAGGCGAAGTTTGGGACGGATTTATGAGAGTGGGAAGGCCCTGTCTGGAGCTTTCTTGTAAGGAAGTTAAATATTAAAGTCGCTTGGGCTAATTGTAGACGGTATTCCAGCGAGCTTTTGCGGTCTTCGAGGTTTTGCAGCAGTCTGTCAACGGCCTTTTCACCGCCTTCACAAGTGGAAACGGTCGCTCCGTTTGTTTCTGTCAATGGTGTACACAACTGTTCAGCGTGACTACGCGACTTTCTGGTGTGCAAGCAGCTTTCCAAAATCATGACTTTTATTTTATCTCGGTTTTCCAGGTCTTTTATTTCGACGTCGACGAACTCTCACCACTCCCTATCATAACCCTGCAACGAAACAGTGCCCTGTACATGTATGCCAAATCGGTCAGTGTAAAACGCAGACTGCGGACCAGGGGTAAAATGCAGACTGAGTGTAAAATGCAGACTACAGACTGAGAGTAAAATGCAGGCTAGGGGTAAAATGCAGAATTAAGATCGACTGATCTTATCGTCAGTGCTATCTATTAAGAAAGCTTCAGCTCCTACGCCCAGATGGAGACCCTCTCGGTTAAAGCTGCTAATGGTGACGACTATGAGGCAGAGTTCAAGTTTCTGGAAGCATCATACAGAGAAGATGCTGATACAGGGACGCTACCTGGGCATGCAACTAAATATTTTGGAAGTTATGTTATAGGAGAAGATAGCATGTTTTGACGAAATCCTGTTGGCGGTGTCAAAGTTTCCAAAACTAGAAGAGAAGCTAATTCAGGAAGCCCACACTATCTGTAAGCTGCCTGCTGTAAATCCTGCAACCAGCGTTGCTGGCGAGCCTTTGTCTCATCTGCACGGCGTCTGAAGACGTGGCTTCTATCCAGGATGGGTGACCTAGCAGTGTTGAATGGTCACAAGTGGAGAACAGACAGTGTCTCTATAGCTACACAGGAGTTTGTTTCCCGCAATGAGACACACAAGAGAAGCTTCGGCACTTCGGGCAACGTCAAAAAGTAGCAACCTCAGGAGGTTTATTTAACATATTGGCTATATTGGATAGTATAACACGTGTGGACGTTTTTGTTATATTTGTTGAGGTGGTAAATAAGATGGCGCGCAAATGTAAGATAAATGGCGAAACACCGACCTGAACGTTTCTTTATATTGGCCAACGTTTTTAGCCCTACCACCTTAAAATGGCCTCCGCGGTCCCTGTACTGCCTGCGGAATCTGCTGAACTGAAATATACCAGGTGGCCATAAAAACCAGTTACGCAGTACCATCATTAAGCCTTGACCAGATATTTATGTAGGTCAGGGACTGAACTGAAAGGGCAAAATGGTTTCAGAAAGTTACATTTATTCAATCGAAGTAAGATTTTGAGCAGGCTGTGAATGCGCTGAGCCAGTGGGATACACGTCTAGTTCCATCTGATTGATTCGGGACTGAAACTTCTGATAAGACTCCTCCAATTCCTGCAATATTAACAAATTTTGTGTTTGCAGTGGGTCCAAGAAACAAAGCCAGTAATTTCTAAGCAGTACAACACGTCCACTAAAACTGTTTTATGCAACGTTTCTTGTCATTTTGTTGTGACACTGCGAGGCAAGTTGCATCAGGGAAATGTTGCTTTGTGTGACTCCCTCTTAAACAAATGAGACTTGCTAAGTTTACGTCTCAGTAATCATTACAAAGAGTGACACTTGGTTCTTTTAACAAAGCTTGTTGCTACAAAAATTGTTGCTGGAAACGTTCGCTTAAGGGGTATTTCCTATTTGACGAAATTTTTATGCAAACCTGTGCTGCGAAAAAATCGCGAGAAAAGTTTCAAAACACGAATCTATGCCGAATCTCACGACAGTACTTGCGAGGTCAAATTTACAAAGGTATAATACCGATAAAGTAATCACCTGAACTTCACTGATACTCGGCACAAAAACAACTAAAAAATAATTAACGGGTGGCATTAGACACAGCATACAAATTGCAAATATCACAGTCTTTGATAATTAGGCTCCCGTCCTTGTCTCTTTGAATGTTTTAGTCTTGTACCTCCCGTGACCTCTGTTCAAGACACTTCCTCAGCTCTGCCTTCCCAGCTTCCCTGCTGGTACCACCTCCCCAGACTCCTGCTTGCTACCTGTTCGTCGGATTTTGTTAATCACTCGTAAAGAGAAGGCAGATTTGTTACCAACCTTAGCTTCCATTTCGAGGCGATCAAAAAGTGCTTTGCTCTGAGCTATCATGACCAAAGTGCTACTAGTTTCATCCATTTTGCTCTCGGATGGCGTCCTGTGGCTCTCGTGCTGGTGCAACTGTGTATCCACAGGTGAATCATCAACACTAGGTAATGTTTCCATACTTTAGTACCGATGTGGTAAAGGAGATAAAAAATTACAAGTGTTTATATCAATATATACCATAAGTAAAATGAAGGCAACAAGATGATTTAGCACTTACTGAGGGAATGAATTAATCAAGGTGGTTCTTCTCCTATCTAACTCCATGTCGAGCACTGTAGAAAGATAATTATCGATGTTAGAGACGTAAATTCCACCTCTAAAAATAAGATGTCAAGTTGACAACCACGTGCCTGTTTACATGGAGGTGGATACCCCAGGTAGGTACTGTCCATATATAATCTCATTAATTTAATCACGTTTGTTCTGTCGCGAATTCTGATAATGTCGTGAATTGTAATACCTGTCGCAAAAGGTAATAACAGTTGTCGAGAATTGTAATAACCAAGTTTTCGTAAATTGTAATAAGCCGAGCTGTCCAGAATTGTAATATTTTGCAATAAGTCTTGAAAATAAACAATAATTTACCAAGAACGCTTTTAGATAACTAAGATTGTTCTTATTTTTTAGGATTCGACAGGAATCCTACAATGCAGCTCCTCAAAAGCTCATTGCTCAATTGGTTATTTCCAAGTTCCAGAAACCCTAACTTTCAAAACGAAGATAAGTGTTTGATTTTCATCAGAAGAATAAATCATTATTTTTCAAGCGACTGGCTTTGCACTTAGCCTCGCTTTGAAACAGAGGCTTGGGGCCACCCGGAAATGGCCTAGAAAATTTAGGCCCCCTTAGTGCTTAAGGACAGATTTAACGACAGTTTGAAAATTATAAAAAAATGTGTAGGGAAAACCACTTAACCGTGTGAGAGTGTGACAAGATTTATTTTTCCCAAAATATTTGAACAATATGCTAGCCGTTTACTTCTGTTCGTCGACTTTTTGAGCTACGAGGAATAGTATCATGAATAACCAGGTTTGTGTTTACCTTGCCCGTTATTTACACGAATGATACACAAGACGAACGGACACTTTTGTATAACACAAAAATCTAACACCTCTTTGCACTTAATAGCTCTAATGGTTTAAAGCTCGATTGATATTTTTTCCTTCCTGTAATTCATCGCACTCTCAAGAATTTGGTGAGCACTAAGCAAAATATCACAGTGGCGCCTTATTCTTGGCTATATTATCTAATCTTCTTTTAATTTAGTTCCCACGGGGGCTGGGGAACACCATGGCATAGGGACGTTTTCGTGTTGATAACTGATAATTCATGTTACATTGTAAAATGACGTCATCAGTGACATCATAAATGTGTTGAAGAAATACTTCATTGCTCACTCTCGTACTCGTGCCACTTGATTTCTTGTTTGTCGCGACTTTTGTCATCAAAATAAAAAAAGGCAAAAGTCACACAAACATTGCAAATTAGTCACGCTGAGGTCATTTGTGCGATGTATTATTAAGGCGTTTCGAATTGTCCCTACCCCCCCCCCCCCCTTAGCCCTTTACGACAACGCGATATTACAATTTACGGTACCTTAATAATAACAATTGTCGACAACTGTTATTACAATTTACTGTAACAGGTATTACAATTCACGACGTTGACATAATAGGTGTGGTGCCCCACCGAGGCAGGTTCCGGCCACGTTCTGTCAGACCGGGTTATCCTCTCAGCGGGGGTAAAATGTTGCCATCGAGGTTTTTTTACCCCTCTTGAACGGGTTACCCCATCTACTTGGGGTGCCCCACCTCCACATAAACAGGCCCTAAATGAACAACCATTTATTTGACAATCAAACTACCTTGCTGAGTTTGATGTAATGTGAGTTTCAAATCGGTCACCTCTTGCTTCAATAAAGACTCTCTTGTCAGTAGGCCTTCATAAAGTTCCTGATACTTCTTTTTTCTTTGGCACTGAGGAAAAATGTCTGTAAATGAATCCCTACTGGCCTATATGTTTTATTTCACATAATTTAAAGTATACGAATCTGATGTCTACTTTACATATGCAGTTTACTCCCGATAACTCGAATCCTCGCTAACTCGAACCTCGAGCAAACTCGGACCTAAGTCGATTTTCCCTGGACTGCCTTCATACTTCCTTAATTCTGTGCTATCTTCCAGTTGAATTTGCATTAATAGCAATCGTCCTGTACGCCACTAAAAGATAATCTATGCTAATATTCTAAACGTTTACAAGTGGTTCGCTTGTCAAGTAGTTCACAAGAACACTGTCATCAATTTATTTAGCTCCAGTTTCCAAGTCGCAAGATTCAAGAATATTGTATTGAACATTAGTCATTGTACAGTGAACTCTTGACATTGTATGTTTCATTAATATCGTGTAGTGTGATAGTCTTGCTTTGAAACGTACTTTACGATTAACTTAGTACTTACTTAGCTTTGCTTAACTAGTTGCGTTCGACCCCGTATTTCTAGTTTATACGTATTACGTCCTTTTGCATCGAGGACGATGCTTTCATAACGGGGGAGGTATGTTGTGAAGTATTTTGAAAGTTATTATAAGATCTGTCCCATCTTTTAAGTTTCATTAAGCGGGCCAAGGTTAGTTTGGATTTCGTCCGCATAGGAATCTTCCTGTTTTCATCATTTTCTTTTATTTTGTACTTGAATTTTTGCTTAGCTCGCGAATTTATGGCTCAGTCAATTTCATGCGTGCCCATTCCCCCCGGGCATTTGTCATCAGAGAGTTTTAGCATCAACGACGGCAACTGCAGCGAAAACGTCACTTTAAAATGAATCCACGTTTTGTCAAACTTTGTTGCGTTTAGTCCAAATTGCTGAAAATGTCAAATGTAGGCGAATTTCCGTGGAGTTGATTTCTTGGGGACCACACTCAAGTTTTAAAAGAGAAAGAAAAAATTCGTTGTCGCTTGATTACGTCCTCCATAAAACGTGAAATTAGTGATTTTCACGTCCTAGTCGTGCAGTGACGGCAAAGAAATGTACCGAAAAGTGAGCTGCACGTACAAAGTTGCTGTTTTGCTTATCAAACCAATTGCTTTTTTGAAGTTCTCGCTGCCGTCGCCGTCGTCGTTGCTAAAGTTCCCTATCTTGTCGATCCCGGCGGTGGAGAATTTGTCAGAAAACCTCTGCCCGGGGGTGGGGCATTTGTAAATTCTTCTCGAAGCAGTTAACGCCGTTCCTTTTTCAACATTTCACTTAAAAATATGCCTATTTAGATAGCTTAACATATTTCTATGAAGAATATTTTTAACAATTATGCTTTAAAGAGATAAGTGTGGTTTTTGTTCCATCAATTCCCTATATATCCCACAGTATTTTTTGCATCTGTCTAAGAAAATGCTTCCCGCCATCGTGACCATTTTGCACATGGAGGAAAAACAAGCAATGTATCGTTTGAAGAGTTTAAAGGAAAAGACACTCGTTGTGCTTGAATGGTTCAGGCAGAAAGGCTTAGAAAACCTTTGCGAGATATTCGAAAGCTACACTATGTACTATAAACTTCAATCGTGTATTGTACGATGAATGCGACAATTAACGCACTGACGAAACGGTTCCATCGTGATGAGAAAATACTCGCTTACCGGTTGTTTATCATTCACCACATTAAACGTCTTCGAAAATAAGAAATGTATCATTAAAATTCTAGTTTATAGATCTGTCATTGATATTAATCCGTTGGATGTGATCTTTTTTGCAATAATTATCACTAGCGAGCAGGAGCGATTTGCGTAGGGCGCTTCACGCGTTTTGATCAGATTATTAGAAATTTCCCATAAATATGGTATTTGCAGCTTATTTACTGGAAAATACAATTTTGGTGGTGTCCCGGGGTGTGACATTTGCACCCTATTTTCAAGCCCCACCGTGGGGTTTTTGTGTGAAGGCCCTGCCCCACCGTGGGGCATTTGCAGCTTTTCCAAAACAAAACGACAAATGCCCGACAAATGCCCAGGGGAGATGGGCACGCTTGGAATTGACTGAGCCATTACTTAATCAGATTTTAGGAATCTTGTTCGCCTGACAATGTCAATTTTTCATAGGTGGTCGTGTTTGTGATGTTAGAACTGACCTTGGTTCATTGGTCTCGTTAAAGTTCCTGTTTGGGTTTGATAAACAGCGTTTTAGTTCTTCATTGGTTTGTAGCTTCTTGCCGATTACAACCGTGTAGGTTCAGTTATACCAAAACATTACCCACACCGAGTTCACCTTGATTTTGATTCCCACGGTCAGCTAACCCAAACATGACCACCTCTAGACATAAAAACGGCGGCTGTTTGGCTAGTTAGTTAGAAGAGTTAAGATTGAGTAGAGAAGAAGAGTAAGAAGATTAAGATTGTCAGCAGAAGTCAAAGAAGAATAAAGACCAAGATGTAAATCATATTCCTAGTACCTCATCGTGTAGCGAGCAAGTTGCTCCAACACACCCCCACAATTTATTGTTATATTACCCTTGATAACTCAAACCCTCGATAACTCGAAGCCCCCGCTAACTCGAAGTAATTTTTCATTCCCTTCAAATAACTTCTATACAGTTTTACCCTCGATAACTCGAACCATGTTTTAAGCGCGTGATAAGTCGGGGAAAAAAGTGTACAGAAGTGCGAAACACTGAATTTATTTCAAAACAACTGTGTCAATTCTTCGACCTTAATTTTTGGTTACTCCAGCTCAAATTTAGTGTCCACCCTGAATATTAATCAAGCTGTGTTGCTTAATTCCTTTTTCAAAACATCAATCTATATCTCTTTCTGTCCTAGAAGTAAAGTGTGCATGATACACTGAAAATCAAAAAGATCTGTTTCAGCCCCAAAGTGACAACTCAGCCCTGAAGGCAAAAATCTGATTCAGCCCCTTCTGGAACCATTTGAGCACAATTTAAGCCAAAACTAGCAGGCGCTAGGAAGAAATGGGTGCAAGAAAGAACGGGGCGCCCGAGGGAGACACGCCCTGTTCTTTCTTGCGCCCGTTACTTCCAAGCGCCTGCTACGCAGGGTGGCCAAAACAGCCCAATCAAAAGGCAAAACAAAACAGATATATCTGATTTACAGTGTACTTGTTTTTTGAGGGGCTTATATTCGGAGGGGCTTATCTACGGAGGGAAATTTGCGTTTCAAAATCGATTGGGCTAGCCTTATAGTTGGAAGTAAATTTACCGTTTTACTTTGTAATTGAGGGCAATTTTCCAAGTACAACCCTTGGGGGCTTATATTTGGAGGGGCGATTTAACGGAGGGTTTTTTCGGTTACTGGTTTGGGGAGCTTATATATTTGGAGGGGCTTATACATGAAAAGGCTTATTTTCGGAATTTTACGGTAACTTGTCTCAAAGAATACGCAAGTCGTGACCCAAGCCTATCCTAACAAGAAAAGAAAGTAAATACTAAAAAACAAAAAGTGTACACAGCTATTCTCTCTGATTACTGGTTTCTTTCGAAGCACTGTAGGCTAACATTTTTTTCGTGGGCTTCTGTACCAGTTCTAAACTTTCTGCTGTTACTAAATTGACCCTAGCAACAAAGGCAGCCTTCAGTCGTAAAATTCTTTGTTTTGAGGAGTTTAAAATACTTTTCGGTCATTTGGTTAACAGAACGCTCGAAAATAAAAGCCTTCAAGAACACGAAGCCAGGAAAACATTGGAAGCGAGGGTTTTTGGAACTGGGAATGCGGGCCTATTGCCTCTGAAGCAGCTTTCATACCTCATCATTCAGCTGGAATTCAATCCTCTTTTGCAACTCTTTCCATGACACTTCTTTCGATTTGCTGTTTTTTTCCATCTGTTTAAATTTATCCCGCAAATGTAGCTAATATAACAGATTTAAAGGTAAGAACAAATTACTTTAACAGCCTACCACAACCAACGTGATCGTGAGTAAATACTTTATGTTCCTAACTTGATTCAACTAGTTTAACATTTTAAAACAAAGGTATTCAACAAGCGAACATAGTATAGAGCTCGACTTCTATAATCTATAATAAGAATAGGAATCTATAATATTACTTGTGTATTATACAGCACAACAAGGACTTGTATAGCTAACGAGAACTACATCAGGTTTCAAGCTGCTTTATATATATAGCCTGCTCAATCAAATAAATACTATGATGGCGGTGGTGATAAATTGACTTCAAACGATACAAAATCCTTACCAGGTCTGTTGATGACTTCGATGACTTATCTGTTAGTTCCTTGATTGTTCGCTGGTTTCCTTAAAACAAAGTTATAAACAACATCGCAAAATAAATTTCACAGAAAGGTAACAATTGCTATTTGATATCTTAGAAAAAGAACATGACTATATTCAAATCCCCATGACTATTTAAAAATCGGTTTATGTAGATAGATACACTTGTTAAACGTTTAAATGTCTGCTTTTTCTCTTCTTCGTTATTCATCTTTGAGAGTCAGTGACTCCCTATCTTAGTGCATTGTTATATTAGTAAATTAAGTATGTCAGTAAGTGCTGTGTAGTTAATTAGATCACTGAACTTCTTTTATTTATTCTAAGTTGCAATCTGAAAGGCTTTGTAATAGTTTAATATTTTTGTTTTTAGTGCCACGGCTATAGCTTTCCAGCTATTTGCAGGGCAAGCTATTCAACTCCTGCATACAAAAGTTGTTGTTGATGTTTGGTAACAACACGTATCATAAAAACGTCATTCCCAATACCTTTCAGTTCCTCTTCATAACTGATCAACTTTCTAGCCGAGAGAAAAAAAGATGCAAAGTTGCGTTCGATTTAACACGGTAAGTAAAGAAAGGATTCCTGCATTAGAAAAGAGGAAGATAAGGTCTACGTCTAACCTTTGTAATGAGGCGTTCTGCTCGCAAAGGGCCACCTCTCTTTCCTTTACATCCTTGTAATCCTTTAATAGAAACCGAATAACAACTCACTTCACCTGCTGCTAACGGTCATAAAAGAGAACAGGACAGTGACAGTCTCCTCAAAAAAACAACTGTACCTGCACTAACCAATCGGTGGGCTAAATATTGTGCTTACCTGTTCACACGCCATGCCGTTAAAGTTTTGTTATTGGTAACTACATGTGACCAGTTCCTTACTCGATTTCCGGTCTTGGGAAATACAAACAAAATAAATTCTCTACATCATTACCTCATTTAACCTTTTAATCGTGGCTTCTTTTTCCTTTAGAGCGCTCGTAAACTGAGATTTATTGTTTTGAAGTTCAACCTGAGTGAAAGACAAAATTAAGAAAATGACAAAACTTCAGTAGCTCACAGTAACACAAAGGCCTGAAGTCTATAAAAGAGACTGAAGTGCAAGGACGGACGGTTGAACTGTCGCAACAACATTATCACACACGATTCTCTTCAGGGAATGTCAATCGTGGCCATTCCTTTTGAACATCATGGAATGGAACAAATATAATTAGAAACTTTAGAGAATTACCACCATCTTCTGACTTAGTTTTTTTAAAAATTCAAGTAAAACACACCTGTAACACTTTTAACGTTTCTTTGGTTCTTTGTAACTCGTGGGAAGCAGTGGAACAATTACTTCTCTCACTTTCAAAATTTTCTCTCTCTTCTACAACAGAAAATAATCACGGATCAAAGATGTCTTTTCACTCACGTTGACCAGCACAAAAGAGAATTACAGGATAAGAATGGTAACATGAAGGTGACCTTGGCAGTTAGGATTTTGTCAGTGAAGTCACTTCCTCACTCGCTGTCGAGCCTCAAATCTGGAAAACTAAGACACCTAGAAAGCTCAGACCCCTACAAATCTGACTAGGAAACTCAGACCACCGCCCCCCTCCCCGCCCCAAATCTGGAAAACTAAGACTACTAGAAAGCTCAGACCCTCCAAATCTGACTAGGAAACTCAGACCACCGCCCCCCTCCCCGCCCCAAAGCTGGAAAACTAAGACTACTAGAAAGCTCAGACCCTCCAAATCTGACTAGGAAACTCAGACCACCCCCTCCCCCGCGCCCCAAATTTGGAAAATTCAGACCTAGGAAACCCAGCCCCCACCAAAAAAATTCTGATAGGTCATGCTGTTTATGTGAACGTTCACGTCAGTGATCAACCAGACCGCGATAAGATCGGAGTCAGCACCGTTAGATTCATGAAAAGGCTTTAGTTACTTGAAGGCCATCTGTATCGATGTAGATGGTACGATAAGCTATTTCATACTTACGTTGAAACTGTTTTTCTTTGAGCTCTAGACTTCTCTTTCTTTCGCGTGATTCTCCTTCATATTTTAGTTGATACCTGTGAGTAAAATGGTTAGCCATGGGAGTGAAATAGTAGCAGACTATCATTTCTAGTTGTGTACTTACTACAACATGTTTCAAGTTGTTGCAGTCACCTTATCTTTTTGTAACTGTTGTTCTCCCAGAAAAAGCGTACTCAACAAACTAAGAACCGGCAAAGGCCGCCTTACGACAAGACCCAATGCCGTTTTAACAAAGTAGGCACCGCACAAGAACAACAGAACCTGGCGGTAATGTTTCACTGGGAAACGACCTGATGTTTACTGACCTGTCATCAGACAGCAGTCACTGGAGTAAGTACAGTGGCGCTGTAAAACTAGACAAGCAAAAATGAACAATTTCAGTTGACACTGTTAAGGTGGCTCCATCATTAATACTGGGGCACTTAACTGTGACAAATTTTCCGTCATAACGTTTTCGTTTTTAACGCGATGGCTGCAAAACTTTGCAAAGAACAACAGAAGCCATTCGGTAATAATATGAAATATTCCGATTTCATTGATGGAAAATATTTCTTGAGAAGTTAGCGTTTAAAAGGATCCTACTGTTCCAAAAAATAGCGTCTAGAAAAAATTTTGCTGATATTTTTTACTGAAATTTGTGGTATCGGCTTTTTTTGATGTAATAAATAAACCAGAGAAATTTCAGAAAAATCGTTGGAGCAGAAGTCCGTAACTGTGAAAATTATGGAATTTCAGAAATATATTACTATCAGGTAGAAGGAGCAACCAGTTCGAATTTTCGGGACATGCAAATAATTTCAATGTTTGCTAATTCTGAAAACAAAAGCTGATTTCCCATCGTGCTATTCTTTAAAAGGTACTTTTTAGTTTTAGAAGCACTATAAATTGCTCCAAACCTTGCTCTGACGTCGAATGACTTGTTCCACGACATTTTCAAAATATCCCTTAGTAGTTTTGGCTCAAACTCCTGCTTCATACATTTTGAGGTATTGCAATGCATCCTCAACGGCTTTTCCTGCTGTACGTTGCTTCCAATTCAGGAAAAAGGCATTGGGATTGTAAGCTACCTTGTATCGAGGCTCATATAGAACTGTCCAGCACATTTGTTTATGACCAGAGAATGAGCACGAGCGGCAGCTCTGCGAGGAATTCGCACCTCAGCTAGGGGGGACGAACGATGATGCCCATGCCAGCGATCCGATCTTGCAGAGCAAAACATAATAATCAAGAAAAATACTACTCATTCATTGAAGGAAGGAGTGACAAAAATTTCAGAGTTGTAAAGTTATTCTCGGGCAGTATTTTTGCGATAATTTTATTTTACACTGTAATGTATTCGGTTCACAGGCATGGGCATCATTGTCGTTCGTCCCCCCTGGGTGAGGTGCGAATTCTTCGCAGAACTTCCACTCGTGCTCATTTTGTAGTCACAAACAAAGGTGCTGGACAGTTCTATCTGAGCTTCGATACGAGGTAGCGTCCATTCTCAATACCTTTTTCCTGAGATGGGAGCAACGAACAGCAGTAAAAATCGTTGAATGTGTATTGCAATACATCAAAATGTATGCAGCAAGCCAAAACTGCCAAGGGATATTTTAAAAATGTCGAGGAACAAGTCATTCTACTTCGGAGCAAGGTTTGAAGCAATTTATAGTGCTTCTAAAACTAAAAACTACGTTTTAAAGAATAGCATGATCGGCTTTTGTTTTAAGAACTAGCAAACTTTGTATTTACTTGTCCCGAAAATTCGAACTGGTGGCTCCTTCCACCTGATAGTAATTTATTTTTGAAATTCCAAAACAATTTCACAGCTGAATTATCAGCAACTTTTAGTTACAAACTTCGGCTCCAACGATTTTTCCGAAATTCCTGTCGCACATTTATTATATCAATTAAAGTCGATACCAGAAATTTCAGTAAAAAATATCAACAAATTTTTTTACTAGACGCGATTTTCTTTGAACAGTAGCGTCCTTTTAAGCGCTAATTTAGCAAAATATATTTACCGTCAATGAAATCGGAATATTTCGTATTATTGCCGAATGATATCTTGTTCTTTGCAAAGTTTCGCAGCCATCGCGTTAAAAACGAAAAAGTTATGACGAAAACTTCGTCACAGCTTAATGCGCCTGTATTAATGACGGAGCCACCTTAAGCAAAAGGTATTGCATGAAGAAGTTAATTACCTTTTAACTTCTTCGTCCAGTCGTCTATGATAGTTAGTCTCTGCATCTTCCAGAAGAGATTTCTTTATTTTCAGTTCCTCTGACAATACCTTAATCCCTTCTTCCTCAAGCTGCAAACTCCTACAATGAATTGCCATAAATATGAACCATACATATACCAAAGTACCAAGATACTTAAGTTAAGTTTCATTAAACGGAAATCAGTCACAGCAAAGTTTAAGGTACACCCACAATCCCCTGAACAGTCATTAATCAGACCAAAGATATGTCGCACCTGTAAAATGCAGGAAAATCCATTCAAGCGTTGCACGATTAATTTAAGTCTTCTTCTGACCGGCACAAGAAATTCTACTTGACTGATCATAACCAAGGCAAAAACGCTGCTCGCAAGATTTCATCTTAGCTGATAACAATCAAAGATCATCTGAAATTTAGTGCTTTGCCTACTTTGTTTTCATCTGCTGTCTCAAGTCAAATTCTGATTCTCGCTCCTTAAGAGAGAGCATATCTTCCAGGAGTTTTTGCCGCTGAATGTAAGCTTCTTCTTCTTGAAGCTGTTACAACAAGTACAAATAATAAGCTAAGATTAGAACGATAACAGGATATCAACTTCAAAGGTTTAACTATAATATCAGTTACTGTTGAAGTTCGTTGTCATAAACATTTTTGTTATGTTTGATTGAGGTTTTTGTGTGACGTCCTACTGTATTCTAAATTGGCATGAGCAGGTTCACATGATTCCCTGCTGCAAAGGACCTATTGAAGGTACCTTCATTCCTGCTCAAATGACGGACAAAATTTGGACGGAAAACACCGTTTCCAGAATAATTTTGGAAGCAATTTTTTTCAGCCGAACAATTCCGTACAATGTAGTTAAAGCAGTTTATTAGGGGCCGTAGGTGCCTCTAGCGACGGATAGGAATCTCAAGTTCGCCATCGAACACCTAAATTCTGATGCACCCCTTTCACTGTCTTAATTCTTGCTGGGAACAGGAGCACTGCTAATTACAACTGGCTAGTTCGGTGTCGATGTGTCGTGTAATGGCTATTAATATAGCCTGAATTTCAGACGATTACTTCGAACGTTTTTTCTCTAAGTAATGTCTGAATAAACCGGTCGTTAATGCAGTCCAGTGACATCACTGACTTCTTTTCCTTCAATTCATGCAAAAAGTAAAACACGATTTTCAACTGGCAAACCAAGAAATCGTTTAGAATTGCGTTACTCTTTGCGATCGTAATTCATATTTAAACGTCTAACTGTCAACTACATGCAGCATTCTGAACCGGTTGTGATTCAATAATCAAACTAGCCTGTTCCAGGCTGCGAGATTGTCGGGTCCGCTGAATTGAGAAAGCGCGAAGATAAAAAAATACGAGAGTAAACTGGGGAGAGGAAGTGCGGCGGCTTCCTTTTTCCCGCTCCGCCAACTTTTCGCGTGCCTTTCAATTTCGCGTCTTCCCTACTATCTGAGAGCCAGCCTGGAAGAGACTATACAGTCAAACCCCTCTCACCGTACCGGGGAAATAGGGGTGTAATGTGACAATTTTATTTTCGGGGGCTCGGGGGTAATACATATTTATTGTGCTACTGCAAGTTCATGCTTACTGTCTCCCATAATGGTACTTATCCAATCTTAAATAATATATAGAGATAAAATTCACAAAAAACTTGAATTATGTTTTGAATCAAAATGGTAACATGACAAAAAAAGAAAGGTTCGCAACATTTGCTATGCTTACTGCAGCAGCAGAGACAGTAATCAAAACGCGATTGCCGTGGTCAACGCGCCACACGGATCAAATTTCATACCCATTCTTGACTTTTTCACCATGCAGTCGCTGAAAACATTGGCTGTTGTCGAGGTTATTTTGGCAGTTGGGCACACGCTTTAGTGGCTGTTGTCGTCGTAGAGAGGTTTAAATAAGAGTCAATGTATGGCCTGTCTGCTGGGACAACATTAAGTGGCCGTTGTGGAAAGGTAGCCGTTACTAAGAGGAGGTTCGACTATAATCAAGCTCGATCGCAATCACGCAATGAAAAAATTATACACACGGAACACTCAGTTTAAAAACACAAGGATTTGTTTTGATTGAAAAGAGGCTATTTGGTCCTTAAAGAAGACGGAGAAAGAAAACAAGGAAACCAGAAAGAAAAGCTAACAGAATTATTACACTTGACGGTGGAAATGACTAGAAAGTCGAATAATTTTATAAGCTTAACTTAAATAACAGAAAACTTCGCATAAACAAAATCAATGCTGAAATCAAAAAGAGACTCTATAAATGAAAAACCTACCTACTCTCCACAATGATTCTTCATTCGTAGTTCAATTTAACAATTCATAGTTTCGAAGACAAAGGTAACCTTGCTGTTTACGATAAAGATTGTCAAAATTTTTGAACGCAAGCACTGATGCCAGGCATGCGAGCCTGGGCGGACGCAAGCCGCTGAATAACAGACGACAGTCTAGCTAAAATTTCTCATAATTATGCAAAAGTTTGGACAATCAACCAATCAAAGGGTGCGTTCCTTTGAAATGATCCGGATCAGGATCAATGATCCGAGATCACTCGGATCATACTAGATCAAATAAACCGATGAATCCACTCTGGACAAGGATTCATCGGTTCACTTGATCTACCATGATCCGAGTGATCTCGGATAACTGATCCTGATCCGGACCATTCCAAAGGAACGCACCCAAAGTCACTACCCGGTTTTTGGGTAGTGACGTCACTGGAGAGCATGAACGGCCTGTTTATTCAGACCTTGCTGCGAGGCAAAACGGCTATAATAATAGGCATAAATGAAGAATTGATCTCCTCATTTTTCTAACAAATGGAGCAACAATTCTCGACATTTTAAAGATCCTTCACGTTTACTGATCCTGATAAATCATGTGTGCCAAACACATGTCAAGTAACCCAATCATTAAAAGCGCACCTGTTTTTGGTTGCTCAGAAGATGAAGCTTTTCTCTTTCATTGACCTTCAGTTTTTCTGCTTTTGCAGAAAACTCTTGCTCAAGCTGAAACGAAATGTCAGAGAATTCTGATCATGTCACATTTTGTATAAAATACGTTCCTAATGGATTAAAGACTACCTTTTACATAACTATTGTTTTATTATACAATGTATACATGCCACATATTTTAATTGTATATACATTATTATTATTTCTTATTTGTAAATAATTTTTATTTTTGTGTCCCAATTAGTTGTGAAAACTAAATACATTGACACATTAATAAAGCTTTTACTTAACTTTACTATTAAAGCCACAGTACACATCCTTTATCAAAATAGCACATTTTTTCAGCTATGCTTGAAAGACTGGCTCTAGCAAATAAATTCATAGCCCGCGGAGCAGGCGCTTGGATAACCTGCGTAGCAAGCGTTTCCACTCGAGTTATTGCGCGAAGGTTCGAAACGCATGCTATGCAGGCTAGCGCTTGGAAGTAATGGGCACAAGAAAGAACAGGGCGCGCAAGGGTCTTTGTTGCATACTTATTCCAAGCACCTGCTATGTAGGCTAATGAATTCAGACGGGTATCAGTGACTTCTAGCTACTTCTACAGCTGTCTGAACAGTGTTAATTTTTAGTTTTTCAATGCCGGATAACACAATTATAAAGAGCATTTTTAAGCACTATGGCATTTTAAACAACCCCAGAATGATATAGAAGTGGAAGGGTAAACTGTCTTCAAGATGCAAACACACTATGTGCAAAAGTCCCTGTTTAGTTTGTCGGGAAGAATATATTTCCTTTCCGTGGTTTTTCATTCAGAACTTGAGAATTGCCTAATCGCAAGTAATGGATGGGTCCATAGAGCTGCTATTATTTAAGTTTAACTTCCTTAACAAGGAGGTAACAAACCACAGGGAAATGAGGCTCAAATTTCAAGTGCACCCATAAAAGTGAGATTATAAAATTAACTAACGAGACCATTTAACAATTTGTACATAACACAGAGGTTCCAGCATTCTAACTATTAGACAAGGAGTAGATGCAATAGGACTATTATAAAAGGATACTTGTAGTTTGCCTTGAGGTGGTGGAGATGGCTGCAGCCAAGTATGAAGAGTTTAGCATGCTGCTGGGGATCCTCTCATACATTATGGATCACTGATTAATGAGAAGCCCATACATCACTAACATACCCAGATGAGTAGTAGTTTTTGCAGCCAGCTCCTATGTCATTACAACTATCCAATTACAAAATGCCAGGCTTCTGACTGGTTTTGTCCAGGTGAGCTTACTGGAGACATCAAGCTGAGTTTCTTTTGAGAGGGCAATAAATTATGAGCGAAGGTACATTTGTAACCTCTTGCCACACAGGGTGAGTTGGCCACAAGGGGAGGTTTCTTGCTAGCATGTTTGTTGATATTCTTAATGCTTTGTGTAAATAAGAGCCTTCTGGTATTGGCTCTATGAAAGAGTGCACTGACAGACGTTACACGTACAGTTACACTGTCAGATGTTGCTTCTCCTTCCTAATACTTTATGTCTATGTTACAGGTCAAAATTAAATTCAGGTTAAAATTTTTTAACCTAGGTTGATTCTCAATTTCCTTTGTCTCCTAGCCCTAATTATTCATGAATCTGGGCTAGCAGACAAACGAAATTGAGAATCAACCTAAGATAAAAAATTTTAACCAGAATTTAATTTTGACCTCTAACATCTACATTGAATTGAACAATACACAATTTGGAGTCAAATCACTACTCCTTAGCAGTCTATTGCTACAATTCAGCCTCTTATTTTCCCTCACCGCACCACAATACAAAATAAGTAGTCACCTGTTTTCTGACATTTTGGACTTCCCTTTGATGTTTTTCTTTCTCCTCAAGCCTCACTCGAGCTATTTCTGTAGCCTTTAGGTACTTAAGCTGTTAATAGCACACTTTCATCAGTTAACTAAGGCAAATGTCAAAAAAAACTTGTGGAAGGAATACTATCAAAAACCATTACAAGTAAACATATCTAGGAATTGAGATTTTCAGGCCGGGGAGGGATCAAGGGGCAAGCCAAAAGTTCTGTGAGGATCAGATGTCATTATTTCATCTGTATCATTGTCAGTACATTCAATAATTTTTTTTAACATCCACGCAATGGGGGGGTCATATAATTTAAGACCCAACCTCTGACCTAAGAATTCTCACCCCTACTTCACGGACCAAACAGAATCCTGGTACGTGTCCCTTTTTTTGAAATACTTCAAAATTAAGCTCATGGATAGTAGCTAAGCTTAAATTACAACTTCAGAGTATATACATGAATCAATGTCTTATTAAGCACTGGTCCATCACCTCCTCATCCAACATTTTCTTCTTTTTCTGTTCCCACTGCCTGTGTAATTCCAACAAACGATTTTCCATGTGTGAACTCCATTTCTGGTTTTCTCTCTGAAGATTCTTTGTATACTGCTTTTCAACATTTTGAAGTTGATCTTCTACCAACAGAAACATATAACTTTGCTATTATTATAATAACAATAACAATAATAATATTAATAATAATAATAATAATAATAATGATAACAATGATACAGCTGATAACAAAAAGGTTCTTATGGCACATTTAAAAAATCTCACTGCACTTACAATAACGGTATAAGACAGAATCCATTAGGAAATTGAGTAATTTTAATTTTCAGAGGAAAAAATCTTTTACCAGAATATTTTAATCCATATCACATTCTTTTTTACACTTTTCAAGGGCTTTAATTACCTGTAATAACACCAAAGACAATTTCTAACAGGAGTCCAAGAAAATAAATTTCAAATTTCATAGGAATTGAGAAAACACAGATAAAATCGTCATGCATAAGATTTTATTTTGTGAAATTTGAGGCTTTTAAAGTTTGTTTTCTTGGGCTCCAATAAAAACCTTTTCTTTGGACCTCGTTATTTGATACAACTTATTACATTTATAGCCATTGAAAAGTGTGAAAAAGAATTGTAATATGCCTTCTAGTACAAGGTTTTTGTCCACCGAAAATTAAAATTACTCAATTCCCAAATGAATTTCATTATAATTTGTTACTGTGAAACTGAAAAAAAATAAATTAACATGAATGGCAAAGGTATTTCTGGAATGTCAGCTACTGTATTCCTTGGAAAAAGCCAATAAAGCTTGAGAAAACTATACCCTGGGCAACAATGCTAACAGTGTTGTGGTTCTGTGGTGAGCTTATTATGTGTCCTGGTCTTTCTTGTGACTGGTCCACTAGCAATCAACATTTCTGAAATATTTGACATGTTCACGATTTTCTGATTTTGACAGTTATTTAACTATGTGTAGTACTTAGTCTACACCTCGATTTCAAAGAACAGACTAGCTGGTTTAGTTTATCCACTCATTCAAAACTAATTCTTCATAACTACCTAGTAGTTGTAACCAAAGACGTTTGCTTTAATTTATTTTTGGGCATAAAACAGGAACCACTGACATCAGGCAAAGACAATGACAAGGTGGCTCAGGTGTTTTGGCAGCAGAATGGCAGAACATGTTTTGAAAAGTATCTCCAAGAGAAAAAAACAGAGGTCGACATGAATTTTTTAAGTTGGTTGCCCAAAACATTCCATACAAACAAATTAAATACAGCTAAATCTGCCAAAACTTAATATTCTTAACATCCTTAAATTCACGTTCAAAGTTATTAGGGGATAAATGAGGATGATATTCTATACAAATATTTTTACACACTTACTCGCCAAATTGAAATAGATTGGAACTCACAAGGCTGCTGCCTAATGGGCACCTACATACGCTTTTACCATTGGGCGACCAAAATTTCAAATGGGGAGCCCAAACAGGCACCTAACACTTATCATTCTCAGGCTAACTTCCAGTGAACAAACAACAAACCCTGGTCATTCTGCCCTTTGGAAACGAAAACAGAAAACGTTTAGTTGTCAGCAGTAGGCAAAAAAATATTTCTGCCAACAAAAGGTAAACAAAGAAGCACTTTTGTCTTGAAATTCACTTACTGTGACTTTCGCTGCAGTGCAGTTGAAGTTTCTCGTCTGAAAATGGCCTTGAATGAATTTATAATTTATAACAGTCCTCAAAAAAGCTTTGACACCAAAATTATGAATTTTCCCCCAGCATTAGAAGCGTTAGGTAGCTAAATTGCATGAAGTAAAAACTGATAAAAAGTCGCGATCTGTGGAAAAGCAGGAGGTTTCAAATTACAAGTGACATTACTTTTGCAAGTTTGTAGCATTTTCTATCTTGCTACGAACACAAAAGGTACACTCGGAGGTTTCTTATCATTTATTCAGCATTATCTGCCTACCTATTTTTTCCTGCACGTTTTGTAGTAACTTTTGAAAGGCTCACAAAAAAAATTCCAGTTTTTGAGAATGAATTGCGGTGGCTATTCAATATCATTATTTCAATCTCTTTAATTTATGCAGTCACGCACGACGCACATAAATACAAACCTTCACAACCATAAAAACAGTTTTGATGGTTTAAAAGATAGACTTGATAGAAAAATACTGAGTCATGTTAACCTACAACTTTCACAGAAATTTCAGTTGCCTGATTGGGCAACTGGGATCCTTAACTTATTGCCCAGATGAAATTTTTAGTTGCCCCGGGCAATCGAGCAGCCATTAATAATGTCTAGCCCTGAAAAAGCAACTGTTCATATCCTGGACTGCAATGAAGGAACAGGCAAATGTTTTAAAGAAAGGAATTCTACAAAGAAGAGATAAGGGATGCTTTGAGCTTTACTTTAGTAAGACTATTAATTACAACTAAAATGAAAGTACAATAAATATTTAAGAAAGTATAAACATAATAAACAGCTTAACTGTAGATCACCATTGAAGCACTGTAGCCTAGATTACCCCTGCCCCCTTCCTTAGGGACAACTGCAAGAGAATTATTGCATGACATGATACTTAACTTGATTATGAAGGGTTGTGTTGATAAACAAACACTCACCACTGCACCATTCCATATCACATCATTTTCTTGTTCTGGTAATAAATCTTAAATTTTTATTTTCTAGAAATCTGACCTACCCATTGAGGATTGTCCCTGTAAGATTGTTTGAACTGCTTTTGAATTCTTTTCACAACTGTGTGACCATGCCAGATGACTTAATAACTCTGTAAGTAAACCTGCAAATATTTTAAAAAGAAGATCCTTAAGGGAAACACTTGAATAAAGCAAACAATAACTATTTTAACTAAAGTGAAAAATTAATGTTTAGTCCCAAACACCACTTGTTGCTGTCCCTCAAACCACTGAATTTCAGTTGTGTGTGTCTATTCTTCCTCAGTCATTATGATAAAGAGTATCTTGACTATACATTTTAAATCTAAACTGAGCTAGATTTTTTTTTCTAATTTTAGAGTGTTTTATTCTGATGATAAAACAAATCTGCCGTGCATTAGTTGTCATTGCTCCCAATGAAGTATGAGGATTGTTATATTTTAGATAAATTCATTACTATATTAAACAAAATTAAATTCATTACTATATTAAACAAAGATAACCAAACTATTTTTATTCAGTTATTGTTAAAACAAATGATTAAGTAATGTAAAATACCTTTTGATGGTGTATTCTTGTCCAACATCATTTCCTCGAAACAAAACATAATGAAAAATTATAGTCAGTCCTATTAACTTAAAAGCTTAAGGAACCCCGGACAAGTTACAGTTTTAACAGTTTACAGTGTTTACAGTTTTAATAACATCACTACGTAATTGACCAATCAGATCAATAACCAGAGTACAAGGCCATCAACTGACGTGATACAACTCACTTTGACTCTGAAGATGACTACCGCACAGGTTGTCGAAACGTCAGTCACTGTCAACAACAACATTCCTATTCAGGACTACGTTCACCAGGACGATCAAACTCAACCTACTTTTGAAATGACTCCTGGGTTCAAACCTTTCACAAACAACAATATTATTACATTATTTTCTATCATTTTTAGATTTCTGCATTGTTATTATTTTTATTAATACAGCTGTATTTATTATTTAGGAGGTAATCGGCTCCTGTTTAGGACTATATAATAATATGACATAAACAAGTAAGGCATTCACCATGTGCTGGTAGAGTTGTGAACCAGCAGTGATCTTCAATATGAGAAGGATATCCTTCACTGTTAGCACCTGTCACAATGAAAACATATCTTTGTTTGTAGAAAAAAAATGATGTTCTTTAATAAGATTTTAGAATAAGTTAAGAGTGTTTACCTTGCTTTCTTGTAAACCACTTTCCGGAAGGAACACAGATAAAGAATATTCATATTTACATCTCTTTAAATGGTCAGCAACCAAGCTGTTAGCTGCAAGCTCACACAAGTTCTCTGTAACTGTTGATTTATCTTGTCCTGTTAAACCACCATGCAATGCATGTGCAGACGTCTCCTGAAGCTCTGCTATCAGACGATTTCTAAGCTGAGACTTAAAAAAGAAGAAAAAAATAAATATTGAATTGATGAATATTTGTATTTCACTTACAACAAGAACACTCTTACATTCAGTCTTGCTTGCTTGGAATTAGAAATGAGGAGGCGATTAATAATTATACATGAAACAGGATTTACTTGTTTAAGGTTTTTTATTTAATTCCTACTTTAGCGACATCCAGTATTCTTCAGGATATTTACTTTTTATTGGCATTACAAATACACAAAAATGCTCATCACAAGACCCATTTGCATACAACGAAAGTTAACAATTACACCCGACCACCGCAGTTTTGCTAATCAAAATTTCTATTTTTTTGACCACTCAGTTGTGTTCACGTGTTCCATAGTAATCAACGCTTTCAAGCGATAGAATTCGTGGACCAACACGTTTCGGAAAAGCTCTAAATTTAATATTTCCTAAGCTTTCTTTGCAAAACATGCATGGCTTCAGTCACGCAATGATTCTTATTCCCAGTTTCCAGGTCTCCGCTACGAACACCTTGTACAATGACCCCCCTTTTGTGTCATAAACATGAAGAAAAACGAGTCTCACTGATTACGCAAGCGTGACCAATAAACATCTGCTTATAAACCCTAGGCTTATACACTTTTGCAAGGGGTTTTGGGAGGTCTATAACCCGACTAAACATGGCGTTTCAAAACAAGCTACATAGCAGTGCTGATTAAAAAATTCCTTTGGAATTAACTCACTTTTTAAAATTCAAAATGCCTTAAAAAGTCAAATTTATTTCAATACAAGCTAGAGGGGGGCTTATAGGAGGGGTGGGGGGGGGCTTATAACCATATGTATTTCTCGATTTACAAGTTGATGGGCCTATAATAACTAGGGGGGATTATAATTGGGGGATATGCGCAAGTTAACAGTATTGGAACTGGGGAGTAAAGAAAATGCAAAGGAGATCCTCGCAGTCATAGACTCCAGTTTGCAAAAATTGAACATTGCCAGAATTTGAACCCTGTCCTCTGCAAAAGTGTAGCTTTCTAACCAATTGAGCCAGCTAGCAAGCAAACTGGGAGCTGGTTATTAATTTGGTTCATCGCATTGCCAAGAGAGATGAAAATGAAATAATATATACATGAAAAAAATATAATATTGAATATGCAGTCTAAAGAAATAAATGCAAGGGAGATCCTCACAGTTATAGACTCAACTTAGGCAGATAAGAGAAGAAAGCCTGAAAAATTTAGTCTTGCTGGGATTCAAAAAAGAAATCTGGAGTACGAAAACTGTAAGATGTTTGTTCTGGTTTTAGTTTTTTTTTTTTTTTAAGTTCTACTACATAACAAAGTAACATTTTCATTTATTACATAGGGCCTCTATGGATAGCAGTTTTTACATTGAAATGAAGGTATCAATTCTATTCTATAACAAATATTATTATAAGAAAATGTGCAATGCAATGAATTACGTAAATATCCCTAACTTTGTTTAAAACATGTATCAAAACAAACCAAATTTGTGTTTAAACAATATCTGATGTTTCATTTATTAAGTTTATAATAATATTTGAATGAAGAAATCCAACCTATCCCTGAGGGAGGGTAATAAATTGTAAAGAAATCATTCAAAAAAAGTGCCTATCCACTAGCTTTCTTTTTTAGAGAAATCCCATTATTCCTTTGCCACCAGGCGGGCGTGTTTAAAAACGAAATGGCGAAATGACCTAAAATTATTCTGTCGGTGGAGTTATCGTGCGCATTCTCGACCTTGAGCAGGCATAAGATTAGAAGGCTTTGGTGAAGAGATTGTTGTCTCGGAAAGCTTGGGTGATGTGCGTGTACAAATTCATCATCATATGCGCCGATTTAGCTCTTCCGTGGGAAATCAACTGCAGTTTGCGCAGAGATGTTGAGATGGTGGAGCGTATTACAAAGCAAAGCTACCATCAACTTTAACGTATGTGAGGATAAAGAAGAAAAAATTTCAAAGTAAAAAAAAAATGGCAACAGTTCTACAAATAAAAAGGGTATATAATTTTGTGCAAGTCTATCCTAATTATTAGCAGGGTATTGCCTGATCTGATTTGCTTGATAAAATTTGTTTGCACTCAAAGTATACAGAAGCAACAACAGTAAAATAATGTGAAATCTGCTCCATTGCAATTGCCACTAAATGGCTTTAAATCAAGATGGCATGCACTTTGTCCTTTATCCTAAAGAATGTAATAGAATTGAGGGTGTTGTCCTAAACAGGGCATGCATTAAAGGATTTTTTGTCCTAAACTGGGTCAGGTTTCAAACCCTCAGTGGCTTACCTATACCCAAATATTGGTCGAGTACTTCCCCTCTAGTGTCTTTATTTAACTTTAGAGTTACTAGTACTTCAGTGCATTCAGCTGGATTAATTTTACTTCAAGCTTTAGCTTTCTAAAGAATTAAGTAATATGAAGACTTGTTTGCAGGATGTTAGTCTCACCGACAGTGATCAACAGATCTAAACATTACTAATGAAAGACTTGTAGCTTAAACTGAAGGAGCGTGCAAAGAAAGTAGTGTCCGATAGCATGGGGCTAGTGGATTTTGCTATTGGGCTAGTGAATTCTGTTTTTAACTTGCCCAACGGGCAAGTGATGTTTTCTGAGATATTTCAATAACAGGAGAACTATGAGATCAATTCTGCTTGTCAAAAAGCTTTTGGGGCTAGTTGAAATGACGTCTGGGCTAGTAAATGCTAGCTTGAGCTTACCCGAATGGCAAGCTGTAAAAAGGATTTTCTTTGCACCCTGCTGAAGCTACAGCAACTATGGTCACCACTGTCACTCATGCGATCAGACAAGATTATTCAGATCATGTATCTTTTGGGGGACTGTCGATTGATGTATTGGCCGACATCTCGGCCGACATCTCGGTCGACTGTCGACCGAGATGTCGGTCAAAAGTCGGTCGACAGTGGACTGAGTATCGACCGATATGCAGCGACACTCAGTTGCTACAGTCTATTCGTCATTAGTAAAATCCAACTAGTGGTCTATTATCAATGCTGCATTCTGATTGGTTGAGCTACTACTAGGCTATATGTTATAGCACACTAGTAGTGTAAGCACCGGCTTTTTGGTGGCAAAAAAAGGATTAAACTCTAGCTTTAACCAGCTAAAGTTGTTTTGTCTCGATATTAATTTTTTGACCAGCTAATTGGGCTATTGACTCAGAGCCCATTCGGGCTCAAGGAATAATTGTTAAATAGCCGGCCATAGTTGGCCATTTACTTTGCCAACAGATCATCAACATATCACAGACACTTAGCTGATGTAACGGCCAATACCTTGTTTGAAATGTCAGTCAATGCATCGGTCAAGTTGCGGTCTAGTATCAGCCGACTGTCAGTCAAAGTCAGCGCATCTTGACTGATATGTGGCCGGCACTTGACCGCGGATCAATAGATTGTTCTGGGCAACCAGCCTCAGTTTCGAGAACAGAACAATCTCTTGATCCTTGACTGCTACAGTCTTTTGGTCGACAGACGGCCAAAACTGATATGCGTAACAAGAATTACTGTAGTGTCCACTGCATGTCAGCTGACTATCTTGTAACAAAGGGCAAAGCATTGGGTAAAAACAATAGCAATTGTCGACCGATACATCACTGATACTCAAACAATGATTCACCAATATATTGCAGACACTACCGATGCTATCTCGACCGGCTGTTGGTCGATCTGTCCACGGATACTCGACCAACAGGAAAACACCTCTGGGTCGATACTCGGATGACTGTGGGCCGCGAGTCAACCAAGTATCGGCCGACATAGTGGCCAATATATCTGTTGACAGTCGACCGAGATATCGGCCGATACATCAATCAACAGTCCCCCAAAAGGTACATGATCTGATTATTCTTTGGGGCCTCATACAATCCATCTTGCTTTTCTTGCGATAAGTAAGTCTTTGAACTGAAGCATGATGTTTTGTAATTCTTCTGTTGGCAATTACTTTTGAATTAGCTTTGCAACTTTCTAATCCAGATAGAAATAATAATAGATAGAAACTGATCATCGGTAAGTTTACCAATTCATCGATGTACTAGATAGTACTCAACATCATTGTCGATTGACAGGTCAATTTAATCATAGTAAAAAACGTGAGCTATCTCAAAAGAAAAAATGGTGAAAGCTGTTCCTGAGCAGCTGCCTCCTCCACAGGCTTTCCCAAGGCTTAGTGGGGAGCACAGAACAAGCAAGAAGCGTGAAAGCTGAAGAAAAGCAAGAACTGAAAAGTTGACTCCAATATCCTCCAAAAAGTGATTCAAGTGACTGGGGACTAATGATGGTGGTGATGATGATAATGATAAATGATAATGATAACAATGATGATAATGAGAATGAAAACAATCTGTGATGTTATAAAAGCAGGATAAAATTAACGGTAATAATGATAGTGTAGATAGAGCTGGTTACTGCACAAAGTAAAGGACATGACAGTTTATGTATACCATAGGAGGGAGGCCAGAGGATTTTTTTTTTTGAAGGGAAAAGGGGGGGATGGTAAAAATTTCTGAAGGCAGGAAGAGGGAATGCAAATTTTTTTTAGATGCCATTGAAAGATTACGAGTATTTGTAACTTTATTGATAAACCATTACAGAAGTGAAGTTCCTTATTTTCTAGTTCAATGATGAAGGAACTTAATCTTTCAATTGCATCTAAAAAGAATTGGCATCGCTCCTTCCTGCCTTCAGAAAGTTTTACCATCCCCCCCTTTTCCCTTCAAAAAATCCTCGGTGTAAAACCTGTGAAGTTTTTCTTTGTTTTCAAGCTATTATTTTCCTTGGCCCTGTTGTGTTGACTTCTCACTGGCTTCTTTGTATTAATATTGTTTTACATCACTCGTGAGGTTCACAACTTTTTACACAGAGTATGAGCCCAAAGTTAGATAAATGATATCACCCACTGTACCCTAGCTAAGGCTGTCAGGTCATAAACATCAGGAGCAGCTATTACCTTGCATTATAACTCACTGTGATTATATAACCACAATATATAAGCCATATATCACAGAAGAGGATAGGACAGAATGATGTTTGATTGAACAGGGCTTATACTATGAGGGTGCCAATGGAGTTAACGTAACCTCTTCAAGACAGTGACCACAAACATGTTCAGAGGCAGCAACAATATACTAAAATTACACTGCAAGCAAAACCGATGACAAGTGGGAACACCGACTGCCGATGTTTCAAAAAGAGATGAGGAGATCAGGCATACGATAGACAGCAACGATAGACAGCAAGAGTTACATGATCTGTACAATGCACGTCAAGAATATCTTTCCAATGGACTGAGGACAGCCGATCAGCTTTTACACCATGAGCAACAATGGGTTTTACAGTAAGCCTTAGAACACCAACAATGTGTGACATGTAGGGAAGCATTACATTTGTGAACAAAATCCTTACTGAACAAAATTTTCATTTACAATCCACATTACATTTACTTCCTCAAAACCATCCCAAGTAAAATATATATCTATGTATAGCAGCTTCATACATAAACACAGCTGTCTGTATTATTGCTGGCCTCCTATTTTCGATCCTGTTTCGAAAAGAACATCTGTATTTCGGACCTCCTCACAATTCAGTGTGTGACATGTGCAACCATGCCAGGAAAATTAATTCTTTTCCCCGTAAGTAAGGGAAAAATTTTAACTCTTTCAGAGAAGTCAGAGGGAGGTGACATATTCCTGTATATTCACCGAAGTTAAACATGTTCTATCGTCAGAATATTGTTTCACGAAATTAAACGACAAGCAGATATAGGGTTTCCCATGTATCAGATCAATCCATTCTGCACTTTACATTCACGATAAATTAATGTACAAAAGGTTTGTAATTTTCACATGTAGGTATTTCAAATTAAGCTGAAATACCACTGCTCTAAGCCAATCAAATTGCAGAAATTTCTCATGTAGTAGTATAAATGTAATAATTGGGTGGAGAGGATATGGCTGTGGTGCGAGTTTGAGCATTTATTTTGCGTACAGGACACTGTTAAGAATCACTTTGTGCTAGTAGCACTGGAATAAAGCACCTTCCTTTCTTTACTGTGATGTATTTATTTCAAAAATTGTTAACCCGAGTTCAGCTGGAGATTTTGCTTGCTCGGCTGGAGAGCTAGAGATTGGGTCTGAAAGCTGGAGACTTGACTGTAAAATTAGCTATACCCCATTGGCACCCTCTACTTTTTTAAAAACGAAGTTTTTAAAGTGTGCAAATAAAACGTAAGAAAATATTTAGACTTCAACTACCTTCAGGGTCTCCAATACTCCACGACTTTGAAATGTTTGCAAAAGACTCTTCTTGAACTCTTCGTGCGACAATTCAGTCATTTCAAAGTAAATAGCGTAAAAGGTTATTTCAAAGATGGCAGGATGGGACGAAGATTCGCCGACCTCATCCCCAGGGGCTTCTCGGTTTCCATGGAAAAAGAAAAGAGGGGCCTTGGAGACGAGGAATAGGAAATCACCACAGGGCAACCAGGCTCACAAGAGCCTCGAAGCAAAAATATACGGATTCGTTAATTGTATCACTGAGTAAACCGGTCTTACAAGCCGAGACAACGTGTTTGAAATAACACAATATATATATCGTATACCTTAATCGTATACCAGCTTTTCCTCATAGCGCATACGTATTGGTTTGTTAATCCATGCCGGAATGTTTTGTACGTGTGTTGTTGAGTTGTCGACTTTAGAGCTCGACTCAAAAAAAAATTGCAGAGCCGATAATTGGAAACCTTGCTTGAACGAAAAGACTACAACATGGGCGCCATTTAGCCCTTTGACTCAATTGTAAGGGTAAAATAAAACACGAGCTTAAAGGTGAAAGGTGTAATCAAGGGAAGGCGTGTAGGCGAGTACTTGGCATACGGGGTATGATTCTCTGCAACGCTAGCCCGATATCCCGAAGACTTTCCTTGCCCAACGACAGCACAATTATCCCACTAGAGCTCATTAAATCTAATAGAGACAGTGTACGAAAAGCTAGAGAAGCATACCTCATCGGTTTTTGTAGTTATCACGTGCATTCTAGACCTTGAGCAGCCATAAGATTTGAAGGCTCGTGTGTACAAAGCTTGGGTGATGTGCGCGCGCAAGCTCATCATATGCGCTGAAAATAGCTCTTCCGTGGGGAAATCAACTGCAGTGTCAGCAGAGACGTCGAGATGGCGGAGCGTATAACAAATTGAAGCTACCGTCATCTTTAACGAACGAGAGGATGAAGAAGTAAAAGTAAAAAAAAGTTGCTAACAGTTCTACAAATAAACAGGGTATACTCTTGGGTAATAATCATTCATTACATTCAGGCAAAATGGGAAAAGTGAGCGGGGACGGGGGGGGAGAGGTAGAGGTTATGACATTTTTGAAGGTGCTGTTTTTGTTGCGAGTATCCATCAGATGAGGCCTATTTCCTTTACTTAATTGTGGTATGATCAGCTATATATTGAACTGTCGTCCTTGAAGTCAAGGGGTCTAATTCACTATTAACCAATTACTCAGACAAAAAGGTAATAATAAAGTCATTAAATAGTAATTGAAACAAATTTTGGCGGGAAAGAAACGCGCCTTGATCGATTGTGTTTTTCACTGCTAGAGGACTACTTTTAGTAGTTTTGTAGTAGTGAAGCCAATGATCGATAACATTAGAAACAGGAACCTGTGAATTTTACTAAACAAGATTTGAAAAACAAATTTCTTCAGCTTTAACAATGTCAGTGAAATGAATTATAGAGAAAGTGCTTTTAAACTGCAATGAACCTGAACTGTTTACAAGTACACAGTATATAGAAATGAGAAATTTCGCTTGGTAAAGAGCAAGAAATTCTTTTACAATACTGCTATATTTAGCCGTTATCATGACCATCTGACATAATAGCCGCCGAGGTACACAGCTCGGTAAGTTTAATTGGAAAAGAGCTATTTTCTTTTAATTTAGCCTGTGAACAGGCTCTCTGTTTGGGGAAAGGGTAAAAAAATCGCTAGGAGAGGGAAAGGGGGAGAGCCTGTAGACAAACATTTGGGACCGCTATTCCGCCCTCCTGATGTAATTGCTGATCATCTATCAGCAAGATCGTTACTTGTCACTTGGATATGTTGTAGTTCAATCTCTTCCTTGCTTTAAATTTTATTTCCCTTTGTTTTAGGGTATGGTAATGTATGATAATGAGTTGAAACAATGAAAAATTAAATTTAAACCAAGGATAAAATTGAACCACAAAAGATACATACTAACCGAATGTAATCAATTAGGCGTGTAAAAAGGGGTTTAGGCGGTTGGTAACACACGACTTACCTCGTGTCAACATGCTTTTACCCTTTCCCAAACAGACAGCCTGTTCACAGGCTACTTTTAATTAACTAACGCAGAGCACGACACTCGGTGGGTTATAAAATTTTGTTTGATATGGTACAAAAGCTTCGCGATTCTTCACAGCGAATGCAACGTGACAAAAACAATTGCCAGTCAGCGAAGAATAACGGCCTTGAAAAGCTTATAATGGAATCAGGCAGAGTCGTACACACATTTTCCCAACACCAAGACTTCGATTAATACAACCTAGCAGAGACCTGAATAACATTGCTACGTATTACACGATACTCAGCTTATAAACCATGCACACAGCCTAGCTCCTAGGTGTTCTCGGCGCAGTCAATCCTGGACTCTACCGTGAGCTGTGACGTCACCGACAGAGACTCAAGAGAGAACGACTAGGCTTGTGTCTGTGTTAGTTTGACACTTAAATAAAGGTATTGATTGTTTGATTGATTGATTGATTTCGCCATTTCGCCATTTCGCCGTTTCGTCATTTCGTCATTTCGTGTTTTAAACATGACCGAGAAGATAATGACCGATGAAATTCCGGATTTTCATACCTTTCAGACCTCAATATTTTAGAACCTGCTGCTGTTTAGCGTATTCATAAAGCTCGTAAAAATGACTTACAAGAACTATTCAATTAGTGCCCACTTGAACTCGTGGCTGTTTCCTAGTGTCTTCAAATCTAAATATTATGTTACAAAAATGTCTGTTATGAATAAATCAGTTGGCCGTAGCAACGCGTCCCCTAAATCCCCTTAAAGGTAGATTTAAAAGCGAGTGCGATATTTAAAATTCAGTTTTTTCTAGCAGTTGTGATGTAGAGAAGATTTGGTAAATAGAAACTGAAGACTGAGAGGCAATTCACGGTAGCGTAAGTCAGTAGATTTTTTGAGATTTTCCATCTTTCTTTTGAGCGAATTCCTCATGGCGATATTTGGCTTTCTTCATGTTTCTTTACAGCGAATCATTTAATCAATGTTTGTGATCTATGATGGAGAAAAAAGGGAGCGAGCACGATTTTCGACGCGTGAATGAACATGAATTGTTAGAAAAACTGAAAACTAAATATAAATGAGTCCACGAAGATCCAAGGAAGTCGTTAATTCTCGTTGTCGGTCATATTATTTTAAAATGACAACATCTTTGGAAAAGTACGGCTTGTGTTTGGAGAGAGAAAGCAAAGAATCCAGTGGTGCCCTCGGAGCTCATCTGTAACTGAGATCAACACTTCTGGAAATCTGCTTGGTTTCAAAGCAAACCTACTAAGAAACTTACAACTTTTCCTTGTATGACTTCTTTCAGTGAAGGACAAGGCTGAAATCATTATAAACATAAACTAAATACATTTGCCAATAAAAACAATATGAACCACATTTGTAGCAAAATGTTAATCATACCGGAGAACTATCAGAACTAACGTTTTTCAAATTTTAGGATTTGAAAAATTAAAAAAACTAATAATAAAACGACGGAGTCAACTGGGATCCTAACTTACAGGTCTATTAGCTACGTAGTGCATCTGAAGCGAAGGACTTTAACAAGGTCTCTTTTTAGCTTTCAAAATCCGTTCTAGATGTCATTGAACTCAGCTTGTCTTTCTATTATTCATTATAATACAATATCGGGCGTCTGCGTAGTGGAAGTCCGAATTGTTTGATCACTAGATGGGGCGGATCCAGGAATTTTTGATTGGGGGGTCCAAACTTTGGTTCAGAAAGGACGCCGTTGGCGCGGGAAATACTGCTTTGCGAGCAGAGGCGAATAGATCATAGGAGGGTACCGAAAAACAATTCAATTTTTGAATATCCCTGGAATTAAGATTATATTATTTTGCACTGTATATTTGTGTTGGATGTGGCTGCATTGCAGTTGTTAGTTGCTCAGTATCGGTGCTTTTTCTAACAATTAACTATTAACCTTTTTTTACGCCTATAACACTCTCATTTACACACACCCTCCCGCCCCACCGTACCCACTATTTTAATGGAGACTTGAGAACCTTTCATTAGGGATTCCATATCACACCTGCAATGCCACAAAGGTTGCTACAGAAATTTGTGCAAAGCTTTGGTATGGAAATGAGTGTCTACTCTCATGCAAATAAAAGTAGTTTTCACAAGCAACTTTAATTGAAGTCAAGCGAGGGTTTTTGGAACTGGGAATGCGGGCCTATTGCCTCTGAAGCAGCTGTCATACCTCATCATCCAGCTGGAATTCAATCCTCTTTTGCAACTCTTTCCTCGACACTTCTTTCGACTTGCTGTTTTTTTCCATCTGTTTAAATTTATCCCGTAAATGTAGCTAATATAACAGATTTAAAGGTAAGAACAAATTACTTTAACAACCTACCACAACCAAAGTGATCGTAAGCAAATACGTTATGTCCCTAGCTTGATTCAACTAGTTTAACATTTTAAAACAAAGGTGTTAAACAAGAGAACATAGTATAGAGCTCGACTTCTATAATCTATAATAAGAATAGGAATCTATACTACTTGTGTATTATACAGCACAACAAGAACGTGTATTGCTAACGAGAACTACATCAGGTTTCAAGCTGCTTTATATATACAGCCTTCTTAATCAAATAAATATTATGATGGCGGTGGTGATAAATTGACTTCATACGATACAAAATCCTTACCAGTTCTGTTGATGACTTCGATAACTTATCTGCTAGTTCCTTGATTGTTTGCTGGTTTCCTTACAACAAAGAAATAAACAACATCGCAAAAGAAGACAAAGAACTTTCAAAGAAAGGTAACAATTGCTATTTGATATCTTAGAAAATTATTTTAAAAAATCGATTTATTTACATTTACATATATCATCTTGCAACATGTCAGACATATTCGCAAGCTCCTAGCTAGTAGTATAGATTCCTATTCTTATTATAGATTATAGAAGTAAAAAGATTATAATAATGATAAACATTTTGAGCCAAAATGTACGTTTCTCAGTAAGATACGTTAATGGGCCCTTAACAGACCAACCTGTAAACTAAACTACGGGATGGCACCAAGGTGTGTATCTGAGTTATTCATGCAGGATCACAAGAACACACCAACGCCTAAGAAATAGCCTACGTGGTGGGCGTTTGAAAGAGTAGGGAAAGGGAGTTTTAGCCGGCCCTTTCGCGCCTAAAACTCCCTTTCCCTTCCCTTTCAAACGCCTGCCACGCAGTCTACCTTAGGAACTGTGATTTTGAACCACCTCGCTTTGATACAGTGGCCTATGGAAGGCATTCGCTGCGCTATCAAGGACCTTTTATTCGGTCGAAGGTCAGTGGTGAGCTAAGAAACCTAACAAGCCTCAAAGCATTCAAGAAACATGTACGCGGTGTCGACCTTTCGAGCCATATACTGCTGTGACCTGTGTAAATTCTGAGTCGTGTACATTTGTAGATAGTTTTAGGTAAGATCATTAACTTAATAATCATGTAATAGATTAGCGCTAGTACTTAGGAAAGTGTCCCCAATTAGCCAACTGTTAAGCCAAATACATTGACACTAAATGAAAGTCATTATTATTATTTCCCTGCCTCTTATTAGTAAGCAGTTTTTTTGAACAGATTACTGCCTCAGTAACATATTTTTAGCTGTTTACTGTCCACAACTATAGCCCCGGATATCCTTCCAATAATGCCAAAATTTTTGGAGGTCAAGATATAAATAAAACGCTTTGGTCCAGGTGAAAATTTTCCAGAAAAAGAGGTCAATGTCCTGAGGTTCTGTCTGATCGAACTTTACCGTTTCAATTCCAAAAATTATCGTTACCACGCCCACTTCGAAACATAGATGCAGCTCTTCGATACGGTTGGAAACTTTCGCCTGATTTAAATTGATTTTACAGAACATCCCAGTTCACCGCTGTGGCCGTTGTATTTATTTTCCTTGTAAGGTCAAACATGGGTGTAGTTAAGGTGACTCGACCCAGTTTTTTTGGGGGGTACCATCCTACTTTGAAGCTCTCTGGTATCCCCATATTTACTTTTATCGTAAGTCTAACACATAGAGTGGATAACATATAGATCAATCTACAATATAACATAAAATTTTTGGCGATCGGAGTAAATGTCACGTGGTTATAATGCCACGCCCCTTTGAGGTCTGAGTCGAAAATCTGCTGTTGCCTGCATTTTTCGTGAAAATCTCTCGACTACACATAGTGCGCATTAGTGCCTTGTGCTGAACAGAGTTTCACCAAAATCGCAAAGACCCAATTCGAGAAATTCAGCGGTTTCCAAATTTAGGTCATAATCTATGCGAAAATGAAAAGCCATATCTCTCGGCTACACATAGTGCGCATTAGTGCCTTGCGCTGAACAGAGTTTCACCAAAATCGCACTGACCCAATTCGAGAAATTCAGCGGTTTCCAAATTTAGGTCATAATCTATGCGAAAATGAAAAGCCAACTTAACAAGATTATATCTAATAAACTAAGACATTTATCCCTTGATTTTGGGGATCTTTATAACAGATGGGTCCTTGCAAGTCAGCAAAAAACTTTAGGGCCTTGTAAATGCGCACGATTTCGAGCAATGCAAACATATACAAATTATAGTTTTAGCTAGTTGTTGACATTTGTCAGCGTGAGAGTCCTTCTCACGAAAAAAGCATTTTCTTAAAAATTCGTCGTTTTTTTTCCTTCAAATTTTTTCAGGGCCACTATTGATTAACTAACTACCCATATTCTGAATTTCATGATCATTGAAAAACTGTGACATTATCTTCTAAAAGCCAAAACTTGAGTAAACATTGAAGATTTTTAGCGTTTTGGCTGAGTTTGTGCTTTGGGAGTTTTCTATTGTTTCTAGTCTGTCATGATACAACATTCTTGTTCAGCACGCATGCAATGACCGCGCTTGGCTGACTTCCGAATGCTCACCGAGAATGATAATTTTGGTACGGTGAGACAGGCGATGGCGTGATACGTAGGGGTTTAACTCACCATTTTTAATCAATTCTCGTGCTTCTTGTGCCTTTACAAAAAAAATCAAGAAATGCTACACACTGAATCTACTTACCATTAAAAAAATATCATTTTTACATAGGTTTAACACAAGCCAATAATTAAACCAACTCATTACTTATCCTTTTATCTGGTAGTGAAAAAATAAACTACACTTGTAAGCACTGTCAGTTTTTTGGTGACTCTTGGTTTCGCTCTAGAATCTTTCTTGCTCGTCTTGCTTAGAGGTAATGCTAAAATTGTTAGCAAAGCCCTTGTACCTCCTGCAGTATACAAAGCGCTGAGGTTGTTCATGTCTTAGACGTTACGTGACGGGAATCCCTTCAAATTATCATACCTCGGTGAACATTCGGAAGTCAGCCAAGCGCGGTCATTGCACGCGTGCTGAACAAACATGTTGTATCATGACAGACTAGAAACAATAGAAAACTCCCAAAGCACAAACTCAGCCAAAACGCTAAAAATCTTCAATGCTTACTCCAGTTTGGGCTTATAATGCATATAATGCATATAATGCAAGGACCCATCTGTTATAAAGATCCCTAAAATCAAGGGATATATCTCATAGTTTACTAGATATAATCGTGTAAAAATGGCTTTTCATTTTCGCATAAATTATGACCTAAATTTGGAAACCGCTGAATTTCTCGAATTGGGTCTTTGCGATTTTGGTGAAACTCTGTTCAGCGCAAGGCACTAATGCGCACTATGTGTAGCCGAGAGATTTTCACGAAAAATGCAGGAAACAGCAGATTTTCGACTCNTGTCGCCTGATACAGCTCAAAGAGATGCTGCATATATAAGCCTGTACACTCTTCTTTGATTACTCAATATTTTTATGTGTCTGTTATATTTATTTATGTGACAATTCTTCTTTTATTACCGTGCAGCACATATAAAAATAGTCGAATCCGAGAGAGTCTAAATCGGAGATGCGGCTCCCCCCCACGCCCAATTAAAAAAAAAAACACTGGGTCGAGTCACCTTAAAAGTTATACACCAATCACAGGTGCCTTAATTGAAAGATATTGTAAATGCAAGTTATTGGTTAATTTGCAGCAGCAGCCACTTATAGACTAAAATATAGATACAGCACGTGATTTAGGCTCTCAAGTTTATTAAACTTCCTAGCAACCCTTTACATTATTTACACTACTACTAAACAATATATTAAATAGCTCTCCACGCTTAAGGACACGCTATGATACACATAATCTTAAACTTGCTTGCATTTATTCTTACTGTGCCAATTAATTTTACTTAGAGGAACAAGAATGATCATAAAAGAAAGTTTCTATCGGCTGATGATTGAGTGAATCAGTTTTCTACTAACACAAGTATAAAACTTAAACAACAAGAGTCTAGTCCGAATCTGGCTGAGAAGAAACCCTTTTGAAGTGGAAATCCGTATCTAGTCGTTGCCGTTGGTATGGGTTTGAAATGTTACGGAATTTACAGTGTAGCTATGTAATAAGCTATAAAGATTATCCCAGCTGGTTTATTTTCATTCACACCAATTTGTGCATTCAGTCAGTAAGGTGATCAAGCCATGAATCAAAGCCAATATGGCTTGCTACGTGTATCAGTCAGAGAAACCTACCTGGCCTTACTTTTCCTAATTTTATTAAGCTATAACACGATACTTATGATATGTAAGCTAAGAATGTGATGTTGTAATAAACTTTTCTTTCTTTTTTAAAGCAGTGTTAACTCCAAAACTGTATTTGAAACTAACTGTTATCTTTGGATAATAAAAAATTTATGTGACTATCAACCACAAAATTAATAAATACACTTTGCACGGATTGTCCTAAGGTCCCTTTGGGACACAATTTTAGGGTTCATAGTTGTTATTGGCTACTTTCTCTTGAAAACTAATGGAATGGAATGCTTTACAGCCTCTGTTAACAAAGACCAAAGCCAAATGGGTATATAGCCAAGTGATCATAACATAATTTGAAAAAAAAAAAACAACAAAAAATTAAAACAAATAAATAGCTGCACTCTGACTTGAAACACGTCATGATTGAAAAACAACAACAATCAAGAAAAAAACACGTTTACTAATGTGAATGTCAAACTCAGCATAATTACATTTGTCAATAACTTACAAAACTTCACTGCACTTGGTAACAAATAAATGTTGCTACCAACAAAGAAATTCTTTGATGAACCCAAGAGCATGTGAACACCATTTACTTGAATAATTTGCAGCCCCTCGACAAGTGACAACATCAGGAAGCACTCATGGCTCTGGATCCTGAGCATGTAAAATCAACCTGCCGTTGATAAACCAGAGAAAGGTTACTGTGGCTTCATTTTATGGCAAGTATCCTTTGGTTTTATGTGCAAGATGATACTTTCGGATTTTTTTTTCATGTCTTTATCTAGGCTTTAATACTTGTCATCCAAAGCTGTATCCTAGTTAGTTTGCAGGAGAGACAATTGACTGCAGTTGAGGAGGATTTGAAGATTGGGATGAAGTCACTTCAGATTTTTTTAGCTTTTGCCATGTGTCACCAAGAGCTTTAGCAAAGTGGTCATCAACTGAACCAGCAGATGGGCTAACACACTTGTAATCCTCACCGAGACTACGACGAAAATGTTCTTCAACGAAAGGGTCAATCATTCCAGATTCAACCACCTCACGTCTGTGAGGACCTGGATAGCAAAACATGTCTGTTGGACCACATAGGTGTGGTGGTGCCATAAAACCAACTGGTCTTTGAATAATGTTTGTAGAGGTTATCACAGACGGCCTTGAGTGTGATGGCACCTGAGAATGTAGATATCCAGCCTCTTCTGATCTTGGAACGATTGAAATGAGGGGAGGAGGACCTGACTCAATTCTTGACTTTGTTGTGGGTGCTGGGTTTAATGGTGACCTACAAAATAATGATTTTTAAACAACATTAATTTTGGAAGGCTGCAATGTTACACACCATGAATGAAAGTTCAGTTCAGTTGTCCTAGAGAAAAATGTGGGTAATTGTGATGCTACCTAAAATTACAGAACAAAGTGAGTGAAACTGGGCACTATTTGTCATACTTCAACTACTCCTTGCATAATTATACATCTAACCAAAAAGTAAACTTATGACTATAAAATACACAAACAATATAGAATAGTCCAAACATTAATATTAAAAGCCTGCAACGCAGTGCAACCTTTAAGAGAAATATATGGAAAGTCTTAATCCATTAAATAAATCAGCTCTAACAAAGTGTTCCCAGCATCCTTTTTGAGTAGGATTGCTGTTAATTTACCTTAATTGTTGAAAGGGTTCTCTGAAATCTGGTGTTGTTCAGATACATGTATTAACTACATTAACCAGTAGCTCTTAATAATCTTGAGGATTGAGGAATGACAAAAAGGAAAAGAAAAATAATGATATCATGACTCTCTGCTTTTACTGTCTCCACTTCTAGTTTCAATTGACATTCACCAATCACAGAAATCCAAAAAGAAAATCATCCGTCACAGGTTATGAAAATAGTAAATCATGTACCACCCTGCTACACAGCTGTACGCCCAATCACACCTTACGTGGCTTATTTGGGCCTGATCAATATCAGGCTGATAATTTAAGATCCATCACATGTCATATCTTTTCACACTGCATGCACTGTTCTTCCTGACGCACCAAAAGTTATATGAACATGAATAATTTAATAGTTTCTTCGGCAAATAATCAAGTTCAGTTAAAAGCTCTTATTTCAATTAATTAATAATAAGAGTTGTCAAGATTGAGAGAAGGTGAGTCTTTTTTTCCATTGAATCACTGATCAGGCCCACGTGTTTACATGTGAAACACTTGACTAAATAATTTTACTGCAAATGTTGCTGTTTTGATTTAGCTTGTACAAGTTTCCATCAAGACCGGCACCTTTTGTGTGACAAACTATTTATTCTTGTGTGGGGAAATGTAAGCATTTGTTTGTTTGTTTTCCATTCAGAACACAAGGTTTTGATTGAGTAGAAAAAGGAGAACATGAATGGTCAGTATTAGCCGGGCTTGTAAGTCATGTAAACTTACTTGCTTTTCTGAGAAACGTTCTTTAATTTATCAAGTTTAATATTGCTACAAGCTTGAAAAGAAATCACCTTGCTGGTTTGTTCTGTGTGAAAAACAAAATTATTACAGGAACCGCAGAGCATAGGGGCTGGCTGGGCTATGGCCCCACCAATAATTTTGCTGGATTTTTTTGCATTTAAAAAGTACTTCTAATCTTTGTATTAAAAGCAATGTACCCATTACAGTACGTTGCCCAGTATCCGGCCACTTCAGTTTAACATTACAATAACTTTCCTTTCTTAATCACAAGAATTCTCAAATTTGGCCCAGAGACAATCTATCCGGTCCTTGCATACATATATACATACATATATACATACTTTATTGAACACCTCCCCTTGGGGGCTTTTCAGCATCAATTAAAAAAATGAATTCAAACATATAATAAAGTAAAAAGATTGACAATACATGTTATTTAAAAAATAATTACAAATTATTTCAACCATCATTCCCCCCCCCCCATATATAACAATCCTCCCTTTTAAACCCAGCCCCCTTGACAGTTACTCTGAAATTATTAATTATTATTAATAATTATTCTGTCACATGTAACTCTAAAGCTAATTCTTAAAACTATTAACATCAATGCTTAACTTAATATTGTTGTCTAAATTATTCCAAGTGTTGACTATCCTACATTTGTACAGTGGAATGTTTTCTACCCAGTAGCAGACCAAAATAAAGGGATATTTAGCATCTGTGAATTTCTGGTTTTCCGGTTAATTACAGTACTAAATGTAATTAATTGATCACTAAGGTCCTCAGGGGCTAGTCCTGACATGCATTTAAAAGCTAATACAGCATCTCTTAAGTATAAATATTGGTCTTTGACAGGTAACCAATTTAACGATTTAAGTATAGGTGTTACATGATCATACTTGTGCTTATTAGCAACGATACGCAATGCACAATTCAGTAATAATTTTAATTTATTTACATTTCTTAATATGAACTTAATATGACAAAAGACAGTTTAATTTTTTTGCCTTTGTTTCCATCATAAAATTAATATTTTTGCAGAGCTCCTATGTTGTCCAGTATGTATTCAGCCAGCTGGCCCAGTATCCGGCCACAACAATGACAACGTAATTGTACATCAATTTCAACAGGCAATCGACTTAGAAGCTTCTGTTGCACTTGCAACGTAGTCTGGCAATCGATTCCAAAAAATATCAATTGATCTGGGAACCTAGCATCGCGATATAAAACATAACAAATGACTGGGGTATGGTGGGGAACGCGAGTGGCCGTTAAATCGTATTGTTCTAACTCCCTTGTCTAGGAACTTTTCACTAATTTAAGGGACGCATCCATGGACAAGCCAAACCCGCGGGTTTGCAAGCTCAGTTAGCCCATCTGCAAACCGGTTTTTTTCCCTTCATTTTTGGTTAACAAAAAAAAAAACTGGCAAAGGGACCTCAATCTGATGGTCAGAGGTCACTCTCCTATTTAGTCTGACCTGCAGTGTTGATTTCTTCATGCTCAGTCCCAACATTTGGCCTGCTTTTCAAGGACTAATTCCTCCTTCTTTCACATCTCTCAATCCCTTTGAGACATTTTTCAGACCGTTGCAACCCCATTCCAGCAGTCATAACTGGGGAAAGTATGAGAATTCCCAGTTCAACTTCGACGCTTCCAGTTATATATAGAAAATGCACCCAGGCGAAACAAGCTAAGTACGTGAAATCAAGTCACCTCTGAATGAGTGGAGAAAATTTCCATAAGGAGTTGAGTAGAATTACATTTTACAATATTTTTATATGCTATATCCTAAGCTTAAATTATAGTTACAGATATGAAATAAATCTTATCCAGATAATATACGCAGCTAATTCATCGATTCTGTACAGCAAAGAAAAAACTGGCCGGATACTTTGCACCTCTCATCACTACTTAGTGAATGTTTCTGGCCTCCATTATTCCAAACAAATTGAATTTCAAGAAGAATTAATAAATTTTTTGAGAACCTGACTTCTTTAAGTACCTTCACTTTAAATATACAACAGTTTCTTTGAAAATATCACATATTACCAACCGCCCACTTCTGAACAGAACTAGTTTTGCTGCGCAGCAAACAGTGTAAATAATAGCCATGAAAAGATTACTCACCTAACTTTCTGAAGTGTTCAGCTTTCATTCGAAATACTTCGTTTACCGAGAACTGAAAAGGGCGTCTCAAAAATTGAGTTTTTGTTTTAAGTGGCTGGATACTGGTACTGGCCACATACTGGGCCACATACTGTACAAAATTATGTTACTTTCATGGACATTACATCATGACAACAACAAATGCAGGAAGCTCACTAACAATTGCCAAAAAAACCT